GAGGAACATAACAGTGTCTCACTGATTTTTGGACAACAACGGAGGCCAAAGCCACAGATGAATGAAAAGGATCAATTCATTGTTGTTCCGATTGGTTTTATTGGCATTGGCCAGAATATCTCCTTAGTTATTTTGCATTTCTCAAATTTAAAAAAGTGTGCACGTCTCGTCACGTGCTTGAAAGTAGGCATGTAAGTACAACCCTGACCTCCGTGCTTTCGTTTAGGAGAAATGTAATTGATGGTGAACTTTTTGCTGCCGACATTCTATGTTGCATCTGACAGGTTAGCTCATTGAAGACAGCATGAAATGTATTTCTAATGCATACAGCTCATTCGTATATAATTGAGAACAAGGGTTGCTCTATCTGCTACAGTGCAAAGCATTATAAGAAGAAAATGCTTCATGCTGGATCTCCGGAGTACATTCGCTGTGTAGGTGGGATACCGATTGCATTGGTAGCATATTTTACACCCTGATGTTCTCCAGGACATGCATGTACGAAGGAAGCAGGTTCATTATTTACAGCAGAATTAGGATTAGAACCCAATACGAACATGATTTGGACGGCAAATTAACCAAATCCCACGGCCCTATTACACAAAGGAGAAAAGAGGTTACAGAAAGCCCAATGCAAAAACACAACAGCCCATGTAGCTTGGCCAAGAGAGACTGCATACAATCTGCTACAATCTGCCACACGTCATCAAATAAGGACCCATGGGAGGACAGACTACCTGGTAGCCATGGTTACAGGGTTTGAGTAATCCTTCTGAATATGCATTCCCTTACATACGAGCTCCATAATATATAAACACAGTGTGTGTGTGTGTGTGTGTGTGTATATTTAAAGAAGAACAATTGTAATGATGCAGCATTCATTTGTTACAGTCAACAGAAGAGAAGCTGGGATTACATTAACATTATTGACAATATAGGACCTGTGTATGTTGGAGGAGAGAGAGAGATCGGAGAAGAAGCAATTGAAGAAGGGATTGTGTGGTTTGAAAAAAATGAAATCAATCAGTTTAATGGGTCTGAACTAAAGGGGAGGATGACAGGTGACCTATCGATGAACGAGAAATGGTAAAAAAAGAGAAAAGAGAAGAGAGAAAAGAAAAGAAAAGAAAAAAAAACGGCAAAAGAGGTTCCGTTCACAACGTCTGGTAACGTTTTCACCCTGTGAGTCCGGCTGTCATCGTGGGAAAAGGTGTTCCTGGAGAAACCAGCTCCAGGGGCAACTACTGTAAGGTGTTTGTACGTCTGTATACATATTTACTAAACATAAACCCCTTTGCAAGCTACCGCTGTCTAGGTGCATGTATCTTCTTTCACCTATTTACACAATACATACCACATCTTCAGTGTAACATTCATTTCCAAACAACAAATGATTACAATGTAAGATTAGAATAAACAGCTTTCCCAGCAGGACTTGCCTTCCTCTTAATTTAAGATACCTGCTTTTAACTGCGCATGTGTTCAGACGTCTGCCTTGTTCTTTGCTTTTGATATGTTGACCGTGTTTAATAAGTGATTATCCCTCTCTGGGCGGAGATTATCTTGTAAATTGACTTACATCAAACTATATTAGGCTGTGGACTGTCTCAGCATGATTAAAATAACTTCTCACTATTACCAGTAAATGTCCCACATGAACCAGGCTTGGCAATGAAGCGTCAGGTTTTGAGGTTTGATTCCATCTCTTGATATTTCCTGGCAGATTTCTTGTTCTCTTTTCAGAACTCAACAAAAGCCCAAAACGTCATGAGAATTAATTAGAGGACAGGGAGGATATTTTCTTTGTAATTTGTATCTTTGATAAAATCTGCAGCTCAGGGATGGAAAGGGAACTTATCTTTGTGTGTGTGTGTGTGTGTGTGTGTGTGTGTGTGTGTGTCGGCTCATTATTAAGAAGTCAAGAAGCGTCACACAACAGGATCCGCTCGGTCCGTCACACAGAGAACTGAACCATCCATAAAACACAGCGGATTACACAAAGATGCTGTGGTCACAGACGTACCGCCTGAATGAGAAACAAACACTTAAATCTTCCGCGTGAGGCACATGGCGAGCACGCCACGCACAAACAAGACACCATCAACACTCATGTGGGTATGCACATCCACATAATCCAAAATACTTTCTTTCTCACAAAAGCCAAATTGTATTTCTGTGCTCTTCCTCTGCTGTGAAATAATAAGCCTCACATAAAACCAATTCAGGCATGTTTTGTAGGCAGAATTTTAAAAAGAAAGAGAGACAGTCAGTTTGGACACACTGATTTAAAAGCAGGTCTATCCAAAATCAGTGACCTGCATTACTTCATTTGGTGTTCTATTTATACATTAACTAAACACGACAGCATTTAATACAGCATGAGAAGGGAAATCATTTTAAAAACAATTGGTCCCAGTGATTTGTGTGGTCTAGCTGATGCTCAGTCACTTTTTCAGCTTCAGTGCGTCTGAGGCTTATGCATGCAGATGTCCCGAGCGGGTAAACATGCATAAAATACTGTTAGGTCACTTTTCATTATGATTCTTTCTTCACGCATTCATTGTGGTTCAAGAAACACCAGCTTTTTAAATCATTACCAGCTATTTTCTCCATAAATAGCCAATGTACCAGTTTCACGCCACATTCAGGTTAGTAAAGATATATCAAATGACCAAACAAATACATTTTGATGGGTTAGATAAGCAGGTGATGCAGTATAAGGCAACAAACATTCAAGGTGGCTCAGCTTTTTTATCATTCCTCCCATCCGCAACTCAACAATTTCAACCAAATTTAAAAAATAGCCTTAATGCACAATTGAGGGATATCTTGAATATTTTCTCCTCCCATTTGTGTTTTGATTAAAGGTATTATAATTCTTTAAAATCATCTCACAAGAGCACAAGATCTTGTACACAGTTTGTTATTTGTAAACCACCGACACAAAATGTTAGTCTAAGTCTTGTTTTGGACACTTGTAAATGGCTTATTTTTGCGTACTTATTCTGATATGAGTTTCCTCAACCGGCTACCGCTCATTAACCAAAGCAATCTTTATCACTGCATCACAACAGCTGGTGTTCCCAAAAAATGTAACACTGCAGATCATTTGTATAATCACACGGTTTCTGTCAAAGCAACAAATAAATATTAAAAAATATGGATTTTACCTTAAATTAAATATCTAATGTTAGTAAAAGAAAATGTTTATACAACATTTAGACATAAAGATAAAGGGATGGAGGGGGGGAAGAGGCAAACCACACCTACTCCATAATACCACGGTTGGAGCTTGTAACGCATCACCTTTGTGATACGTGCTTCATTGGCTCTTAGCCAGATCACTTACTGAGCTCCAGTGTTGGTTCATGTTCCGAGCCACTCGTGTGTCTATTCCCTTTTGACCTGCATCCCTGTGGCCGCGGATCCCTTCCTGCAAGTACCGATCGCTACCAAAGCTTCACACTGAGATCAAGACTTGTGTTTTGCAGGAAAGCAGAAGTAGGCAAAAGGAGATCAGACTAAAAGTCAACATGACAAACTGAACTTTCTTGATCAAAGATAAGAAGATGTAATAATGATGAAACTTCTGTTGTAGTTTCTTTGTTGTTTCTTCTTACCTAATAGCAAATGTTGCATGTGCGAGGAGGTTATGAGCCACTGTCCTACAGTCCATTGTTACAACAACCTTCTCTGCTTTTTGTCGGCATACTGAAAAACACTCACGGCTCCAGTAATGATGAGAAAAGTGCGAAGATAATTAGTGTGACAATGACTGTTGACCCTTTTACCTCCTGCCACCGGAGAGAGAGACTTGATCCTTGCTCCTCAATAAGAGCTTTGGGACGGACGGACGGACGTCAATATCGACAACGGTTTGACTTCACAACTTTGTGTCTGTGTGTGTGTGTGTGTGTGTGCGTGCGTGTGTGTATGTGTTTCACCCTTGCTCCTGCGTGTTGCTAGCTGAGTGGTATGATGTATGGTGTGCGCTGGGCCAAACTCTGCTGAAGCGTAACAGAAATGCAAAAAAATACTGGATGTTTCTCTTGTGACGGGTTGAGGACAGCTGTGGTAATATTTTAACTTTTTGTGGTTGGCGTTTTGCACAGGTGATTGGGTCATACATGTCATACATGAACACACTGCCACGAGACAATGACTGTGGTATGATATTTCAATATTAAAGACGTGAAAATATATCCAACTGAAAACAATTAGCACCAACACAAGGTGCTTAAAGTTAGGTTTAAATTTAAATTCAAACCCCAGTAATATTTTACAGGGCTCTATATTGCATGGCTTTTTATGTATCTTTACTACTGCTACCACTACAGTGCTGCTAAACAGACTTCTCACATTGAAAAGGGTGGTACAATTTGAGAATAATCTTACATTTCTTAATTTCTCATCAACAATTATGATATTACATCACATCATCATATTACGACATTAACTCTGTGGGATGCAAACGCCTGTCAAGGTTCATAGCTCTTCCTGTGACACCCATTTATTATGTTCAAGCATGAGCCCGCTAAATAAGTCAATATGTAATTATTGTTTATGTTTTTGGATGACCAGGCTGTTGGTGCATCCTTTTTCCCAGCCGAGGTGGAAATAAACTGCTGAGACGGGCAGAAAGTGGGGTGAAAAAAGAAAGAGGTGGAGGGGCAGTTGACTCCATCTTTCGGTACTCTCCCTGCCTCTGGGCATTTCCCTGCTGGCACAAGATGTGTGGAGGCTGCGGCATTTTGAAACCCCCACCCTGACAATGAACTCTGTGCCTGTGTGCATGTGTGTTTGATTGTGTGTGTGTCTGTGTGTGTCTGCGGTATGTCCCGATGTGTTATGTTTAAATCATAATACCTACATGAGCACAGGCAGAAGACAAGCTTGCAAGTGTGCTTCAATTCACATATAATAACAGCCAATAATATTTGCTGTTCTTTTTTTGTATGTTTTTGTATATGCGCGTGTGTGTGTGTGTGTATGTGACTCACCGTTTTCCACACCAGATGCTTCGCAGCCATCTTCATCATCGCAGTCATCTCCGCTGCCTCTTTCCATCTGTGCACTCCCTCCCTCCTCTTCTTCCACTTTTCCTCTGCTTTTGCTCGCCCAGCCAAGGTCCACTAACAGTTCCTAAACAAAACATGCAGAGTCGTGTTTTCACGCCGTCTGGGGGCATTACAATGTATTCATTTTGTGGAGACTAAACCCCAAAGGCCACCAGCCTGACATCACCCTAACCTGAATCTAACCTTTACCTTAAACAAAGTCCTCAACATAATAACAAGTGATTTGCATGATGGGCATTTTTTACCCCATAAGGAAGACGAGGCTCCAATATGTGACTGTGTATTATGTTCTCACACGAAATGTAAAACAGCCCTCTTGTCGAGCAGCGTCAGCGATCACATTTGCAATTCGTTCCCTTCTCCAAATTGCAAAACTACATCTACTACTGTCATTCCATCAGCCTCAGTTGAACTTTGTGTGCTAATTAGCAAATGTCAGCATGCAAAAAGTCAGCATTCAAGAGCTGCAAGCATGGCTGTAGAATGTCAGTGTGTTTTTGTGGATATTTTAAGCATTTAACTGACTTGACAATGTTTAACAGGAGTGCAAGAGAGAATAGGCTTCAACATCTGCTCTGACAATACGACGATCACGAGAATGCACCAATAATGAACAACAACAAAGAAATGATGTCATTTCTTACTCGCTGAAAGCAGGAAACAACCACATAAACACTTTTGTGCAAACACATTGTAACAAAAAATGAATATATACATAAAAAGGTGTACTCAACACTGAATACAAGAACATAACAAATTGGTTTGCGATGTAAAAAATACGTTTTTTAGAGACTCAAGGAAGATAATGAATCAGTTCAGTCTGAGGGCAGAGATAAGGCAAAATATATGGCATTTAGATTGTACTTATTTTACTTCAATAACTATTTCTACAAAGCAAAGCTGGGTGATGCCTCCAAAATTAGAACATCTATCATAATGATTTGAGTTAGCTGACACTGATGTTTTATAATTATTTATTAAGAACTCCATTGTCATGCAGGGGAATAGTAATTACAGCTACGCTTCCATGAATAGAAGTTGCTTGTTATTAGATAACCAAATCCATTGTACAGTCCAATATCTAAAAATGGCAGGAAATATAATCCTTTAACAAAATAATTATGGCATAAGCTGTTGCTATATATTGTGGTGCATATACACTGAATGAGTATGCAAACGCTATACGCTATCTATAATGTGTCTACTTCTAATTATACTGCTCTTTTCATACGTATGGTTTTATCTGGAACAAAAGAAATGCACTAAAATATTCATATTTTGAGTGAATAAAAAATGCAGGATATATTTATGCTATTGTCTAGAATAAGTTTCAAATTTGGATACATAAGGAGGGACATCTGGTCTCCACTATACAGTACGTGTGGAGCAGCCTGTGGAAAGACAGACCTTCGTGAACAAAGGTTGTTATATGACAGCATGTCCGAAGGGACATTGAGACAGACTCTGTGCAGTGATTCAGCATTATGTCATATTAGACCTTAAATGGCTGAGGGAAGAAAAAAAAACACATTACAGCAATATTTCCACCACAACTTTTTTCCTGTCACGTGCAAAAGCTTGCAGTCGAACAGAATGTGAGTGATGAGGCAACAAAAGCCTCCAGAGAAACAAAGAGACCTACAAGTCAAATAATGCAAGGGTGGCAGCTCCATAGTGGTCCGTCTAAATAACAGGAGAATAAAGAACATTTTAAAAGTATGTTCATTTTGGATGTAATTCCATCTATCAGATGATCAACACTTATTAGTTACCCTTATTAGGTCAAGATATTTTCTAAAACGTAATAATAATAGTAGTGGGCTGTACCTTTGGAATATCAGCACTACGAATGATGTACAATACCAGTGTAAAGTTGGGACTCACTTCCTCACAACTAGTTGTACACTATGTGAACCGGTCTAGGTGTTAAATAAAAAAGGACATTTTAAACCCATACCTATCGTTGCCTTATAACAGTTACTTTGCAACCTTATCAGCACAAAAAAATGGTCACATTGAGTCCTTCCACGATAGCTACGATCTTCTTTAGTAACTTCCAGGAAATCACTGGGGTCAGACATGTAGAAAGTTAAAAAATTTGTGGCCAATTAGGCCAAAAAGGCCCTTGTTAAACCACAACTTGTCATTTTCACACTTTTTAAATGCTTGTATAACGTGTTAATTGTTGACCTATAGAGGTGTTGTTTATTTCAATTACCTTTAGAGCTTCATCAACTATTTTAACAGACAAAATATTAGAGTGCTATATATCTTCTCTAACTTCTAACATCATATGTGATGAGCATATTTCCCAAATTGGCTACTACTTTAAACAAAGAAAATTCTGTGATGAAACGTGGACTCCAGTTTCCTGGAGTCCCAAACCCCCTACGTACTTACTGTATTCTGCTGTCACTGACTGAGTGGGGAGACCGCTGCCCTCACAGGGCCGATAAGGCTTATCCTGGTTGGCTGAACATACACACAAAAATGCCTAATTGCATGGATAGGAAACTGGCTACATTAATAGAATCCCATTAGAGGGCAAACCCACTGCTGCTGTAACAGACGGACAGAAGGACAGACCTCCAAAACACGGCCGATAAAATATAAATAGTAGTAAATAAATAATCTTATTTGCTATTGTGTTCTTTCTCCAATCTTTTTGCGCAGCAAGTGTCTAAAAAGCACACATAACGGGCATGGATGTTTAAATGGTGCATGTGCATTAATGTGTGTGCCTCAGATGAAAGATCCCCCCCACAGAAAAAGCGCTGGTGCAGTTAAAGTATAAAAAGAAGCAGGTCGAGGGTTTTTAAAGCTGGTTTTAAACTATGGTGTCTATGGTACTTACACACCGGGTTTGTCCGTCTGAGATATAAACACTGCTCAACCTCCAGAACTTAAAATGCAATGCAAATAAGCTGTGCCGTTTTGTCTGACTTTTCTTAATGGTTCATGATTTTGTCTGTTAGCGTTGCCATCGTCAGTTCAGCAGGAAAACAGGTCCAAAGACATTGATTTGACTTTCTTCATAGTGTTTGAGCATGCGTGTGAGAAGATTCACGGATGCTTCAAGCAGAGAATAATAGGACATGTACGGCATACATAGAATTAATGGGCCGGAGAAAACAAATCTCCTACATAAGTGATGGCACAGTGTGTGTGTGTGGTGTGTGTTTGTGGACGTGGCCGCAGGGTGGGGGTTGAGGGGAGGGCACTGGCTTGCCATTGGCCAAAATCTGCAATAACATGTTGCATAAATAGAGTGTCTGAAATAGGGCCGATTCCCATGATTTTCCAAAGCCAAACAGCCCTTAACCGAATGTACCAGATTTTATGGGCAGAATACCATTTCCACTTATGATAAATAACTGAGATTGTTAAAGATAGCGCTGAAGGAACTTTCTGCTATGTGGTTGGCATCACAAATTCAGTTTGAATTGATTTCTTGATCCTATTAGCACACAGCCTGTATCAGGGTTCCATTGTTATCCAAAAGTAATGAAACCCAACACCATCAATTGCTGCTAAAAATAGCTCCCCAGCAAAAGCAGTATATTCCTATTTGATCGGCTTGGCTCATTGTTTAAGGAAATATACTGACAGCATGTCTCTCGAAACGACTTGAAAACCCCCCAAAAACAAGTATGCATTTGTGGGTGTGCAGACTGGGTGTGAACGTTGATGTTAGCAAGACTCCAGATACTTGATGGAATTTGTTAACAAAAACATAACCAGGCTGACCCTTTAATGGTTGACATACAACACATTTTGTTGTTGACTTCTTTGTCATTTGTCTGTACTTTCCCGCTGTCTGCCTTTCTGTCTGTCCAGCTGTCTCAAAAGGGCCCAGAAAACCGCTGAATAGTCCCTTGAGCAAAATATGAATCATCATCATGAATAACCTTGATGTATCATTTTATGAATCATTCATGCAAATCTTATCCCCGTATTACCATGCAGTTCGAAGCTTTTAAAGTGCAGCATGAATCCAGTTTAATTGTTGAATTCATTATTTTATTATTGAATGTTACTATCTATATCTGTTTGGAGAGCTGACGCTTATTATATTGAGCAGCGGTTCACATGTGCATGATCACGAAGGATTGAGAGACGTGGACACATCACATCACATATACAAACACACACAAAAACAAACACATTCAACCCAGACCCCATGCAGCTTCCTTCAGAAACCGTGTATTAAATCTACATCCCATTTCAGAAAAACAGCAAGAAGTTGGACTTAATATTTCACGATAATAAAAATAATAATAACAGGGAAGGATGGAAATAACAACAGCATCATTGTTTAAGTATGGATATGAATAAATCAGTTAATTAAGGGCAACTAGACCTATTTGTGCACATTGCTAACCACCAACATATGCCAGGTTGTTAAGGTGACTACAAAAGATATTAATGCCCTATGGAAGTTATTAAATCCCCAACAGATCCTCTTTCTTATTCTAACGTCATCTCCATCAAAACAATTAGGTTGTTAAATAGTTAAAGACGAAGAGAAAGAGACACTGACCTCTTTCTTTTGGCCGTGGCTATGAAAACCTGATATATTCACCGTGTGAGACATACAAAGTTCATGCTGATGCAAAGTTGACACTTTGATGAGACGACCGGAGAGTCGAAAGAAAGTTGTGTGGTACACCCAAATATGTGTAACCACATTTGGTATTAATGGGTAAGAGACTTTTGATAAGTAAAGGAGAGATATTGTTAAGCGGAACCTTTGGCACTGTTGTCGGCCATTCCCAGGTGCCTATTTGCGGACGGACTTCCTGCCCCCTTTAGATGCCATCTGGAGAAAGAGAAAGTGCCATGATTCTAGATCCGTGAAAACATCTCTGGTGGTGAATCTTATCACTTTCAGGTCAATAGATGTGTGTGGATAAGAAAACATATAGTGATGTTGCTAAAGGAAAGGTCAGAGGGTCCCTATATGCAATGTGAGTCATTCCTTGGGAAACTACTCTTAGACCGGATTTAAATATGTAGATACGGATATACATTGAAAGATCATGTGGTCATCCATGTGATCAAAATCATCTGTGGACTTTAAATCTATACATCAATGTTATATCAAGATGGCTTGCTCTGGATCTTACAAAACCCCCGTAAGGCAGCCGGCCCGGACTCTGTCTCTCTGCGCACCCTGAAGCATTGTGCTGACCAGCTGTCTCTGGTGTTCACTGACATCTTCAACATCTCCTTGGAGACACGCCACGTACCAGACTGCTTCAAGGCCACCACCATCATCCCGGTTCCCAAGAAGCCCAGGATCATAGGACTCAATGACTACAGGCCCATCGCTCTGACCTCTGTAGTCATGAAGTCTTTTGAACGGCTGTCCCACCTGAAGACCCTCACTGACCCCCTCCTGGACCCGCTGCAGTTCTCCTACGGAGCCAACAGGTCCTCCAGCATCTGAACTCCCCAGGAACCTACGCCAGGATCCTGTTTGTGGACTTCAGCTCTGCCTTCAACACCATCATCCCGTCTCTGCTGCAGGACAAACTCTCCCAGCTGCACGTGCCCGACTCCACCTGCAAGTGGATCACAGACTTCCTGTCCGATACCACCCTCATTGGACTGATCTCTGGTGGTGATGAGTCCGCCTACAGGTGGGAGTCTGACCATCTGGTGTCGTGGTGCAGCCAGAAGAACCTGGAGCTCAACGCTCTAAAGATAGTGGAGATGGTTGTGGATTTCCGGAGGAACAGAGCCCCACCTTTCCCCATCACCCTGTGTGACTCCCCCGTCACCACTGTGGATTCCTTCCGTTTCCTGGGCTCCATCATCACCCAGGACCTCAAGTGGGAGCTGAACATCAGCTCCATCACAAAGAAGGATCAGCAGAGGTTGTTCTTCCTGAGGCAGCTGAAGGAATTCAACCTGCCAAAGACGATGATGGTCCACTTCTACACGGCCATCATGGAGTCCAACCTCTGCTCCTCCATCACCATCTGGTACGCTGCAGCCACAGCCAAGGACAAGGGCAGGCTGCAGCGTGTCATCCGCTCTGCAGAGAGGGTGATCGGCTGCAATCTGCCGTCCCTGCAGGACTTGTTCGCTTCCAGGTCTCTGAAGCGACCTAAAAACATCGTAGCCGACCCCTCTCACGCCGGACAAAACCTGTTTGTGCCCCTTCCATCTGGCAGGAGGCTGAGGTCCATCAGGACCAAGACCTCCCGCCACACCAACAGTTTCTTCCCGTCGGCCAACCGCCAAGTCAAATTCATTGTATGTCTGACATATTATGGCAATAAATGTTTCCTGATTCCTGATCAAAGTGTTGATGAAAAATGGATTGGACTATTATTTTTGCTCTCTGGAGCCATTGCCATGAGCATTGCTTTTGTTAAATTATACCTGTAAATATAAACTGGAATTCAAATGAAATTAAAAGTGCGAGCAGCAATGTACGGATCCTGGCTACTCCACGCACATCGGGGGAACTGGCCGGACCCTACAAACGACCGTCGGACAAAGCGTCCGCAAATACGTTGTCGTTAATCGCGTGGAGCGACGCTGGGAACGCCGCTTTGCAAACTTTATCTTCAACATTATCAAGGTCTTAGGTCTTTTCGGACAACATTTGAGAGGGATCTGAGGAGCAGGGTATAAAATAAAAAACATTTTCATGGCAAATTGCGGTATTTTGCAAGGCTCAAATAGTTTAATATTCTTTCAAGCTTTATGGCATTTTTAAAGGCAAGGGTCTCAAGATCACACTGCCCAAATGTGGAAAACATCACCCATGCTTGTTTTTTGGAGTATATGTGTACCTGTGTTAGCTGCTCCAGTCTCTGTTTCGCCCCCTTCAGGACAGGATCTGTATTGCGGACAGTCAACTCGGGGTTCTCCTTCTGTGCTTTAAAACTGCTGCCAACCACACGACCTGCGTAACTACAGAAAGACAGAGCAGGAGAGAGACATGAAGTACTTTCTGTCCTAGTTCTTAGTAGGAGAGTGTGTCTCTGTGTGTGTGTGTGTGTGTGTGTGCGCTTGTGTGTCTCCCACTGCTCCAATTTTGTCACAGTCATTTATACTAGTGTGTTCAGTCAGGGTGTAGCGATTCACTTCAAGTGCAGGGGCGCGGACAATTACAAAAACACACACGCGCACACAAGCACACACCTACTCACAAACGGTTGTCACGGCAAATGAAACACAGACCTGCATTCAATATTCAGCTACGGGGTCATGAGTTTGTCTTCTGGCTGACTTCTCTGTCACTTGACAATGTTTGGCACGTATAATAAACATGAAAGAACTTGAACAGAAAATGACAAACAATTGGGTAGAATGGCTTAAATAGGTGCAAGTGTGCACCATCACTGAATGATCCTTGGTGCTATATAATATTCATTTCTGTGGTTTGTTGTGAGTAGGTATCACATCATCTTGTCTGCGTGGGCGGTCACAGTGGGTGAATCAAATGGAAAAAGAAGTGAGGAAAGAAGGAGGGGAAGAAGACAACAGTTCATGACTCAAAAATTGCTGGTTGAACACTTTTAACCACAAACTGAGAAACCTCCAAGTCCACACCCGTGAAATCGCAAACACATTCTAAGCGTGGCTATGGCAACGGGGGACAAGGATCGTGGGAACCGGCGAGCAGTCAATCGAATATAAAAAAAAAAAACAAAGCTACTTGAATAATGCCAAGAAATGATTAGATGATGAAGACGCCAGCCTCTGGAGTCGTGCTAACCCTCGCGGGTCTGGATTCAGATCCACCCAGAAACTTAAGCCCCATGCATATCTCTAATTAACTTTCTCAAATGGCTGTTTTATTCTCACACTGATTTATTTCTGATACAAGGGTCATATTCTGGTTAAAGTCTTACTTAATTCAAAAAGTTCATGTCCTGAAGCCTGACTCACAAAGCAAGCGCAGCAGTCTTTGTGTTTTGGCTTCAATGAGTCTGACATTGGCAATCCATGATCACTGTTGTTACATAAATGCCTGAGCTGTCTCTGTCAGAATCGTTGCCAATCTAGCGTTGAGCAAGTTCACATTAAATATGCAGCCAACCGCTAACAACATCAACAGATCAAGAGCTGCATCTTTAATTCAAGAGAGGGTGAGACTCCTCAAGGGAAATCAGGTCATTAGAGAGGCAAAAATAATATGATGGATTGCGAAAGAGCTACATTGAATAAAAAAAACTAAATAAAGTAAACGTTTCACTGCTGACACGTTCAACATGCTGAGTGATCCGGAGAGAATATGGGAAAAAAAATAATGACTAAAATATTTGCTCACGTGTTTCATGCCGAGATTCAGTATTACAATGTGGTGCATAATAATACTTGTGGAAAGCTGCAGATAAAGAGGATCTGTAGTTTCTCTGCACAGTATCTGCTTAAACAGAGTCAGCAGATCCCAGTATAATATGAAGATGTATTTAATAATCAAAAATGACATTTCGAAACCTAAGTTAATGTCTCCGGGACCTATGTGGGCCATGATGACACACGTACACACAGACTGACAGGGGGAATAAAATTGCAATAACATGTAGTGTGAGGCTATAATTGATGTGGAGTGCTCCTAGAAGCTGTTATTGATTAGCAATTTCAGAATAAATGACAGACAGGACGACAATATTTTTTAGTGTCACTGCAATATCTCCCGCAGACGGGCTACGTGGAACAATTTCCATGACTATGACTGTGCAAGAAGTGATGGAACAATCAATTATTACAAGGAAATGCTCTGCTGTGATTGGTGCCGTAGAAGGAAGAATAAAAGAGCCAGGCTGGATGTATTACTGTATTTGTTGTTTGCAGGATGGAATATCATTAAATTCCGTGCCAGCCATAACATATCGGTTGAAAGTGGAATTGAGAGCATCATAGGAGGCCGGGTGGGAAGAAGTGGCTTTACTTGTTTTGATTTGACTGCCTTTGAGTATTCAATTAAAATGAGTTATGTTCCATCAGATTGAATGTAGGTGACGTTAATTGGACCTGGGCGTCAGATCTTTTGACTTCAAAGAAACAAGGCGGGATGTTAAAAATCTGTATTCTGTACAAAGGTTAGTGAAGTAACAGAGAAGAAAATAATGTGTTAATGTATCTGTAATTGCCATTTGGCAAATGTTCTTTGTCGGTTTCAGTAATAAAATGCCATTTTTTTTCTATTTAAGTGGAGAAAAAAATACCAACAGCAACTGCACATCTTGAGCAATTTTCTTACATCCAATAACGCTCTCCGGATGAATGTATTGGACATTGTCGGGGAAGTGAATTAACTATTGGCCAAATTGCAGAGTGACTGTTTGATGAGATGATAATATTGCAGAACGTGTGCTGCAGACGATGCAGAGAATGACACTTAATCAAATCTGGGGAACGACAGACATAAATCACCAGTTTGTCATAATGACAAAGCTGCTCTGCTGTTGCCCTCGGTTACTGCAGGGTTGTTAACGGTGACGTTTAAAGTGACTGTGGCATGCACGGAAAAACAAACACACACACACTCATTCAAACACAGGGGAAAATAAATCACCTTTGAAAATGATTTAATCTAAAGGAGGTGTGTAATTAGAAGAGTATCAACCTTAATTGTAATTATAGGTTACATTCCTGTGGAGTAATTTACACCCACACACACACACTAGAGGCGTATTCCTGACATGGGGGCAATATGCTGTGGTTTAGGTTTGGACAAATGATCTCTGTCTGACATTCTATATCCTTCATATTCCACTTAACCCCCTCTGGAAAAATGTTCCTCTGTTTATGATTGAAAACAGACCGTCACGCATTGAGAAATAGGCCAAATTGATTAGAACATTGGTTGTGGCAGGTCTTCAGAGGTGGAAGCAGTCAATCGCCAGCTGTTTGAAATGATAAGATGTCTCCCTCTTCTGGATAAAATCAGCTATTACAGGAGTAACTGGTCACATAACCAGAACAGTTTAAAAAACGTGCTGTACATGCATAAAATGTTAATGTTTAAATGGAACTTGTATTTATACACCAGCACAGTTTGCCAATACTTATACCCAATATATTAGTGCCATACTCAAACCAGCTTGTTTATAGACCAGTAAATCAAGGCTCCAGAGCGATACACACAGTTGTGTTGACAAAATAAAAGCATTATGCTTGTCACATGGTTAAGTTGTAATAGTTATTATAATAAAAATGTAACTGAATGTGTATATCTTAATGACAAACTGCCTTCTCGCTCTGTGGTCTGCTCGGTGGGTACTGTTGAATCGGTGAAAGTGGACATGGTGGATAAAGATCTGCTGACAGTTGCGACCTGCCATCGCCTCCAGTTTATATATTAATTTGGCTTTTGGACTTGGAATCAATTGCTGGACCCTTCTACCACTCAGCATCTCAGGGCCAGCTTGTGTCCGTATAAGAGAGCACATCAAGCACTCTTCAGACTCTCATCATTCTGTGTGGTTTGTCTATCTTTTTTTCTCACATATATACACTCTCGCTTGCACAGACATTTGTAAGTGAAGTGGGTCAGAGGGCGGAGGAGATGAATGGAGGTCTGAATAGAAGAAGGGGAGATGAATGGGTGGCTGAATTAGGGAATGAACGGTTGGATGGATAGATGCAGAAGAGAAGAAGATGTAAAGAGGTCAGACGGGCAAAGACTGGCTCCAACACACAGGAGTGTAACATATCTATCCTTATAAAAAGTAGAAACCAAAAATGCAGTCTGAGCACTGAATATTTTACTTTTACCTACTTTGTACACGTGGAGAAACCTCTTATCATCATTTTGCAACTCTTCATAGGTGTTTTGTTAAAAAATTACAAATAAGAGGAAGCCGTTTTATTGTCTAATGTGTAATTGTGTAATTACTTTTGAAGAAACTCGCCACTTACTTTGTTAGCTGAAGTACAACTTTTCATTATCGCAATAATAGTCCATTGTTTCACAAAAATGAAATATAACTGGTTCCTTCAGGTATCAGTACTATGTTGGTATTAGCAACACTATCCGATGTATTCAGTGGTGTCAGGCATCTCGTACATATGTGATATACATGAGTGTGCATCACAATTTTATTTTTATATTACTGTACAGTATTTACAAATATTGTTTTCCTCAAAACCTCCTTTTCTAACTGGTTCATTTCAAGGGTATCCTGCTCTATTTCTCTTAAAATACCATCGGATGCGAGGAAATGGCTGAGCCATCAAATACAAGGTTTACTGGCCTCCCCTGAAGCATGGGAGGCTTAGTCAAGTGTGAGTGTCCATTGCTTGAAACCTTCCCCATCTCGGAAACTGATGTGCTGTGTGTGTGTGTGTGTGTGTGTGTGTGTGTGTGTGTGTGTGTGTGTGTGTGTGTGTGTGTGTGTGTGTGTGTGTGTGCGTGTTTGTTTTGAGATGCCACTTGCAGTGAGATGTCAGATAATCTCACATTCTGTGTGTATTGCTGGGTGCGCGTTGGTCTGTGTGTCACTTGATACGTGTGTATGAACGTGTGAGTTGGAGTGTATTTGCGTGCGCGCCTGTGAATGTGTGTGCACAACTGTGAATGTCTGTGTCTCGTTACCAGTTTAAGCTGCCAATGTAATCACCATGAGAAAGACTCTGGAAACAAACTCTCTAACCTTCACAACCAAGCCCCCCCCCCCTTCCTCCACCCACCCTGGCAACGATAAGGAGACACCAACACTTTTTTTTCTAAATTGTCAAATCATTGTGACTAAGAATTAGACAAAGTTTAAAACCAGTGTAGAAACTATGACTGGTATATAATGCTCATTAAGTTACGCAAAGGAAAGATTGATGTCATGCTTAGCTAAAGTAACAAACACATGATGCACACCGGTTCAACATCTGTCTCACACACTGACTGGGTTGTCAACTGGATCGCGACTGGATGCTACAGCACCGTCGGACAAATACGCCGCCTACCGTACATCTATATTGTAGTAATTAACTGGATGTTCTGGGCACGTGGCAGTACAAGGAGCAGTGCTGAATACTGCAGCGCTACTCAAGACCAATTAACTGTGCACTTCTACATGGCCTCCGAGACACTGAACCGGCCTGGACTTTTACCCCGAACCTGAAGTCCAGAGTCAGTATTTGTTAAATGAAAACCCTCCCTCTCTCTTTGAATGCATTTCCCTTTCCCTTTGTTGCTTTAGCGTTGTATTCAAGCATACTGGATCAGAAATATTGCAACCAAATACTACATTCCTTCAAATGCATTTTCATCACTCAGCCAATGTGGAAATATATGACCAAGAAACGCCAGAATGTAACTTGATGAATCACCCTGGCGCACAGAGCATCTGCTCTGTATGGATGGTTTTTGGTAGGTTCTCTCTGGGAATAAGGTATTAACACACACACACCTCTCCACGACGTCTTGGCCAGTCCAGCATGTGTGCTGCTCAACCTCCATCTCACTTTCACAAAGCATCTCTGGCAGCTCTGAGAAAAACCACCGGTACCGCTGGATGGAGCCCTCAAACTCCCTGAAAGAGAGACAGGGATTTGTGAAGAATGCTTGGGTTGTTGGTTGTTAGTAATATTAGAAACATATTATGTCTTATTACAAGGTTTCTATCTTCCTTTCAACAGGTGCAGCTGATGCAATTTACCGAGAGAGTTTTTTCAAGCTGCGGCTCTTGTCACCTCTGGACCCTTTAAGAACGAATGACCTAGTGGAATATACAAACAAGCACAGAAAAAAAAGAGATTTGAATTTATTTACCATGACCAAAGGTCAAAAGTGAAAAGGATTACTCCTCCGTCTCTTTCCACATTTATTACACCCTCGGTGGCTGAATTCCTACTCGCGCCATAGAGCCAAACCTCGGCCCAGAACTCAGTGTTTCATCAGATGTATGTAACTCACCTCCGGGATTGCAGCTGCAGACGTTGGCGAGCAGCCGGGCCCGCTGAGGGAGGCGATGTCTCATTTGACCCCTCTGAGGTTACTGATGGAAAAGTGCTCAGAAATGAAAGATGCGCGGTAGCAGGATTTGCAGTCTGCGTCTTGGGGCCAGCTGCCTGGGGCCCACACACCTTCTCTACCTAAGAAAGAGACGGTTGTTTTTCAGAAGCATGCTGCGTGATCAGATCAGGTCAAGTGCCCACGTTTTACAAGACACTTGGCGCTTCTTTTTTCAGTGGGTTCAGTCAGGTTTGCATAACCAAAAGGCAGAAACTGGACTTCTCTGTTTGGTTTCTTGGTAGTTTTCACTAACAGTTGCCGCATATGGTTTTAGGGTTTTATACATGACCCAGGTTTTGGGCAGTCTGCCTTTCATAGCTGGTATTGACTTAAATATGCTATATATAATATACAGCCTGAAAGTCATCCTAACATCAACATCGTTTTTCACACACTGTGAAACAACTCTGATTGTTTTCTTGTTTGGGTTTGCAGTTCTATTAGATCAGTTCTGCATCCCAAACTACATACAAAGAATTAGGAAATATACCTGCAGTAAGTTGACCTCTAAATGTAATACAGTTGAGCACAACACTTTATCGTGTCATATCTTGTCATTTTGAAAATTCTTAAAATTCCTGTTTCAATAATCATTTAACTTTAAACGCTGCACATAGAGATTGTTGAAGCGTTAGGGGGTTGGCCTTTTGTGATGTGTCCAATGAATAAGAAGCTTCATTATATATTCAATTAAGTGGTATTTTTGTGTAAGCCTCAATTAGCTGTATGATTATGCTTGTGTGTGTTTGTTTACCTCTGAGGAATCTACTCCACTAAGTCCACAATGTTCTCTTAAAGTTGGATGGTTACTCTATTTCCTCCTCCAACAGTCTGTGCATGCATGCATGTGTTTGTGTGTTGTCTGTTTGTCCAGAGATTAGCCACAGAAACTTTCTCATCACTCGCAACCCGGCTGCATTCTGGGTATTGGTTGTCCCGCCAACAACAGTCTTTGTCTGGCACTGGATCTGTATTCACACGCACACATAGACACACACATACTGAGGGGAACCCCAGATTCTCTGAAGAATGAGTCTGTTTTTAGCCCATCTAGGTACAAGGCCTTTGTGAGGAGATCCAACTGCCAGGCTGGAAGAAAAGCCACGGCCTTCCTCACTCTGTGTCCAAAATTCAAATGACTTTATCATTTGGGACAAACGAGCAGAGATGGTTCAGCAATCTTTTACTGATCCCTTTTAGCTAATTACTTACTAAACCTTTTCCCATAGACTGGCATCAATATCCAGAAGCACAAATCTATTTTACAATTGTAAATATAAGGCATATAAGCAAAATACACTTGTCAAGCATTCCCCTCCAGCCCATCATCCCCTCTACTTACTGTGGCTGTAATGCGAGGCCCATGCAACTGTGCGTGCAGTATAGCATCGTTCACTTGGTTACGGACCGCTAACAGAGCTAACTCCAGGCTGTTGTGGTTGCTGCTGGTTGCTAAAGTAGCGGCTAACCGTTGGAGCAACACCACCAAACTACCCCAGGGGGCCCCAAGCTCTGATACAGCGACCTAGCAGAGAGAGGATGGAAACAGTGAAGAGAGGGTAAGAGGTGACACATCACATTGAGAGATCAACTTTGATTTTGTTTCAGTACAGTAAACGCAAGAGACCACATTCCCCATGAACTTAGCTGTCTTCCATCACAGAGAGGCTGTGTAACTTGGCTGTGTGCATGTTTCATTCCTTCACTGAAAAGGATGAGGATAAAGGGGGGTAATCTATCAGCACACCTCCTTCTCCAAGACACTCTCAAGAGGTATGAACAGTGGCATCTTCTCCCTCTATTGTGGGCGGTGTTGAAGCTGTCCAGTTCATTTCCTAGCAGCCCAATAAGATGCAGAGAAGATTGTGCCAGTTTTCTCTTGGTAATGCTCTTGTTGCTTATCCAAAACCCAGAATTATTTATTGATTACGAAATGAGTCAAGCTTCACAAATGTGAGCTTTTGCGAGGCAAAACAATATATATATATATATATATATACCCAAAGGGCTCCCACGCATCTAAAAACGTATCAGCTGCAATACACAAGACACATAATCTGAAAAGAATAACATCACATAAACATTTTGCTAACCTCGTGTTTCTAAAGGTAGAATGATGGTATTGTGCATTATGATTGAAAGGGACCATAATGAATGTTATCTTTACACCCGTGTGTGAAACCACACCTTGTCATTTTCATAGATAAAGTTAAAGATGTATTTACATTTTTACAATTGAGAAGTGCTGACATGGGCGTATTTCTCACCATTGAACAAAGCCAGGATAACCGTTTTATCCTACCTCGAGTCTTCACGCTGAGCTAATTGTCTTCTGCCACTGGCCACTGAACTTTCTCTCAGCTTTCTCATCCAGACACAGAGCAAAAATGCAAATATTCAAACCCTCACCAGACACCCCCTCATAACGTTGACACATAGTCCAGTACAGGGCCGTAACGTCGTCATCCCCCTGCAGTGGGAGCAGTACTGCATCCTCACTAAGCCTCGGCCACACTCTCTGGACATCGTCGCCTTCTCGGCCGCGTTCACGACCTCTCCTGCCAGCGCGAGCAGCCGGCTCAGTGCTCGACCCACGGCAAGGGCCCGGGACAAGCTCCTGACCAGCAGACGGGGATGGGGTCCGAAGGGGCTGACGTCCTGCCGCGTCATCCGCAGGCAGTCGTCGTGATTGGCCGAGGGGGAGGAATAGGGCTTCGGTGGCATGCGGCCTATCCCGGGATTGAGTAGGCGGCGGTACACCAACGGGAAAAGATTGTTGTAGAACTGCCGCACAGTGTTGTCCAGTGTGGAATTAGAGCTCCCAGAAACGTGACGTTTGATGTCGCTGAACAGCTGAAACACAAGGGGGCGACAGTCTGACGCAAGAGCAGAGTAAGCGCTGTCAAACAGAGTGCTGGTCAGGTTAGAGGTGAAGGACACGAGCGACTCAAAGGTCTCTGCAACAAGAGAGAAGAGAGACAGAAAGCGAGTGAGACCAGGATACAAGTTATTGTGCCATAATAATTAGTGAAAAGCATCCATGACGATTAGTTAAGAATGTAACTAAAAGGAATATTAGCATAATCCTTATTTTTTTACCAGAGTCAACAAATTGTCTACTGACCCTTTTTGGGTGATGTGCAATTTAACTCAACTCTAGCGAAAGTTGACAAATGTATTCGAATGATGATAACCTTGGGGAAAAAAAGTCATCAAATGCATTGATTCATCATGAATTTTTGTTTAATGGCAATGCATCAAAAGGCTGGATTGCAAAAATGTCAATATGGATCACAATGGCGACTGACCATTATTGCTGTGAGAACCAGGCTACTTGTTTGGCTAAAGAAATATTATGAGCAACAGCGGTCTACATTTACATTTGAAGCTACTGCTCAATAATCTCTGTTTTGTTTCTCATTTTTGGAAGATTTAAAAGCGATGAAAAGGTGAGAGGATTCGGCATCCTGTCAGATGATTGAAAATGTCAACCCCTCACTAAGATCAACAGCTCCTGATAATTGTGTAATTCTCTTACACAATTTGCTTTGGGCATTCCAATGTATACATATATCAAATAAACCCAAAAATGACCATTAGCATAACACAGTAACCAACAAATATTTGTAATATGAGTTGTCAAGTATGTAGATCTTTGAATAAACATTTACTCACACACTAATATGTATAAAAACATGTGCTTCCATACCAGCAAGTCAAATACACTGTACAGTATGCACAACGTAAATATATATATATGATTCCATTTTCAATTAAGAAAATGTTTGATATTACATTTGCATATCTGTGAAAGGTTTTCCCTCTTAAACTGTGACTGTCTCACTAACCTTCCTCTGACCTTATCCTGCTGCACGTGAGCCAAAATAGCCCACGACTTAATTCATCCCTGAGCTCGTTTTCGCTGCTGTAGTCAGGTGATTAGAGGCCCAATGTCAGGATCAGCTGTGTTTAATAAAGAGGGCAGCGCTCCCAACGGAAGCTGCTGTGTGTGAGACACGCTGTGTGTGTCTATGTTTGAAGCTTCCCAAGTGAAAAGGGGGACGTCAACCTGATGGCATCCCGACACACACACACACACAACTTTTACTGAGACATTCAGTCATCTTTTTAATGACTTGTTTGTCAGTGCGCGTGTGTGTGTGTGTGTCTGTGTGTGTATGTGTGTCTTTACAACCTCATATTTCACTGTCACAGCTGCAGCCGCCTTGCTCGCCAATTTATTTTAGGATTCATCAACTACTGCAACTCACTAATTTACCTGATAAGAAATACCGCTGTCCATGTGCAGCATGGTACGTTTAAATTGTTGTACGTTCCAAAAAGATTTCACCCAGAAAGATCGGCTGACAGGACGTTAGCTGTGGTCGGGAGATGAATCAGTGGACCACTGCAGAGTGAGAATTTCTCACTTTTATGGGTTTGCATACCCATGTCCTGGCAATAGCAACACAAATACAGACGGCATCGAGTCACACAGCAGAGACTATTTTGGGGTCATGTGATTAGCTCTGTGATTGGGTGACAGCTGTGATGTGTTGAAGAGGGCACGAGGGACTCGCAGTGCCACGAGGAACACATGCAAGCATGCCGACACATGGTCACACACACACACACACACACGGTAAAGTAATCCTTAGAGTGTAAATAGAGCCTGAATACAAGCGCTCGGGGCATGTCTCAGTGTCTCTAGCGGGTTTTAATCACTGTGCTTTGGAGACTGGAACCTTTGAGGAACAGCACAACTGTTGAAGAACACTGCTGTCATGTCAAATGGATTTTATTTGTTGAAACAAAAGATTTATGTGGTTCTTAGTTTTTTAGTATTTATGTTTTGTCATGCTGGGATGTCTAAACCATTATGCCAATTAATTACATTATTAAATGATCTGCATGTATAGATATACTGAGTTTGTTTTAAGGGTGTGAAGGGGGACTATAAATATCACTAAAATGAAAAAAAATGCTAAACTTCTTTCACTTCCTGCATTTTTTGCCTTGTTCATCCGTTGTTTGTTTAAGGGTGTTTCGCATTTATTTTACCCATGAATGGTTCAGCCAATCGTTGGGCATGAATAGCAGCTGAAACGAAGCCAGAATGCATTCAGATGGAGCATGGAGAGGAGTAAGAAAAGAAAAAAGAAATTTGCCGCGTCCGTCTGCTGGACTTCGTCAACTCTACCCATCTAATAATCTCTGCACGACATGTACACAAACACATTCATGCACGCAAATACACAGGCTCTTTCAATCACACACACACACACACACACACACATATGCTCACACAGACTGGTGAATAGCGTTGAGAGACAAGTGGACAAGCAGAGTATTCTTCCTTCTATTCAGCGCAGGCCGTTAGGGACCGGCTGTTGCCCACGGCAACAACACTCTGCTGCGGATACGTTCTGAATGTAAACATTCTCCCTCCCTAGCGTTCCCATTGGTCAAGAACAAAACCTGATTATCGCAGAGACAGACGGACAGAGAAAGAGAGCCGGGAGTTTGTAACAAAGTTTTCCGCTGCTCTCTCTGAGAGTTTGCTCTCTCTCAAAGACTCAATCGAACATCGGTTGTTTGTTTGGGTAGCCACTGTGGCGCCTCACAAATACACCGGCCTGGCATCACCACCCTGACACAAACTAGCTATTTCATGACGAGCACACAAAGCGAGACTGGCAGGGGGGCCACGGGCACTTGACAGAACTGTTCAAAACGTCAAAATCACCACCGCTATTAAGTCACTTTGCTTTACGGTGTTGAACTAACAAAATACATTTTGAGTGCTTGTTAATTGTAGTAAATCTATAGAATGAGATAATAAGGGAGCATAATGTGAAACAGAAACAAGCTTTTCGTTTTTTTTTCTTCCTCGCAATTATTTTTCCAAACAAATCGGTCAATAAGAATGTAAAAAAAGTCTCAATTCAATTTTCCCAGATTCCAAGGTTGTTGTTTTTGTTCGACCACCGGAGCAGTCTGGTCTACCCTCCTTCCCTTCCTCTCCCTCACCTCGGAAGGCCTTGGTCTGTCCTGCGATCAGATACTTCAGCTCAAAGCTGTAGGATCGGATCTTCTGCTGCGTCTCGCTGCGAACAGCTGCCATGTAGCTGTCCTCCATCTTACTGGTACAGCAGCTGGGCCCAGGGTGGACGCACACTCGCAGAGACTCATCTGTAAGACAGAGGACGGACGCAGAAGGATTGGTCGTTTTCACCGTTGATCCACAGATATTTTCCATCAAAGAGGTGGAATCTAATCCAGCACTCTGGGTGGAAGATATTATTTCATCTGCATCAATCTTCACCCTGACCCTGTTTAAATATCTGTGGGTATACATTAATAATTAAAATATGACGTATCCGATCATTTATTTTAGGAGAAAAGCTGATAATTTACTCAACTTTGCAGACAAAATGTGTTTTTTCTGTTCTATTAATTATCTCCTCTCATTTCAGATCACTTCACTACCTGCTTGTGTGTTTTTCCTGCCAATTTTGATTAGCTTAATCTCAATGTCCTAGAAACCCAGAACCCCCAGGGACATAACTGGCATTCCCTGGTAAAGGAATGGGTGTCTTGTGAGGGCTTTAAATGGTGTAAATGGGAATGAAACCGCACTTTGCAGCAACAGGTCGCGTCCACATGACAATGAATCGCAATTGAGGTTATTTATTTCAGTTGGATTTACTCTCCGATTTGAACATCTTCCATTACAGTCATTTAGCTGCTGCTTTTATCCAAAGTGACTTTTACATTTTTTTTAATCTCTTTTGTTTTAAATGTATACATTTTAAGTTTCAACACAAATGTGCCATCGTCTTTGTTTGTTTGCTTTGTTGTCGTTTTTTTACGTCTCACTGGTTATCCCGTTTTTAACGTCACCTTGCAGCGACGTGGGTAATTCCCTCGGGCAAAGTCAGCCTCCAACGCTGACTTAATACAGAAAGGGTTCATGATGCCTGCCGCAGAGTGTGACAGTGGGACATAGTTAGACCCTCAGAGAGTTAGCGGGAGCGCTCCTCGAGGATTGGAGATTGGGATCAGGCCCTAATCAGTGTCACCTGCCCCCTCGTTAGCCTCGCTGCCGCCGGACGTCCTGCTCGCCTGTTCCCCTTTCTGTTCATTGTCAGTTATGTGCGTTTGCGTTGCCTAGTTTCCTGTCACCACACCTGGCAGCTGAACTTCCCCCTATTTGGACTTTGGCCACCTGTAAATGAATATTCAGTCAATTTAAATTCTTAAAATCCCTTGTTTGATACACTTTGGGCTCTCTAAAGCCTCTCAGAGCTCGAGATTTGTCCCTAAAAGGTGGATTTTGAGTTTTATGAAAATCCCAAATGCTGTCACTAAATAACCAGCAACCAATTAGAATACATCTTGTTATAGTTAGTTAAATCACTCAGGGACCAGAAATCTAAAAGTACTCAGTTCAAAAGTCTTCATGAGTTCATTAAAATAATTCTACGGCTGAGATCTGACATTATGATGTTCACTGTGGGGGACATTACAGCAGCCACACCAAAGTGTGTGTGTTTGTGTGTGTGTTTGTGTTTGTGGAGTGAGGCAGTCTGACTGGTAGACCACTAGAAGCCAAGCTGCCAAATAGCTAACTGAGATCAAAGGGGAGAGAGTTCAGAGGACTGTTCACCAATATCTGACCTTCCATTCACACACACACACACACACACACACACACACACACACACACACACACACACACACACACACACACACACACACACACAGAGCCATGTTCGCGTTACCTTTGGAGATTTTACAGTGACTTACATTTGATTCCTAACCATATCAATCCCTACAATAACAATTACTGTTTGCTAATGTAACTGGAACCTAAAGGTATGCTTACTTTGAAGCCTCTTTTTGTCTTCTAAAAATGATTGAAAAACAAAAATCACTTCAGCTCCAGGTCTACTCACTGGAGACTTTCCAGAGCTTTTAGTTCACATGGCTTTCCCCTGCTGGTTTTCTCACATGTCATAGAGAAGGGTCCATTGTTACCACATGATGTATGTATGGAACAGGTGCTCGTACAGCACCGGTGGGGTTTAAATTGTAATCCCTGTTTAATAAATGTTCGGCAAAGTCACCTTGTGATCATATTTTTCTTAATCAAAGGTCAGCGGGTTAATGTAACTTAAGGCCCAAACATTCACAAACTAATTTATTTCGGTAGTTTAGGAGGATGTTTGATTGTATTTTCAGATCACCACCTGTTTTTTTCCTCCTGTATATTAGAAGACCAAGGAAAAGGCCACAGAGTGACCTGTGCATTCATGACATCAAGACTAGGATGTGTTCAAAGGTCACCACTATCAACAGTTTTTGTATCAACAGTCATTTTGTAGGATCATTGACTGCAGAATCTTAGGTCAAATTTGGCTGATTAAAACCTGTAAACTAAGTCTCTCTAAAGCAGAGATTGTTTGTTCATTCTTTTACAGGTGAAGCACAGAGATTTCCTTCTGTCGGAACGACTTTCGCAGCACTGTTAACGTGTGATTCATACTTATTTTCATGAACTATATAATTAAGACAAGGAGACAATTTACAGATGCGAACAAATAAAGTGACTCCAAGGAATCGACTTTTGGCGTATCTTTTTTAGCTATTACATTAACAATCGTTTGCTCAATTAGTGCAGGACCGAAATGTTACGCAAAGAGACTGTCATGAATCAGAAGACGTCTCACGCGAGCATTTATATTTAGAAAACAGCATATTTAACACCACCACTTATAGCCAAGTATGCTTTCAAGAGCTGTATATAATTGTTGCAGAGAGTTTAGGTAAGATTGAAACAGGAATAGCTTCACTCTGCGCATGCTGCACATTGAGGACGCCTTATTTCTAAAGGGTTTGAACCCTGCACGGCTACAAACAACAGCAGAGTAATAGTGTGACAGCAGGAGATAACACTATAGATTTAGATTTTACACTTGATGGAGTTTACAACAGTAAGTTACAACGGTTATTCTAAAATATGTTGAGCTCAGGAAAGCAGCCAAGCTCAGCCTACATTAAATTAATAGGCAAGTGTGTGATAGTCACCTGCAAGTTAACACTCATTATATTGTATTTATAGATATATTTGAATAGTACACTGTACTCTGGAAAATAGTATGGATTTTAAATGCCATTATGTGTCCTTCAATCAAAATAGCACATTATTAGGCCCATTAAGAGTAAAGTGCAATGTAAAACTGGCCCTATCTATTCTTTATATTACATTACAGTATTAACATTTTGATGTTGTGAAGATGGGCTGGATTGAGTTACTTTTAATTAGGTTGTATACTTCCCAACACAGCTAAATCCATAACACTGCATGCATGCTCATTTAAATGCAGAGTAACGTGCAATTGGTTAGAAAAATAAATAATTTAAATGCAGTGGAGTAGAATTGAGGCAAAGCACAAAATACTAAAGTGATGTTCGTCTACCTCCAGATGTTCTCATTTACATTACACAGTTGTTCCGGCATGATACAGACTGACCTGCTCCCGGCCTGTCGGGCACCAGCTCCACGGGGCCTATTTGGCGCATCATGTAGGCTGTCTTCACCTCATCACAGCTGTCTGCATCGGCTGATCCACAGCCAGTGCCCGGTAGAAACACGAAATGAAACAAAATCACCCAAAGCAAGTGCACGTTTTGCGAGGCTGCAGGGAACATCGCAACATGTCAGTCGGAGGAGAGTCTGGATGGTTAGTTTGAAATCGTAAAAGTCCCGCGGCGCAGTGTGACTGAAAACTTCATCTGCCGACATCACGTTTATCTGGAGTCCTCCCTCCCTCCTCTCTCTCTCTCTCTCTCTCTCTCTCTCTCTCTCTCTCTCTCTCTCTCTCTCTCTCTCTCTCTCTCTCTCTCTCTCACTTCAGCTCAATTGTTTAATTGACTCGGGCAAATATTGCAATGTCGGTTCTGTTAACAATAATATTGTTATTACTGATAACCCTTTTTTAAAGACACAATCAAAGTGTAACTCCCAAACACATCTTGAGGAGAAAATGCAATTTACTCCCAGTTCAGTTAATTACGTGAGCATGAATGAGTCCTGTGTTTATTTACGGTGGCGTTGTTTTTTTACTGACGTTATTGCTCTCGTAGTTTACACGATAATCCACACATTTGACTGAGTGAAGCGGAATATGCGGCGATAGAGGAACGCGGGCGCCACCTTCTGGTTACTTGAGTTCATGGCAGTCATTCTGTAAATACAATAACAGTAATGCCTATTACATTTAAGGCCCAGATGACATAATGCATACATTGTATTATTTTACTTAACATGTTAACCATATAAGAGGACGATAATAATGTAATTAAATTGTTTATAAGATACTGATGTGTGCATGTATTTTTTCAACAACTAAAACACCTGATGGCACCTTTATAAGGCTGCTATCGGAAAGATTATAATTGTCTTTAAACAGAAATACCGTATGTCAATGATGAAGTTAATTTAAAGAAGGGAAACTTAAAAAGGGGACCTTGCCAAACACTTTTTTCCTCCACGAACCCTGAATGCATCGCGGCACCAGCTGCGGCCCCTTTAACTCCAATCTCCCGCGTTCAAGTTAAGCGGAAGTGGAAAGCCTCTTTTCTCTATTTAAGCGGTCCAACAAAGACAGTAAAGGAAACTACACCTGCTCTTCGTTCGTCGGACACCAGGAACCCGTGGCTTGTTGCTCTCCGTTGTTCCTACTATCGTGATAAAAACAAAATGCCAGAGGAAACGTCAAGCTGTGGGAGGTGAGTCGAGGCTCGTTTGAGGAACGCTAGCTAGCCTTTAGTTAGCTGCCGCGGCTAACACCGACGACCTTGCGTGTTTAGAAACGTCACTGGCTGCGTGACAGTTGTGTCTCGCATGCTTTAAGCCAGCGGACTCTCCCGTGAAACCTGGAGGATGTTAACGGCACAAGTTGCGGCTGCTAGCACAACTAGTCAGCCATCGCCAGGTAACTGGTCGGCTAACAACAATCTACGTTGCTAACAAAAGCCCACCAGCAAACGCCCCCTCGTTTTAGCTGCGCTTGTATCGGTCAACCGCGAACTCTTGTGCGGTTCGCTTGTTTTTGTCACTGACTGAACCCAAGTCTCCTTTTGACTCTCGCAGTGTGGAGGAGAAGCCGTGCTCCTCTTCCTCCTCAGCAGCAGCCGCCGCCGCAGACAGGTACGTCTCTAGTTTGGTGAACTGCGCTTCGTTTGTTGACATTGACTTTTTTTCAACTTTTGTTGGTTTGATATGCGCTTGTGTCCCCGTGCAGCTCTGTTGACTTCGTGGAGGAGGCGAATAAGCTGATCGGCACCGGGAACCGGCACCTGGTGATGGGCGACGTGGTGTCTGCTGTCCGTGTCTTTCAGGATGCCTGCAGCATGCTGTGAGTACGACCGAAGCAATGCGTAACGATATTGGGAGTTTTTGTTCAAATGCTCAGCTCTTCGCCGCAGTCCAGTTGTTGGATTCTGATTTTTTTACGAGACCGTATTCAGTACCTTGATCGCGACCACCTCAAAACAAACGTGCTCCTCGGTACGCGCGTGTTTTTATCTGGCAGGGCTGCAAGATACGGAGACACCGCAGAAGAGTGTGCGGAGGCCTTCTTCCTGTGTGGGAAGTCTCTTCTGGAGCTGGCCAGGTAATGCACTGCTTATAATGAACTGAATCAATAATCTGCTGCGTTTACAGATTGTCCTTGCATACTATACACAATGTGCCAAAAATAAATTTGATGCACAAAGCTGATAATGACATTATTTATTTAGCCACAATAGTTGTCATTAAAATGTGATATTCTAGCATGACCATTATTTCTCACTTTACCCTGTTTGTACCATGTGTTTAGGATGGAGAACAGTGTCCTTGGTAATGCCCTGGAGGGAGTCCCAGAAGAGTCGGAGGAAGAGGAGCAGCCTCACAGTTCAAAGATTGAGAGTGCCAACAATCTTGATGGTTCGCAAATTAACTATAAAACCGGTTGCTTGATAAATCTTAATCTATTTGCCAATTTCTAGACTTGACGCTTGGCCGGTTTGTCTCAGCGGTTCCATGTATTTGCTTGGATTCCAGTGCGGCAAAGAATCAGATTTTGCAAATGCAGCGTTCAATTGACCCAATGGTCCGTTCAACTGTCTAATGTGAACCCGTTTTCCTCATGCCACTGATTCAGAAAAAACTAGAGATGACCTACGGAAGCAGGTGTATGATGCAATGGCTGAGGGGGAGAAAACTGAGGCAGTTGACAGCAAGCTGGAGTCTGATGTAAAGGGAAACACTGAGGTTGACCAGGAAAATGGCGCGGCAAAGTTCCCTGGCAAACACGATCTGAATGGATCGGAGGCATCCACAGATTCCCCTGTGAGCGTCAAAGAAAATGGTGTTGAGAAGAGCCCGTGTGCTCCTGTGGCGAGTCTGGGCGAAAGTCTTACTACGTCTCCTGTAAAAGAAGCTGTGATGGAGAAGGTAAAGGCGCAAAATGAGGAGAAAGCGGGAGGAAAAGATGAGGAATCCGAGCCAGAGGCTGAACAGGACACTGATGAACCAGAGGGCAGTAGATCTTTGCATACAGAGCACGGTTAATGGGTGGAGCACTCTTGGTGATTGATATAAAACCGTTCAGGTTGGAAACTCAGGCGCGTGACTCAAGGATACTTTTTTTTTTTTTTTTTAAATGTATAGAACATTTTTCTTCACTCTCAAAAAAAGGATTTTCTTGCCCTCTGTAATAATCCTTTTACGTTAACAGATGACGACGACGACGACGATGACGACGATGATGATGATGATGGAGAGAAAAGTGGACAGGATAAGGTAAGGGCCCTACAGTGAAGTCTGGCACAATTATGAAGTCTATTTTGATGTCTGCTATCCTCATCGTTTCAGGAGGAAGATGAAGTTGGGAATTTGCAGTTGGCGTGGGAGATGTTGGAGGTGGCTAAAGTAATCTACAAAAGGTGAGGGCAGGAAGAAGCTAATGGTAGGGTAAGAACAATGCTCTAAAACCAGTTTATGCCTTAAGTGATGACAAAGGGGTTCACACAGAGGAAAGTAATGAGTGAATTAATTGAAGTGCCCTGCTTGAGAATGTGAGATTATGTGCAGTAAAAGTCTAGTTTCCTTTCTCATCCCCACAGAAAGGAAGGCAAAGACGACCAGCTGATGGCGGCCCAGGCATATCTGAAACTCGGAGAAGTCAGTGCTGAATCCGGTGCGTTTTTGTTTTTCTTCCATGACTGTATTCTGGATAAAACACTACATTCTACCATATCTTCTTGTGGTATCTGGCATTAGCTCATAACCAACGATTTAATTTCTCCTGCAATAGTTAACACTTGTATCTGAGGCCATCTAGTGGTTCCTTGAGGGCCAATCTTAATAAATGGCGCGTATAAGGTCCACTGTTTAAGGAAAAATTGAGCGATTAAGCCTTGTACCGACTGATGTTGCGTCGTTAAAAAATTAGTAATTTATCCTGCTCCATATATATATATATAATTTTTTTCTTGCCACGTTTACTTCCCCAGGGAACTATTCCCAAGCGCTAGAAGACTTCCAGGAGTGTCTCGCCCTGCAGCTCAAGCACTTGGCTCCCCACAGTCGTCTGCTGGCTGAGACTCACTACCATGTCGCCACTACATTGTGCTACATGGACCAGTACAGCCAGGCCATCCAGCACTACAACAGCTCCATCAAGGTCATCGAGACCCGTCTGGGTAAGCATTCATGGCCGCTGCTTTGTGCACCTTTTTCATAGATATTTTAATTAATTTAGCGAGGCATCCTTGTTGAATGTATGAAATGCAACACATTATGGCAGCTGGGCTGATCCTGTTCCTAATGTGTTTTCTGTCTACAGCCATGTTGCAGGAGGCGATTGGGGCTGCAGAAGAGAAGAATGAGATGGAGGAGCTGAAGCAGCTTCTGCCCGATATCAGAGAAAAGGTCGAGGATGCCAAGGAAAGTCAGAGAACCGCCAGAGCTGCCTCCCAGGCCATCCAGCAGACGCTAGTGAGTAAATGTGTACAACTCAAGGGTGACCTATTTTAACATTGTGGTATTTTTGTTAGGCTCTAGCTTCCACGTTAAAAACAGGCCGTAAGCGTGCAGCAAAAAGGGCCCCACCCCCCCAAAAAAATTCTCAGCTTTTATGTCACCAACTAACCTCTTGCAGGGCGGAGCTTCAACCTCATCAGCCTTCCACTGTGAAAATGGCGGCCCTTCAGCGTGTTCCTCAGCCAGCCTGGTATGGACATTGTATATGCATCTTAAGACGTTTTATCGATCACTAAATGCCTTGCAAAAGATCTGAGCAATCATAACCTTTCTACTTCAGGTCACAGTTAAAACATGTGATAGCACCTCGCCTGCCAAAGCTGTCTCCAACATCTCCCACCTCGTTAGAAAAAAGGTGAGGGCCACCGATTCCCTCTGGCCAGTTTTGTTTCCTCATAATTGCTGAAAGTTTTGCAACTGAGGCTCCGAAGCCAAACGTGTCCGTCCATTCCGCCTGCTTAAATGTAACTATTGCATAATCCTGACATTAAACGATGGCTCGCTGACTCCATACTCTGTATGTATGGTCAAACTGAACTCTACTCTACGTTGCAAGGTCTCTGCTTGCCTGCTTTGCTTGTGGGGACGCTATGGCTTTGTCGCAAGGCCAATCTTTAGCTTAAGAGTTGATTTGGCTACCTAATTGCAGTTGTGACCTGTGATTGTATTGGTATCTGCTTAATGCAGTAATCTAAGCTCAAACATGTGCATGCATCACCTAAACTAACCTTGACCTAAATCATTTTCTTTCTTTTGTAAAAGCTTACTTTGCGTCCGGTAGTGATTCAGACTCACTCAGTCGTCGCTTCCCTCAGTTTTGACTGGTTTTATGTTTCTACACAGAGGAAACCAGAGGAGGAGAGCCCAGTAAAGGACACTGGTGCTAAACAATCGAAACAAGAAGCCACAGTTAATGGCGCTGACTCTAGTGCCAGCAATGGAGTCCAGGAGGGAAAATCACAGGAGGCGAGTGATAGGCTCATGTCTTATGAACTGCTGCCATTATAAGACGGCGCTGTAAAGTGTGCGCTCTGCGTGTTGAGCCGGAGGAGGTGGCCCAGCGTCAAGTAGTTGCGACTGGCTTGTTGTTGTTGTTGGCATTCTGGTCACAATTTGGGCTCTGGTTGTTTCAGTACACATAGGTCATTTAAAAAGGCTGACCATGTTGCGGTCTGCATTTATGGAGGCAATGTACCTCATACAGGAACATGAATGGCTACGATGCCATTGGGAGGAGTCCTGTGTACTTCAGGGCTTAACACTGGGTACAACATTTGTCTTTGTTTGGTTGCAGGTCTCTGCACAATACCTTAAAGTGACCACGGCTTCAGTATGGAACTGAGTGTGTGTGTGTGTATAACATTTCTAAGTGATTTTATTTTTTCTTCTAGCCTGCCGCCCAGTTGACCCCTGATGGGTCTTCAGCGTGACCATCATCCTCTTTCCAGATCTTCAAAACCAGCACAGCATGCCTATCCAGCCCCTTCAACACTTTTGATTTTGTAAATAAGATCATTTTCATAGAGTTTTGTCTGTCCAGTTTTTGTATACTTGTAGTAAAATAATAAAAAATATTGCAAATCTAAGTTTGTCAGTTTATAGACATTCTGCAGACTTAATTCAGTTCTGTTTTTAGAACTTATTTGTGCACCATAGTTGTGTTCCCAAAGTAAACTTTTGTTTTCGCACTTCTAAATCTGCTGTTGGGAGTAGAGGCAGCATTTTATCTTATTGAAAAAAAATTACAATTCATCATGACTGATCCAAAGTAGGTGCTGGTGCTAAAGTTGTATAACTAAGTTCATGTTTGGTTTTCTTAACATTTAGCGTGTTGGTCAAACAACGTGATTTCGGAGCCCACTATTCCCACATTGCTCTACAGCCTAAGCCATTGATCAGTTGTAGAGACATGTGCCATGTACAGTAACACAGGACATTTAAAAGGCGCATAGATGCACATTTTCAACTACAACAAAAAGTGCAGTGTGAAATGTCCTCATTCCAACCTAATACATTAGTTCATGTTAATATAAGGCCATGTTGCACCACAAATCGACAGATGTCTGTATGCATCCAAAGGTACACGGATCGGTAAGGTTTCACGTCATGTAGTGCAGCCGAGGGTTTATGGTGAGTACATCAGGTTAGTAATAAAACCAACCACTGAGCTCAGTTTCTGCGGCAACTTTATTACCACTTCATAAAACACAACACATTTTCTCCTTCACAACAAAAACGCCTACACTGGAACACTACACGACCCTGTGACGTCGACTTTTTTTTTTAGCTTCGACGTTAATCTATCTTCGATCATTAAATTCTTCACACTTTAGAACCTTGCTAAGGGGGGGCATCGCTTCGACGCTCATTGAACTGGTTATATCAAATTAGGGATTTAAAACCAGTCTACCATGGATTTCAAAAGTGAATTAGAAATGTTCAGTGCTGCAAGTATTCCTCTAATCGTAAAGTTATTCCTCGAGGCAGCTGCAGATAGAAGTGGAGCACTAGATTTAGAGGAATTTTGTGATGGACTGAAGAGGACAATGTAGAACTCGCTAATGTGTTCCACAAAATTGATACAGACGGAACAGTGGACCTTGGTGAGTTAGTGGAATTCCTGAGAGATTTTGAAAAGCTTTGTTGATACGGAAATCTTTCCAAGGCCTATAAAAGTGACAAGGATGAATCACTATAGAATGATTCTGCAAGTGATGTTCCTTCCCTACAGTTATGGCAAGAATTCTGAACGTGGGGTTTCTTCTCAAACAGAAATACAAACTTACAATCAATGAGATGGTCAATATATCTCCATTAGCTCTGATGGTATTTTGACCTACTTGTCTCACAGGATGAAAATTCTATGTCAAATTAATTTAGACATAAAAGTAAAGGCCCTTCCATTCTCAAGTAAATGCATGTAACTGGAATGGCCAACATCTAAGAACTTAAACAGGTTCAGCACAGCTGCCATAATGTGTTGCATTTCATACACTCAACAAGGCAATACGTGCTGACTCTCTCCTTGTAACAATAATCAGGCGTTTAAGTTCAAAGAGTGACATTCGTGTTAGTGAGTCCACCTATTCTTGGTATCGGTCTGCAGCACCTGATGCATCCGGCTACGGGCATGTGGACAGCTTCTTTGGACATCTTTCTCTGGCCGAGTAACTAGCAATACCCTTCATTGGAAAATAAATTCAATGACCATTCAATTTAGGACTGAAGTGTGACAAATAAGTATTTAGGTTAATTATTCTTAATCTTTAATAGAAATAAACCAAAAGTTAATTTACAATATGTATATGTAGACACTCAGTGTTCAGTTTAAGGGACAAACATTATTACACTATTATTGTAAAACTATAACAGAAAAAAGAAAATTATAACAATGTGACATGTTCTGATTGATCAGTTGCAGCTGTAGTTTTCATGGTGGCCAATTTGTCTCTCCAAGGCCTTCTCTTGTAGAGTCTTGGCGGCGCTGTTGACACTCAAGGGCCTGGGGCCTCTCATGGATTTTAACACAGCTCTCTTATGGATTCCATCAGGAGATGCTGCATTATGAGGGAGACAGAGAGACAAAGTGCCATTCATCCAAAAGATAAAAACATACGAGTATTTCCCAGATATCATCACAACAGATATCACAGATTCAAAAGGCTATGACAAAAGTTATACAGTGTCATTTTATTAAAGCTCGTGGTATTGGGGCTGGTGTCGACTGCTTTGATGGGTTCTAACTGTTGGATGGAGAGGCCCTGATTCCCACCTGTCACCCGGATACACTCTTCCTTGTGTCTTTCATCCCATGCTTTGGTTTTGCAGGTCTTGGAGCAGTAGAAGACCTTGTGGCAGCGGCTACATGCAGTCATCTTTACAAACAGCGAGCGGCCACATTCATAGCAGAACTTCAACACTGGTTTCCTAACAAGAGATCGACACAGATGGAAACAGATTTGGGTTTCCTGGTTTTGCTTTTGGCAAAATATATGTTACAACTTGGATAAAGTACAAGTGAAAATGACTGGAAAGACAACCATGAAAGGGACTAAATGAACACGAATGTGTGTGTATATGTACCTCTGCTCGTCGGTTGTGGGTGATGGACTTTCGTTGGTACTGGTACCTGTTCATTCAATACAGCACACATACATACCCTCAAATAACAGACATACTTAATAACACGGCCCTATTTTTTGGCTTAAAATTTTGTAATCTTTTACTGACCATTCAAGGAGTGGCATTGTTCTCTCTCAAGATGTTCTCTTTCTCTCTGGCCAGCGACATGTCTCAGCAGATCTCCCATCGTGCTCAGCAGCTGGCGTCGTTCTTTGAATGTTTCCCTCTCCCGCGGTTTCAGAGCGTGGAAGGGAGTGTTCGCAATACGAGAGTCCTATAGAGCAACGCATATCATATGGACAGTTATTCAGATCATTTCATAAAGAAATAAGCATTTGAAACGTGTGTGTACCTTATCATCTTAGTTTAAATTAACCACAAATAGCCCTTGATTCACCTCCTTCCGTGTCAAGCCAATCTTTCAATACAAAAAATAGGCTTTTGTAATTGACTGAATTCAGTCAATTTAAAGGCGTACAGTGTTCTTACGGTTACCTGGTTGAAAGAGTAGTGTGCGTAGTCGACGGCGGTTCCCACAACATCGCCAACCGTGACAGGCATCAAGATGTCGGCACCAGCCTTAATTAGCATGCCAAACTACAGCAAAGACACAATTCAACAGAATTTTTTCAATGATTCGATATAGAGACGTATTTTTTTTGCTTACTATTTTAACAACTGTAAATGAGGGATACAATTATTTGGAAAATCTTTTCATACATTGAGTTAACTATAAATAATTTGAAATCAACAAGAACAAAGTGAAATGCGTCGTTTTAAATATGTATGTCAAAAAAACAGCTTTGTATGTGGGTGTTTCTCATCTCATTGAAAAATCAACTTTCCACATCTGAATCAGACAAAAACAAATAGTCAACATAGTCACTTGATTAGGGAGCTTCATCTAGAAAAATAAAAAAATGTCTTGGTACCAAAAACCATCTGCTAAATGTTCTCTCCGCAGTGTCAACAGTGTTCTCTCCACAGTGTGCATACCAGCTTAGCTCTGTTGCCACATAAGTGATAGCTGAAGTTGGAGATGGCACAGAGAGCGCTGCCCACCCTGCGGCCCAGGGGGATGTTGGGATCTGCACCTCCGTTCAACAGCTCCTCCACTGCCTGGGGAGGGAAGAGGACCGGTTCAGGACAAAGTGTGGTTTTGTATTCCTGTGAAACATATATCTATGTGTGAGTTGATGTGAGTGTGTGGGCGTGTGTGTTTGATCTACCAGGTCATTGCCACTTGCTATAGCCAGGGACAGAGGTGAGTGCCCACTCCAGAGAAGGTCTGTGCTGGCTCTGTGGGAGAGCAGGAGGGCTACAACCTTGCTGGCGTTCTGCATAAAAAATATACAAAATAATTTAAATGGAACATAATGTTATTGTGGGCGGGCCTTATGGCTTTTTTAAATGAATTTTCTGCGTTGTGATAAAGATATCTTGTAGTTGGGTTGTAGTTCTTAAAACTATTCATCTTCACAAAATCATCTATGGTGCAGTCATGCTCTTCAAAGTAGAATAAATAATATTCGCAAAACACCAAATTGTTTGAGCTTTGCATGTATCTGTGCGTGTATTCTTTGACATTCTGGGTGAATATTCTCCACGTGATGATACACTATGAACTCACCTGATACTCACTGTCTCTCTGGCAGGCCATGTGCAGGGCTGTTCGGCCTCCTTCTTTGAGAACCGGGTTTTCCTTGTGGCTCAATGATTCCTTGTCCTTTGTACAAGTCTGTTAAAAAAAGATCTCAGACTGAAACTCTTTTCTCACCAGTTCAACAGTCATCTTAAATACTACTGCTACATTTTAAGGCTTAACGGATAGAAACACGCAGACCGTATCTCGTTCACAGATCTCATTCTGGTCGCACGCTCGTGCGTCTGGGTCGGCCGCAGCGTGGAGCAGCAACTCTGTGATTGTGGGACCTGCTGGACCTGGAAGGGCTGCAGCTACATGAAGGGGATAAAGACCCCTCCTCTGCAAAAAAGGATGAGAGGATGAGGGGAATTTGTGCTTTCTATAATTATTTTTGTCTGAGTTCTAAGATATTGCTCAGTTTGTCGCGTGACATTAGTAAAACAGTGAAATCCGTCTCTACCTCACGAGGAAGGGGGGTGTCAGTGCGAGCTTCACACAGCAGCAGCCTCCTGACGGCCTCAGTGTCAGCCGCCATGATGGCTAAAAAGAGAACCGGCATGGGGACCCTGGATGCGTTGGGGTCAGCGCCCCGATCCAATAGCAGCTTCAGGGTGTTCAAACGAGCACGGTGTCTGGTCAGATCAAAAACACAATCAGTGCAATGAGAACAGCACACACGGCACAAAAAAAGAGACAATGAAGGGAAACAACCCACTCAATTTTCATGGCAGCCATCTTGCGTACAGTCTCCTGTGAGTCAGCGCGCTGAGGGAAGCCCGTGCGACTCAGCGCCTCCGCTGAGAGCTGCATCATTTTCTCTGTGACCTCGATGTTGTAGCTTCTAACGCAGCAGGCCGAGTCAAAGGAGGTTTTGGGGTTTAGTTCTTTGTCTGTGGCCTGATACAGACAGTGTTAGGTGGACAACAGTGAGTTGGAAAGACCTTTTCAAACTAATTAAAGGACGGGATATTTGTGATTTATACCTGAACTCTTTCTGCTGCCTCAGCCCGACATTCCTTCCACGGTACGCTGCCCAGTGCAACGTGACCATCCATCACCTGAATGAAGCGCTGCACGCCGGGCACGCCCTCACTTTCTCTCTCTTCTCTCTCCTTTATATCCTCCCCATGATCATTCCATTCTCTCCTCTCTGCATCTTCCTCTACCTCCTCCCTCACCTCAACATTCTCTTCTCCCAGACCATCTACCAAGATGTGCTCTGTTAGTTTTTCTTCTGTCCTGAAAATACCATAACAAAAAGGTAAATTATATGAATAAATATGCTTGTTGTTGATTTGTTCTTGGGTAGGTATGTTATTTAACCTGGGTGTGTCTGTGATGAAGTCCACTTGGCTGATCTGAGGACTGCTCTCACATGCAGCTGGAGATGTTAAATCCTAATGACACATTACAGTGCACGTTATTCAATTCCATTAGCCTTTGAATAACATGTTAATTACAGATCTAGAAGTTGTGAGGGCATTAGGTAGAATCTTACTTGAGTGTTGGAGGGTATCTCAGTTGAAGTAATGTAGAGAGAGTGAAAAGGGTAGTAGAGGACGTGACACACAGCCAGGGCAGACATGCCTTCACAATTCAACTTGTCAATGTCGGAACCCATATCTAACAAAAGATGGATCACATGATTGTGGCAGTTTACCTGACAGTCACAAGAAAAAAAAAAGAAACAGTCTGAGAGGCAAACACAACAGTAAAGCAAAGCCACTACATATTTTTATTGATTGTATTAAAACTACCTTGATTGGATACCAATCAAAAGGAAAATTGAGGAATTACGGGTGAACAAATTGTATAGTGTTACTGTGGCAGCGATCAGTGCGGTGTGTCCCTGAGAATCTGCTACATCGCGGTGGACCGAGCTGGTCCGGAGGATCCGTGACACTGCCTTCCATTCCCCTCTGGATGCGTACTGGATAAACAACTCTGAACTGACTTCCAAAGGTCCTTTAGGACCAAAACCATCCCTGTTCATGGCGAGAACAGCTGCCACGTTCCAGCCCACATTCCCAGCTTGTAGTCTGGGAAACGCATACACAAATTATATCAGCACAAATAGTATTTCCTTTGCAAAACTCTACGTAGTTGTACATGATAATGTATATCATATTTTCACTCCTTACTGCTGTTTGTGGTACAACACTCAAACAATATGTATTTTTGGTGTACTTTATGACTGACCTGTGTTTGTGCATGTTTGCCAGCATGCGGGGCTGTAAGGGCAGGATGGCGATGGGGTCTCGCTCAAAGCCTCTTGCATAGGCGTCTGGCTCCCACAGATCGCCATAGAAGTGCTGATCCAGCTCTTTCCTTCTTCCAGGGGGCAGCGGCAAGTGTTCCCCATCTGTTGAATACCTCTCTATCCCAAAGGGAAGGATCAAATCATCTGACAGCACATTTATGTCCATTTCCACCTGAGGAGGAGGGATATTAATGTTTTTTTGTGTTTTAAATCACATAGCTTATATTCATAGATGTTCAAATGTACTTTACCTCAGAGTCCTCCCTCTCTTCTGGCTGTAGAACACCAGTAGGAGGCTGCTTACAAGAGAGGAGCAAAGAGGAGCAGAGAGGTCAATTAAAAATCGATGGCAATGTTATACACATACATTTTGCATAAAGACTTTATCATGATTTAGATTTCACTTCCTGGTACAAAAACTGTCTTGCTTATACGGTGTCAGTGGGCTTGGAAATAAATCAGTAGTACTGAAAAAATAAAAAAGTGTAATGACTATATGTCTTTATTAGATGGTTCTGGGCCATCATACTCGGAGAGAAGTTTCCGATGTTCTTGACTGGGTCACCCATTGTTGAAGCTGAGATCTCACATAAAAAAAAAAAATACACCAACCTAAACCAAATATATGTATGAAATTGATGTTTTATCCTGGGATAGCTATTCATCAGAGTGTAAGAAAGTGCTCGCCCGTGTACCTGAGTCAGGGAATGTGTAATGGCAGCCAGGTCGACGTAGGCAGCATATTCAGGAAAGTTCTTTAGGCTGAAGCTCTCTTCTACAGAGCTGCAGAACCTTAGCAGGCGCTCTCCAAGCCACAGACCCACATCCTTACGCCCGTCTGGATAACTAAACACACCTGGACCAAACCTCTGTTCAACGTGGTACAAACCCTGAGAGGGGGAGGAAGGGGCTTATTGCTATTTACTGGTATTTTTCTAATCAAAACCCAAAAGCCTGTCATTAATCCATTCGTCCGTTTAACCTGAAAGGTGGCTCCGTCAGAGAACTCTTGATGTCCATATCCTTCCTTTCGGTTGAGGTAGTACTTGCCGGTGAACTTGTGGCCTTGGGGCCAGCTGTACACTCCCTCCCCGTGCCTGTAGTCCTTGTAGAAGAAGCCATCGTAGAACTACACAAAGGAGCAGACAGGGAAACAAATAACACAGGGACTGGCTGTATTACAACCAACCGACAACTGTGAGAGACAATACGTCATTATGTTTAAGATAGAGATTTATGACATTTAATTGTATTTCAGAACAATGGGACAAAGTAGAGGTTGAAATTATTTTTGAAAACCACTGAAATGTGGTCCATACGTAGACTATGGACGTCAACGGAGCCCCAGGGAGCACGAGACGTCATTTCAACGTTGACATTGAAAAAAACGGAAGTTATCCTGATAGGCCCAGAGCGCCTTCGAAGCCAGCTGTCGCGTGATACAGTTTTTATGGATGGAATTGCTCTGGTACCCAGCAGCACCGTCAGGAATCTGGGAGTTCTCTTCGACCAGGATATGACCTTCAACTCGCATATAAAGAAGACTTCAAGGACTGCCTATTTCCATCTACGTAACATATCAAAAATCAGGAACTTCCTGTCTCAAAGTGATGCAGAAAAATTAGTTCATGCGTTTGTCACTTCCAGACTGGACTACTGTAATTCTTTGTTATCAGGCTGCTCTTGTAAATCTCTTAAGCCTCTCCAGCTGATTCAGAATGCTGCAGCACGTGTATTAACAAGAACTAAGAAAAGGGATCATATCACTCCTGTATTAACTTCTCTGCACTGGCTCCCTGTTAAATCAAGAATAGATTTTAAGGTACCTTTCCTCACCTACAAGGCACTTGCTGGTGAGGCACCGTTGTATCTTCAAGAGCTTGTAACACCGTATTGCCCTACAAGGCAACTGCGCTCCATAGATGCTGGGTTACTTGTTGTTCCTATGGTTTTAAAAAGTAGGCTGGGGGCCAGAGCCTTCAGTTATCAAGCTCCTCTTTTGTGGAACCAGGTTCCACTTTCAGTCCGGGGGGCAGATTCGGTTAGCTCTTTTAAAGTAAAACTTAAAACGTTCCTCTTTGATTCTGCCTATAGTTAGGGCTGGCTCAGGTTAGTCCGGACCAGCCCTTAGTTAAGCTGCTATAGGCTTAGAATGCCGGGGGAATTCTTAGGACACACCGAGCTCCTCTCTCACGCTCTCTTTCTACCATAATTCAAGTTTTATTAATGCACATGACTAATTCAGCTTCTTTCCGGGAGTTTTTTTTGTGCTTTCGCCCCTATCAGGTCTCCATAGATCGTGGTTCCTTCGGGACCCTGGTCCTGACACCTACCGTGGCCATGCTGACGCCTGCTGCTGCCATCATCATCATCATCATCATCATTATTTTAGATATTAATCATATTACTGTACTCATAAACCAACATTACCCTCTCCTAAAATCTCTGTGCTCTCCCTCCCCACAGGATTCTGTGGATGGTGGTTCTATCTGATGGTGGTTGCCTCTGCAGTGGTCCTGCTGTGCGCCTGGCTTACTACTCACAATTACTTGAATCATTTCTGTCATAGGAATTGCATGTATTATACATTGTTCATTCTGTACACATGGCATCCATTGTAGTCTGTCCATCCCGGGAGTGGGATCCCTCCTCTGACGTTCTCCCTAAGGTTTCTTCCCTTTTTTCCCTCTTGTAAGGGTTTTTTCATTTTTTGGGGAGTTTTTCCTGTGCCGATGGTGGGTTTCGGGGCAGAGGATGTCGTATGTGTACAGACTGTAAAGCCCTCTGAGGCAAATTTGTAATTTGCGATTCTGGGCTATACAAAATAAAATGACTTGACTTGACTTGACATTTGGGTTGATAACTTTCCTAATAAAGTTCCTAGCGCGCAATTATCCGTTTAAAAGACGTCTACGGTCGACGTGGAAAAGACCAATTTCACAGCGTTTCTTCAACAGAAAAAAAGAAAGAAAGTCAAGCAGACAGTTGACTTCTGTTCAGAGGTGGCCATAGACGTCTTTTAGAACCATGAATTGAAACGAGTGCGTCGAAGCAACGCCCCAGACGCAGAGGCACGCGCCAGCCTTAACGCGTCGCGGGGAAATAACATTTCAGAACGACTGTTTCCTGCTTGTCGCGTTCAATACACTGACGTTACCTCCCCGCTTTTCCAGGTGTACCTTCCTCTGCCGTGTTTGAGTCCGTTTGTAAATCCTCCCTCGTATCTGGATCCATCGGGCCACTGCTGAACACCGAGGCCCTGTCGTCTCCCCTCGCCGCTCTCCGTCCCCCGCTGCCCCGAAACACGTTTGTAGGTCGACTGCATTTTAATCTGAACGTCAACTCGCCCAAATCCGATGGAGCGCACGAACTATCGCTTTAGAGTTAAAGTTGCACGATTGTAATGGTGTTTAGGGGAACACTTCAGCTGTGGGAAGTCAGATTTAAACTTTTCTGTGAACGCCGGTTGTCATGTCAACGGCAGAATCCTCTGGCTGGTGCGCATGCGCAAAACCAAGAGAAACACGGGGTAGTTTTGAAAAACCATGATAGTATCAGGAATACTATTTTTTAGCTCTATTATTAGTCTTAAATGATCCCGTCCACTACTTTAAGCAACACATCTACTTACTCGTGATCTATTGAATGACTATTGGGTTTTTTGTTAGTTGTATCTAACGTCCTTCAATCACCTGTTTAGTCACCTTTATTCTAGGCTCCCTAATGTACCAAAACAGAACAAAATACAAAACAATAGATTTGTTGAACCAAATTCAACTAAAGGCATAAATAAACTATTTTGTCCCTACTGAAGATCCCAACGAAAACAAGGAAGGAAGCAAACACCCCCAGAGTGAAGATATAGTGTGATAAGCCCAAATAAAGAGTAATGAAAGTAGCTCATTGTCAGAGATGGAGGTCAGTCCTTGTCAAGTCTAAGTGGTCCTCTTTAAATGGTTAATGAAGCAGGTCCAGCTTGCGAGTGTGCAAGTGCTCATATGTCACCTGACACTCTGTCCTGTAGCTGACACACGCAAGAGACTGTATAAACCTATAGCATGTGTTGGGATCTCCGATCACCCCGAGTTGGTTGATGAGAAGGATCGCAACATGTTGATCAATTAAAGTAAAAGTTGACATTTATTTAGAAGAGAAAAAGATTACATGAGCAATTCTCTGCAGATATATCTGGCTCTAACTATTGCTTGCAAGCAGGAGGTTGAAAACACAAGCACGTATTTCAGCGCTCCCGGTACGGGAAGCTGCAAACCAAGTTGAGATACGAACCAAGGTTAAGATGAGGGTAACACACACAGTTCCTTTGTTGAAGCTTCTGTGTGAGAGTAAGTTAACTCCCTTCTTCAGGCACAGCTGCATATGGAGGCCTTAATTCTTTCTGCTTGTGCAGATCACTTCAATACAGACAATAATCACTCTTTTAGCAAAAGACTATGTTATAACATGTTTTTACCATTACATGCATCTCACACATGCTATGGCAGTTGGATGTGGTGGAAAATGACATTAGTAATTAACATTAGTGGACAGCAGCATTATTAAAGCTGTGTTATAAATCCTAAAGAAAGTGTAAAGAATACTCCATGAAAAAAAGCTGGATTATTTTTACTATTGGCAATACATTAATTATCATGCACATAGTCCCCAAGCGTGTTTTTATTTTGATAAAGTATGCAAAAGGAAAGTTATTCACAAAGCTGTTCACAAGGCTTTAATAACACATTATACTAATATTCTTGGGGCAAAAACCTGGACGTACATATGAACAGACCTTTTTTTCTGAGTAAGATAAAGACTGCAAGATGTTGTCCTTTGTGGTCAGCCCCCATACTTTAAGTTTGAATTGTCTGCAAATCAGGCACCTCTGCAAATCACAGCTCAAATATATATCTTTATTTTCCCATTCGTGTAAAAGAACAATACACAATATCCATTCTTCTCAAAGCGATAACACCTCACATGTCTAACAGAGAACCCAATTTGAGAATTTGGACATGCTTATATCCCATGTTTATATTTTCAAAGTTGTAGTACTTTGGTATATTTACAGGGTATTCTAATACATTAGGTAAATTGGGTCTTATGAAGACATGCACATATCTTCTAAAGTTAATAGGTTTTGTTTCCAACTTACCAATTTGTCAAACTTCATGTTTAATGGACTGCAGTAAATGCAAGTTAAATATCTAGAATCAGATCTTAATGTAGGCACTTATAAATTACAATACTCAACATTAACTATTATTTGAACCACTTCATCCATTTATTAGTCAGTTGTTCAATTAACAAAACGTAAATATTATGTGTTTAAAAGCACTTCACAATTACATAAAGTGAAGCTGAAAAAATCAGAATGACACAGTAGGCAGTTTGTGCTTACAAACAGTAGATACATCAGAGTTGTGCTATTTCTTATCGCCATTCTGTCTTTGAGGCTTTCTACACTTAACAGAACTATAATCTCTTTTATGGACAGTGCATCCCCAGAATGGCAGATTAAACAATTTTTACATATATTGCTTACAGTAGGATGAGATGAATTCACTTTTAATAATATCTGTATATTCAAATGACAATTAACTACGTGCCATAAGAAGACCAAGATCTTACTGGTCGACCTAGTTAAAAGATTTCACCTCATCTCTACTGAAACGTGCACCAGGTTTAGAAAGAGTATTAAAACACAAAGATGGGTGTAAAGTAAATTCCCTTCAGACTTCCATGCTTAAATTTGAGTTGAGGCCACAGTGCTGAGTGCAATAGGATGTAGGGAGGTGGGGAGGTGGGGCACATGGGGAGTGGTTGACCTGGGCCTCTCAGGCCTTTTCCTCTATTGTAAAAGTCTCCATGGGGGCTTTGCTCAGAGTCTTGATGTCATTCAGGAGACTAGTTGGGGTCAATATGTGAGAGGACCCTGGAAACAAAGTGTAATGAATCAAAAACAAAGCGTATGAACATGTTCACAATTGTAACATGGTGTTAAACAGCTGTCAAGAAACCTTAATAATACTAATACTCTCTTTGGTGTAATATTAATAATATAGTATCAGCCCTTCTTTAGTTTACTTAAACTACCACAACATTAGCTGAATTGCTGAAAATAAAAAAATCCTGTATTTATGCTCACCAATGATGACCTCGCAGGATTTGACTGCCTGTGTGACCTCGTAGGCACAGCGCATCTCAGAGTGGCTGATTCCTCCCAGAACAAAAACAATGAGGCGTGAGCCGGTCCGGCGTTCGTCCGCAGCACTGTTTTTTTGCTTCTGACGGGCACTTTGGAGCAGAAAGGGTAGAGCAAAGAGTCAATGGGACAAAACTTAAAACCCAACAAGAGAAAATTGCATGCCAAATTCTGGACAAATTGACATCCTGGCAAGACGGGAGGCGAAGGATAGGAAGAACTTTCAGAGAAACGCACAAAGATCATTCTTTATGAAACGGATTTCAGAGACACGAAGAAATCCTTTATTCAAAAAATAAAAATGAAAAAATAAACCTTAGTTTAATAGCTGGATCTGAAAGTGAGTTTTGGGATACAATTGACGCGTTGAGTACGCGAGTTGAAACGGGATGAAAAATAAACTCTTGTACCTGACAGCTCCAGAGCCATTCCAGGCAGCAGGACACTCAGACTGGTGGGGCCACTCTTTGGTGTCCAGCTTGTTCTCCACAGCATCCTGAAAGTGGCAGATCTTTAATTCTTCTATCGCATGAGCACCTGCGACCAGGTGTTTTGGGGGAAATCGGTGTTACATATTCGAGTCTTGACTCTGGCTTGTACTAATGTGAGATAACCAACATCAGTGTAGAACCCAATAAAGGTTTGGCAAATAGTTCCAACAAACTAACGCTTGACCAGACTGGGTTTTGATTTCAGTTGGTGGCAAGTTACGTCTGTATTACTACGTAATGCAGAGACCATGATCCAAACTGGGAATAATCTTTGGACCATGGAAAAACAACATCACTAGATGACAATTCCTGCTTCCTGCAACAGGATGGATGTGGAAATTCATCTTAAAATGGCAAAACATCCTGCTGTCAACACACATCAAAACAAGTCTGTCTGCTGATGCAAGAGGAAACGGTTCACCAGCTTACAAGACAGCAGGTGCTCTGGTAGCGGAAACTGCTCAGAAAAATGGCAGGTAATAAATAACACAAAGGGGGAAAATGAGAAGAAAAAAACTGATTATAGTACTATAGATCATCTTGTCCTTTTTTTAAAAGAATCACAGTTCAAACAGATCCCCTCAACAACAAATGCCACAATGAGACCGGTTGGAACACAGGTTAAAGATTTGACTTCCAATAAGATAACCTTGATACCAGAATGTGGAATCTTACTCCTTTTAAGCAACAGAACTGAGTTCACGAGTTACGCTCGTTCTATTCTATTTATTATGCTTGCAGTACCTGCTAAACTTCATGTTAAGCAAAAAGCTTTAATAAAATACGTCACACAATAATCAGCTCTCACTGACCTCCATCACATCTTTTATGACGGGAGTCCATCTGGAGAGGTTGTAGGTCTCATCCTGGGAGCGATTGCGCCTGCTTGTTTTGCGGGAGAAGAAACTAGGAGACTAGAAACAAAAAGGTACAAGATACAATAAGGATTCAGTTAAGTCTGAACCACAGTACTGAATAGATGAACAAGAAAAAAAAAAACACACACACTGAAGGAAATCCACAGTGAACCAAAGCGAAGGAGACAGACAGAAGTCCGAACTTGTCCTCTGTGATAGTTTTAACCTTTGCGTACACTCAGCTACAAGAAATCGCAAACAAAAAACATCAATCAAACATTCCTTTTCTGGTCCGCACATACCGTGATGATAGGGACCCCCAGTTCTTTCCAGTTCAGGATGAACTCTTGATCTTCCTCAATCTTTACATGCTGAATAAGCTTGTTTAAGTTCTCCTCAGTTGTCCCTGTTGACACAAAACAAACAGGCATGAAAATCTGGTACGTTTTACAAAGGCTGCAAGCTTTTTGTCAAATAATTAGCAATACGGTCTAAAACAACAGACAATTTCAGGGAGGCACTTATCTGAAACTCTATTTGCAAATATGCTTTGGTACATTTTTGTTTGGTTTGAAGCTCAGTGTACCGTTGACGCTGAAGATGTAGAGCAGCACAGCTCTGATCTTGTCGTGGGTGCTGTACGGGTGGAGCAGCACTGGCAGCAGAGTCCTCATGGAATCTTTCACCTTCACCCCCTCAACGTCTGACCCCAGTGCAAGGTCCTACGCAGAGATAAACAATCTTTGTCAAGGTTGGTAAATATTTATTCATGAAGCTCCATTTTACCATTTTCCACAGAACCACCATCTGTGGATGGTGGTTCTATCTGATGGTGGTTGCCCCTGCAGTGGTCCTGCTGTGCGCCTGGCTTACTACTCACAATTACTTGAATCATTTCTGTCATAGGAATTGCATGTATTATACATTGTTCATTCTGTACACATGGCATCCATTGTAGTCTGTTCATCCCGGGAGTGGGATCCCTCCTCTGACGTTCTCCCTAAGGTTTCTTCCCTTTTTTCCCTCTTGTAAGGGTTTTTTCATTTTTTGGGGAGTTTTTCCTGTGCCGATGGTGGGTTTCGGGGCAGAGGATGTTGTATGTGTACAGACTGTAAAGCCCTCTGAGGCAAATTTGTAATTTGCGATTCTGGGCTATACAAAATAAAATGACTTGACTTGACTGACTTAATTTTTGGAATCTGACCAGTACAACAAAACAAAATTGTACTGAGTCACTCTTTCCTGAGGAGGTGGTCAGAGGTCTCAGCTACAGAAAAGTTCTCCGCAGCTCATTGTTTTTTCAGTACCGCGCTCAAGAGCAGCGGTTTGGCGCGCGCAAGGTTTAATACCATCCTCACAACAGATGACGGCGCACAGACAGACCTGCTCAGCTTTGCAGAGTTTCTCCACGTTGTTTGAAAAATGATGCATGCAGTCCTCGGCCAACTGCAGATGAATCGTTTTCTAGAGTTCAGAGAAAACATTAAAACAATATAAACAGTATTGTTACTGCAGTTTCAAGGATTTCATTAAATGGAAAATAAATATACTTGTTATACATACTATTTTTGTCTTTTGGGCTGAAGACGTAATGACGTGAACTTCACATAATAGCAGCCTTTGGAGGCACCACACCCAACCACCACATAATGATCACACAGCTCTTTAATTAAAGGTACCACTCAAAAATCTATTGAGCCAAAACTGCTTCCGCATACCTCCGTCACTTGTTTACGGAATGAAGGCATCTTCTTCATCATCTCGGCCAAACTGCTAATTGTGATCTGAAATAAAAGCATTTTCAGTATGAAGATTCCCTGAGCTCATGAAACCAGGGAAGGCCATGAGAAGAAACCACGGCACTGTACCTTCGCATCTGGCTGCTTCTTGTTAGCAGAAATCTCCTTCACCAACTTGCGGATTAGTCTGTTGTGGAAGCAAAGGAAAGCTTGATGTGTGGAAGACAGAAGCAGGACATTTCTATCCTTCAGATCTTGCTAACTCACTCAGAGACGTCAGCAATGTGCTTGTGCCTCAGCTTAACCCAGAGCAAGTCGTCCTCATTCAGCAAGGCCTGCTTCTCTGATTTATCTTTAGCCTTGTACCTGGAAAAGAAAATAACTAGTTTTAGTTTACTTGTATAATTTCTTTAAATTGCTTGTCTTGTTTATAGGCAAGACAACATGGTGCCGTAAGAATATTAAGTATGTGTGAGGAAGGTGAGGTTTTATAGGAAAAGCTTGCATTACTTGTAGGTGTCGCTCTGGATATCAATGAGGTCGTAAGCCATGGCCTGGTAGGTCAGCTCATGCAGGATGGGGCTGACGGGGTCAAAACCTCTATCCACTATGAGCAGCTGGGCTTGAGTCTTTTCCTTGTGATTAAAGATCAGAACAGATAGTTAAAAAAATCATACTTACAAATTAAAACAGAGGTTACTGTATGTTAGTAACATTTGGGCTTTTTCCTTTGCTGATACTGCTGCGATGCCACCAAGCAACCGCCACAAGATTTTATCAGTTTGAATTTCTGTTAAAGGGCAATATAATTCTAATCTTTTTAGGACAAAGGGAGGGGAAGGTGGTTTTTTTGCAAGCCGTCAGTGGAAATAAACTAATTTTGCAGGTTCTCCTTTGCTAACTGGACTAAGACCTTGTTATTTGTGTTAACATCCTTTGTCCAGCGGGTGTCTCACCTTTTTCTTGCTGTCCTCCTCCAGCTCATAGTGTCTGGCCAACTTTTTGTCCACCAGCTCTGCAAAGGCCTTGGCGTTCTCCATGTTGCCGTCTCTAGTTATGATACAATTATTTTTTCATGAGTTATCCCGCTTAAGTCAATGCGGTATACTAAGTGAATAATTAAACGACTTGTGAGATGATAAAATGCTCTCGTTAAGCTACGGCAAAGTGAGGTGAGATTTGAAACTGTAATAAGGCTTAATTTCTTCTCTGCCATAGTAAAGGAACATTCTATGGTCTCGGATCCACCTTTTCTTGTAAAAGGTCCCTCTCTGCTTGGGGGCAAAGGTATGTGGAAAGCTGAGAAACGAAATCTTCTCTGGCTTACTTCTTGTATCTAATCCCCGGATACTCGTCCAACGTGGCACAGAGCGTGACGAGCTGGTCTGCGAGCGTCTCCAGTGTCTTTGTTTTGTCCCGACTGTGGGGACTGTAGATGCTTTGGAAAGCCCCCGGATTATTACATGTGAACACCTGTAAAGCGTTCAAAACACCAGAGTAAAGTCTCCAATAGATTTTATGACACTAGAGCCAAATGCCAAGAATTGATGATATTAATAATATGATATAAATACACACAATTCAAAAAAATAATTTGTGGAAATTTTAAAATAAATCAGAACCTTAAAACCTTTTTTTTAATTTTTACTACAGAGAACGAGAAGCCCCTGGGATAACAAAAAATGTGTAAATTTCATCAAGGCTTAAAGCAACCAACAATATTGGAGTCACTCAAGACACGGCGAGTCTCCTACTCCCAGTAGCAACGGGAGACTGAACACAGACTTCATTTCCCCTACAGTAAAAAAGAAAGAAAGAAAGAAAAAGAGCAAAACACTCACTTGTGCCTCTTGTGGCATAAAGGACAGGTTTATCTCCTTACAGACTCGTATGTACGTCGCACAGGACCGCTTCATGTTGTTAAACAGGTCATCAGGACAGTCTGTGGGAACAAAACGCTTTAGTTCTTATGTTACATTGTTTGTTAGGCAACAACAATCACTGAAAAAAGATTTTAATCATGTTGGGTGAAAGGTACTTTTTTGTCAGTGTTGCTGTAGTGGCAGATTGAAGTTGTGATTCCTCTTACTTACAGTCGGTGAAATAAACATATGCTGCTTTATATTTAGGTTTGGGCTTGAAGTCTGCAATAAAGGCATCCACACACTATAAAGGAAAATCCAAGACATCACAACATAGTTTAGTAGAAAATAAAAGAATCTTCAGAATAATAATTTTTTTCGCAGGAATTAAAATTTGAATCTGAATGCAATATCATGAAAGGACTAGAATGGCAAACCGTAGTCGTTGGTGACATGAAGTAGATGGCCTTCATTTCTGGAACAGGCTCTCTTTTTTTGTACAGGTCCTCCACAACTAAAGAAAGAAAAATATATATTTTACAGCATACTTCCTGCAACTTGTTCTGTCTTTTACCAGTATTATATCAAAATGAGTGTATGTCATTTAAGGAAACCTACTTGTTATTTTTTCTAACATCAGGTCTGACATTTTGCAGCATGTTGAGAGGAGCTTGGTGGTAAAGGGGTCCAGAATCAATATCTGTAAAGGAGATGAATATGTACTGGGTTAGTCAAATTATGTATCACACTGCAATGTACAGCTACAACTCACAACTATAGTTTGAGCCACAGTGCATGAGTGGAATAAGACACAAGTATGGACTTGTCCTACCTTCCATACGTCCGATTTCCTGCAGTCTGTAATAATTGTATCTTGTATTCCTGTAACAGACACATGGTAGAACTCATTTAAAAAGCATCATGACTGGAACCAGAAGAGAACATGCTGTTCACGACTATCTGTGGCTTCAAACTGGTGCTGAAACTCCTGTGTTGTGCAGAATATCGAGAGATTATAATCTAAACAATCCATTAGTTACATGTCTCTTTGATCAATTAAATAGCCGGGTGTAAAAAAAAAAAAAAAGTGTTGTTGTTTTTTTGTTTCATGTAGATGTTATGGTATAATTTAGAAATGTTTTAGAGTCTTAGAATGTCTGTTTGACTCGCATGATACACCAACCAGAATAAAGATATAACGTTAGCTATGTTTGACGAAGCAAATCAGTCAGATTACTCTCTGGTTTATGAAATATATACGGATGCAGTGAGGAAAAAAACCCTCCAATACGTTATGGTTTTCAGTGGTCGGTTGACACTAAACGTAATGTGCATGCTGCGTTTTCCTTCTGACATGAGGTGGGGCTCCAGTCGACGGAAAGTGACCTCACTCCGAGTCCATGTCATTTAACTTAACGTTAACTCAATTAACGTTACGAGAAACACCACACGCCGACACAAAATGCGGTCTGTTGATATTAACATCCCTTTAAACCACACAATTCAAGTTAGTGAACCCCCGTTGCCTTGAATGGCAGAATGAACGTTAACGGTCATTCCAAGATGCAAAGTGTCAAACAATGGAACACTGTTTTAATAAAACACCCGCTACTTAGCAGCCCTTTAGGTTATAGAAGTAAAGCGCAACCTGTTTCACATGTAGAATAAAAACTCTCCCGTCGGAGGGAAACTTACTTTTCCACACGATTCTTTTCAGCCCGTGATCTGCTCCCGTTGCCATCTTGTTTTTTTTTCTGTTGTATTGCTCTGCGCCTCTTCCTGTCCCGTGTCTACACGTTCTGACGTCATCTGCGTCATCAAGTGTGCGACGGAGTGCTGCTGTAGTTTTTAACACATGGGGTGAAGCGTTGAGGCTCTCGTTCCCGAAACCTAGACACGTAGGTTCGCTTCCATGATGCTGATGGAGGGAAAACGTTTATTACCGCTGGAACTACATAAATACATCCACTGACCCTGTGTTTGACTCTGAGTAAAGGGAGCGCCACCAGTAAGAGCTAGAAAACTGGTAAAATGGCATTACTCATGCCGAATCCAAGTAACGGGATACTCAAATGAAGCGCGTGAATCCAAATTAGGAGTTAGAATTAAAAGAATACATGGGAACGTGAATAGCTAGGAAAATTAGAAATTATAAAAATACATCATACTGGTATGTTTAGATTTATTCAGTAGAACTGACTGACTTACTACACTTATTCAGTCAGAATGGTGAGGTTTTTCTGTTTGACATGCTATTTTTCTCATTTTGACACAGTAACAGATTGGTGAGTTTAATGTCATTTTTTAATTCAATTAATTAGTTATTATCTACCCTTTACCTACTCCCTCCTTACAAATACTGTATCTTCGTGACATGTATTTCCTTGTTTTTTTATGGTTTCCTGGCTGGTCTTATTATCATACAGTGTGAAATGGAAGGATTTGTGGCCTTAAGCGAGTGAAACCCAATTCCTTTGTCGGACCCCATACAATGCTACATTTGATGGTGTCTTGACTGAATCCTTCAATATAGAATATCTTGCCTATAGCGACTAAGCTGTTTTGTTCTCAGGCCATCTGACTTGCACCTTCCCCAAGTTGCAGCTCGCTTCACTATCACTGGATATTTGCCTCCAATGGGAGGGATCAGATGGAGGTATTTCAACCACCACAGATACCAGATAGTTTTAAGAAACAATAAAACAGTTAGGAGTGAAGCATTTTAGAAAGTTATCAGAAGTCGTGAAGTGTGTTTAAAAGGGTTTGAGGAGCGTTTTAAGACACAGAGGTAAAGAATGGACGCTCTGAAGTGGCTGGGGATTTTTGTCTTGCTGGGCATCTGCTCAAAGGTACAGTAATACAAATTATTGTGATAAATGTTATTTCAAATTATGGCACAAACATTTTATTATGAGAGCACAGTTCTCTACAACATTAAAAGTAGTTAACTTGTTGGTAGTAACTTGAATTTGATGTAATTACATGAAAGTATTGATAACAATATTTTTACATCTATATTTGCAGGCTGCAGCCCAAGGTACTGTATGTTCTCTTTTACCATAACGCCACTGTATATGTTTATATACATTACCATTGGCCAAACCTTGATTATTTCATACATCTATGTGCCAGGTTGTAAACAAATGCTGATCTCCAATCCTGTCCTCTCTCATCAGCTTTACAAGTGTCCGTGTTCTCAGTAACAACAAAGAGCGCAATTCTAAAATGGACCAGGTTCTCCGGAGCCACCTCATACAGGATCACCGTCGCCCCCAAAAGCTCACCTAACAACCAAATAGCTTTTGCAACGTTTGGTCCAAACACAGTGCTGGGCTCTGTCAACTCTCTGTCCGCAAACGTCATGTACACATTCACACTTGAAGCCCTGAATAGTTCCCAAGAAGCATTGAACGCTGCAACTGTTGAGTCATCCACAGGTGAGGTGCACTGGCGACCATAGCTGTCATGTTTAAGCACTAAATAATAATGTTTTATTCAGAGCTTCATTGTTTTGTGCTTTGTGTACATTTTTTACATTTTCTGATGATTTTTCTTTAAATTCTTTGAAGAATTTACACACTACAGTTTTGCTGCTGTATTCAGCAACACTATGTATCTAAAACCATGCTGAACAAATAAATAGTCCTTTCAGCATTATTAATAACATAACAATGTGAATTTAAACACCTACATGTTACTCTGATGAGGGCCGGGTGACAACTTAACTGAGCGAAGGACCACACAAAAGTCGCTACTATTCCAGTGACAGTAAAAGTGAAAATCTTTTTAATTGAGCGGCCGATCAATGTCAACGACAAAATAAAACCTTTCCCATTTCTAATCCCAGAAATTTGTAGAATAAAGGTAGATTCCCCCACATATCACAAACAAAATTCTACTTGAGGTTACATTTCAATGGTATGAGTCCTCTTTTTGAACGCCATGTCTGACTATTTCAGCTCCTAATGTGATGGATACCATCCAGACAGTGAAGACGAAGGATAGCGGCACCTTGATGGCGTCGTTCAACTTGGAGACAGGGGCGACTGATTACATCATACGAATCCAGACTACAGATGGCTTCTTCAGAGAGGACACGGTGTCTTCCACCCCGGCTGAGATTAAGAACCTCAAACCATACACTGAGTATACGCTCAGCATCATGTCTGTCAACAGTGGAGGCCGGAGCCAGCCGTGTCTTCCTGTGACTGCAAAGACAGGTATACTTTATATATTTGTGTGCATAATGTCAGATTAACTACTTCCAAGTCTGGGAAACGAAACCCCCCCAAAATACTGCCTATACAGTGGCAAAACAAGTAAGGGTGGTGTTTTTAATCAGAGAAACAATGTGCACCATTCTCATCGATCCCCATGCCCTCCAGAAGTTACTTGATCTGCCTCATTGTTCCTTAGCAAAGTCACCACATACAGTACTGTGAGTCAAGTTCACAGTGGGGTGAACATTTACTAAATAAATGCATCAGCCCTCCTCAGGGCCTCTATCGGTGGTAACTATACCTGACCCCTCAATGCCAACCACAATGGGTTGACCTCATACTGAGAAAGGGGGGGGGCGATATGACTCCCAGAGCCAAAGAAAGATGCTAAGAGCAGTTTCACCATATCTGTCCATTGTTATCAAGCATCTCTGATTTTCAGGCTTTTCAGTGTTAGAAACAAAAAAAACGTGAACAATCGGAACTGATTTTCATTCAGTAAGTGTCAAAGAGTACCGATGTTGTGGCAACTAAAGCTATAGGTCATAACGTGACATTACTGGTGGTTGATTTGAACAAAAATAATTAAAACTCCCGGATGATGTATAACGTATAAAATGGAAAACCTAAACGAAGCATCTCATTAATGTAAAAATGTTTTCCCTTCCCCAGTTTTGCCTCCTCCTCAGCTCCTCGCCTCCTCTCCCAGCAATGACAGCATCATCGTATCCTGGGAAGCTGTTGCTAACGCTGTCCAGTACACCCTATCTACACACCATGTTGGCACAAACACCAGCGTGAGGCACAATACCTCCAGCACCAATCTGACCATCTCTGGCCTCGATGCTGCCTCTCTGTACGCCATTGAGGGTTTCGCATGGGACCCCGAGGGCCGAGCAGGGGAGGCCAGTCTGATCATCAACCAGACAACACGTAAGGAGGCACTGAGACACTTCTTTATTCGTTCCAATCGGATCACATTCAACAAGAGAGAGACGCTCGCTACCTCCTGTTACCTTTATAATAATACAGGAGGAAGATTATACATGAAAGTAAAAAAGTAATGAATAACCAAACTGAAATGTTGTTGTTTTGTTTGATTGTTTCATTATTTTTTTCAATAATGTGAACTCTATTCCTGTAGAGCTGGACAAACACGCGTTTCCCACCTATAAATCATAATTAACAGTAGAAACACTTTACCAGGAACATTTAACCTTCAACCTTTTGAGCCATTGAAAACATGCACACAAGTATTCATTTATTTTCAGATTCTTATCTTCAGAATCAGATTTAGGCTCATTTTTTTGAAAGACTTTTGCACATTCCATTCATATATATATATATTACTACAGTGGATCTGTATATTATATAACAATTATCACCCAAAATTACATATTATTTCAAAAAGTAGTTAAAGCCATCTGATAAATACCGTTCAGTTAAGACAATATTTTCTTTACGGATGCGGCGCAAACATAAAATGAAGTAGCTGAGTACTTGAGTAAAGCAAATATGTTAGTCTGTATCTGCTGGTGTTTTAACAGGATCTCCATCACCACGTTGTGCCAACGTCTCCATGGTGAAGAGTAACGGTGTGGCAGGACTTTCTGTGTCCTGGGAACCCAATCAGGAGCTTTATGGATCCATTCAATACCAAGTGATGAGTGACCAGAACCTCACCTGTAACTCCACATCCACCTCCTGCATCATGCTGCCAATCTTGTGTGGGGAAGTACACACCATCCAGATCACTGCCGCCAACGACGCAGGGCTCAGCCTGCCATCCAGCCCCGTCGTGTTCACCAGCTGTGAGTACGGATCTGTTTTAGTTCAGATCCATACAATAAGAATGGCTTAAGTCATTTCATTTTTTTTCTCAATATAGATTTTGAGTTTGATTTGATTTTAACATAAGTGGGATCTAATAGTGTCATTCAGGAAAATCTGATTACAAGATACTGTATTATATTACAACATATTACTACAGTCATATAAATTGTGTTGCTATCTGATCACATCGTCCACACCTGATACCAAACAAAAACATGTATAGTTTATAAAAGAGATTAGTGTTTGAGAGTTTTTTGAATATGCAACAGTTAATCCACACCACAAAACTTTGACCACTTGGATTTCTTATGAATTATTTCCCATTTCCCCCTTTTTTTGAACAGTCAGCAAATGTCAGCAACTTTTAACGGATGCAGCACAACCACTGAACACTTTAGAAAGCTACAATTGCAATTATCACGCATCAGTATATAGTGAAAAAATATTGAGAACTGGGATCATTAGTTTGTGATTACCGGCCTGAAATGCTCACTGTAAGACCACCTCATGGTCAGTCCCGGACGTTCTGGTGCTCAGATACATCTGTCAGTGTGTGGCCGTGACCTGCTGCCCTGTTCTGTCAGTCCCTTGTCCACCAGACTCTTTGGCTCTCGTGGAGTCAACTGAAGGAAACTGCACGCTGACTTGGCACACGGCGCCGCATGCCGACAGCTACCAGGCCTTTATCAACAAAGGCGACGGCGCCGAGGAGACCTGCAACACCACCGGCAACAACTGCACCTACCACTGCATGTGTGGCTACACGTACTTGATGTCCGTGTCCGCCCTCAACCGGGCTGGCAGCAGCCCGCAAGGGCAGATCCTCAACTATACCACCTGTAAGTGACACGTCGCCTCAACATTTTGAGTCCTTTTGTTCTGGTTGTGATCATGATATGTTGACTTGTGCGTCACATGTGTCGTTCAGTGCCCTGCTGTCCAGAGGAGGTGTCGGTCTCCGCGGTGAGCACTGACACTCTGGAGATAACGTGGACGGCCTCCCGGGGGGCACAGCTGTACGAGACTCGAGCCACAGCCGACTCACAGGTCATCCTGTGCAACGACACAGCGCCGGTGTGCGCCCTCTCTGACCTCCGCTGCGACAGTCCGTACAGCGTGCAGGTGACGCCCTGCAGTGAAATCAGTGGATGCAGCCGTGGATGCAAGGCTCACACCAAAAACACTGGTAGAAAACGTTTTTTGTTCTTTTCACCTTCAATTCCTGCAGTAATCTTTACCGTATTTCACTAAAACTCACACATTAACTTTGGAGAACGATACAAATACTTTTTGCATGTTGACTTTATCTATTTGAACATACTGAAATACGTTAAGAGGTCCACACAAAACCACCAAAACATTTAGCTTTATGTTTCATCTTTTAAAGGATTAGTTAAAACCTGACTGAACAATTAACATAATCCTAAATACCAGAATGGGGCAAAAAGATGCAGTTTGCACATTTTAAAATGGCATAACACTCCCTGCCCACTTTATTTGGTACACAAATCTATAATATAAAACAGCTGGGACATAAATTCCTTTATTGAGCTTAGAAATGTCAGAAAGGGGATCATTCTTCTAGGAAATAAAACTCATGGCCGAGCGGATGTTGTCATTATTTTCACTCCTGCTGGTCAAACATTTAAACTCAATAAACAAAACTTCTAATTCCTTCTTTCTCTCATCGCCACTAGCTCCCTGCATGCCGACGAATCTGATGTTAGATCTGAAAAATTCATCCCGGGTCAGCGTCAGCTGGACAGCAAACAACAGCGGTGCTAATTACACTGTGAGCGCCTTGGGGGGCGACGCCGAACACACCTGCAGCACCAGCGGAAACCGCTGCGACATCACTGACCTTCCCTGCGGATCCGTGTATGAGATTAGCGTCAGAGCAACCAGCCTCTTCGGCCAGAGTTTACCCAGCTACTCTGACTCCCTGGAAACAGGTGAGTGCCATCATTGATTGATCCATTTCTCAGACACAAACACAGGTTAAGGGAAAAGTCATGTTTCATCATGTGTTTTGGGCCACATGGGCCTCCGGAACAGCTTCAGTGCCCCTTGGTATGGTGGAGCACACTTATAAAAACATTGGTCCAAATCTCCTAATGATGGAAGGAATATTTTAGGTAAAAAGTAACAAAAAAAATACTTTAAATCCTGCAAGTAAAAATGTGTTTGTTTATCAGCTAAATGAGTGATTTACAGTAGGATGATTATACCTGATAAGCTATGGCCGGAATCAATACATTTTATTCATATATTTTCAGCGCATTTAGTTAATCTGTTAATTGCAACATCTTGTCTAATCAAAAGAGCCCTTAACAAAGTTGGGTGCCTTGTGCCTTTTGGTCAAAGAAGCAGAAACACAGATATTCTTTTCTTTAAGCCCCAACTGGGAGCTCCAAGAGTACTACAAAGAAAATAAAGATAAGAATACAGATCTTTTTTTGTATCATTAGCAGATACAGATGGTGACTTTTTGCCCCCCCCCCCCACTCCTCAAACGTCCTCTTCTTCCCCAGAACCCTGTTGCCCGGTCAGTCTAACAGTCGATCAGGTGACGCAGGCCGTGACCAACGTCTCATGGTCTCACGCAAAAGGAGCGCATTCGTTCATCACCTCTCTGACATCAACGCGTGGTCACGCCCGCTGCCACACCCAGGACCCCCACTGCCTCATGGGATGCATCACCTGCGGGACCAACTACACCGTCACCATGGAGGCGTTCAGCCACAGCGGGCGCGCTTCCAACTGCTCCTATCAGGGCTTCTCGTCCAGTGAGCGAATACGTTTTCCACCTTTAATGTCACAACATTTGCATTGTTTTCCATTCACATATAACATATAAGTCACAAACAACAGCGTCCACTATAAAGCTTATATTGCTTATGAATTCAATATTTTAGCTGCAAGCGGGGAGAGAACATTTGAGTTGCTCTTTAAAGAGTTACATAATATCTCCTCAAATGAAAATCCTGTCAGAGCCTTTGAGTTTGTACTCCCATCACTTCACGTCTCTCTCTCTCTCCGTCTCTCCCTGGCAGGCGCCTGCTGCCCGTCAGGCGTCCGGCTCTACGTGATGAACGGTAACTCTCTACGGGTTTACTGGCGCAGCGCTGGTAGCAGCCACAGCTACGTCACAGAGATGGTGGGTGGCAGCAACAACTACACCTGCACTGCTTCTTCTGGGGAGAGCAGCTGTGATGTCGGCAACGTCCAGTGCGGTGACGTTTACAATGTGGTGGTGGCGCCGCTCACACAAGAGGGCGCCACCACCAACAGGGTCCTGTTCTGCCCCGTGAAACAGTTCTCAGGTAGGACATCTCTCTCTGGATGTGTTGTGGTGGAAATGTATTGACTTCATGCCGGCCGTCCTAAAGAGGGCCATGACAGTGTAAATGTACAACACACAGCTGGTATTTTCACCACTATTTTGTGGGTTTTATTTACTTCTGTAGAGGAATTTAATTCACTCAATCTGGGTTTGGACCATAGCACAGCAGCACACTTGATTAGTGATGATTAGCTACTGCAGGATGAAAAAGGTTAGCACAGCTAAAACACTGAATGCGTATGATCAACTTTCACTGAATTTCACCCTTTTTTATGTTCTCAGTCACCTGTTCAGGGAGCAATGTTGGTGCAGGTGAGTCTGTTAACCTGCATTAATATTATTAACGGTTTTCAGAATTTACTGGTAAAACGTGTAGATAAAATGTTTTAAATATAGGATTTTTCTAACGCCTCTTCAAACTGTTCTTCTGCAGTGATTTACAGAGGGAAGAGAAGTGTGGAATAGCATATGGTAAGTAAATATGTCATAATTATACAGTGATGTTTTATTTCTGAATTAAGAAACGTCAAAGATGAGCTTCCATGAAAACACAAACAATAAAGTCAAGGTGAACTTCTATCTAAACTATCTAACAATCAAGAAAGGTCTACGTAAAACTCCAATGTGCATTCATTTCCTAAGACATAATCATTATTTTCTATTAATGTCTTCCTCTGCTCATCACAATGACACATTATTTAAGCATAAAAATCCTATTCCCAACATGACGTTTTGCTTTTAGGAGACGTTAAATATTAAACCAAATGTGACTATGCTTCCCCACAGATGCAGACTTCATCAGCATCGTTCATCCTCGTCTTCCTCGTGCCTCATCTCTGCTCTCCGAGAATAAAGCAATGCTCGTAGCTAAATAGAAGTGAAACCAGAAGTAAACATGATTGTCCATTGGCCATGATACACATGATAACAAATAAAGGGGAAATACATGTTTGAGATACGGTGCAGTGTTGTAAAGAAGCCGTCATGTATCACCGCAGAGCTTCTCATGACGAAACATTTGATTCACAAACCATAAAAAGTGCATTTGTATACTGAGACATTGTAACTTCATTTAAGTTATATAGTCCATGTAATATTGGCTCAAAACCCTCCAATTGCATTATCTAATTGACAAAAAATAGATTCAATAAGCAAAACAGTAACAGTACCCCGATAGACATTTCAAACAATTTGCCCCTTCATTTTAAAGAAGTGTCAATCAGGAAATTGAACAAATAATGTTATTAAAATGAAATTAGTTCTGTTAGTTCCAAGTAGGAAGCCTCCTGATGATGAGCGGACACCGATATGTGTCAGGTCATCATGTGTCACCCTGTTGTATGATCTCTACAGTGTGTTGTTGCTTGTTGTCAGGATGTATTTGACTGTTCGCTGTGGTTTTGGAAACCGGATGCATGTCAGTTAATAAAGATTTCCCAGCATTTCAGATAAAAGTATAATAATTCGGTTAATTATCATTCAGTATTGTGTTTTGTCTGTTTTGTGCTAGTGGTCTTACCTCTATAGTAGTTAGGAAATTATACATTACAACATTTATAAAGTCAAATACTGATCCCACCTTCTCTTAAATATGAAGAAAGTCTATTCGAACGTAACACAGCCCCTGGCTTAGAGACCTTGTATCTAGTGTCTACCATAACTTCTCTTCACATGAAGAGAAGAGATTCTAAATATTTAAAGTGACACAGAGGGGCCCAGACCAAGCATCCGTACGTAAAGAAACAAGATCTTGGAATTATAAAAATCACCCCTTTTACTCATAGAAACCAAACAGAAATGAAAAATCCTGAATATTCTGATGAGGGTTTTCCAAGGTCATTCCAAGGTAAACTTATTACACGCTTGTTATGGTGTAATATGCAGGGACAATAACAGAAGGTTGGTGAGTTGATGAAAGGGTGTTTTTATGGATCCAAGGAGGGTGTAATGTAATGTAATGTAATGTGTTGGATAGATGAGCCTGGACAAGCAAACATGCAGGTGAACCTGAGGCACAGGAGAACAGTTAATGTCCGGCTCCAAACACAACACTTGAGGGCTGATGCATCAACTACCACGGTGACTGAGACTAGGACGTGGCGAGGCCGGGGAGGAAAGCCAGGGTTGGTTTACTGCGGCGCCGACGGTAACAGCTGTATGCAGCACGGGGAGGCAATCAGCTGATTGATGGCAGGCGTGTTGGCACACACACACACACACACACACACACACAAAGAGACAAACCAGTGTCATGGTCAATAACAATAACTTGGTCAGCTGGCGCCTCCCATTCCAAATTATTTATTTTATTTAGCCCAACATTGGAAGGTTAGTTTATTCTGGTAACTCTTTAACCTAACGCTCAGAACTGTTCTTCTTCACTGGAAAACAGATCAGCTGTAAAGCTTAATATTCATGTGACCTCTACAAAGTCTTTAAATGTTCATTTAGTCATTGAAAATAGGTTTTTCAAATACAATGATGAGATAACCCGTTTTACATAATAGACAAGTGGTGCGCAATATACAAACCACTGTATGAGTCTTCAAATGGCCCAGAGCTGCTCATCAAAGATATATTTAAAATAGCATATCAAGTCAAACTCCCAGGAACTGGTTCTCCTCCACCATGTCCACTTGGACTAAATGCTTACCACACGTTTTTAATGTTAAGTAAGATTCAAGGTGACTCGTGACCGTTGTTTTTCAACAGCATTCAAATAATTGTACTTAACTGTAATGTGTGGTCAGGCCTGGTTTCACACTGAATGCAAATGGTTATCTATGACTCATTTGAAAAGCTAATTCAACCCACTTTTAAAAAAGACATCTCGAGATCTTTTAACATGCAACATATCAGTGCTCCCTCAACACTACATCTGAGTTAAGACCACTTTCATTCATTGAATGTGAACACCTGGCCGCTCCATTTGTATTCTAATAACGCTTCAGAGGACACAGAAGCAAGAAACAAGCAAACCAACTCTGTGATTTAAATCACAGCTCCATCATAACATGCTGGATATTTGTGATCTATAATATTGTCTACTTCAGAACAATAGCGATGCCACATAAAAATACAATGACATATCAAGGTGTATCACTTGTCCTTTTTCCCGCACACTACAAAATCACTCTTTTGTTTGATTTGCAGCTGAAGTTTCCCGGCATAATTACGGCCCGTATTCGCTTTCATGTTGACTTCCATTTTTCCCTAAAATGCGATGAGGGGCTTGAAGGCGATAGGCCTTTATTTTCATATGATAAGAGATCCTTTTCAGCATCTGTCTTACATGAAGCCAGCTTTTAGGATTAGCCTGCCTAGGAGGAAATTTACTTCCCTTTTCATTGAAATCTACTGGTGTACGCCTTCAAACCTTCAACGCATAACAGTTGAAGAAAGACGCAACGTATTAACAGTTCCCACCATTGCATGTTTTGTAAGTACATCCCATTGAGATGGGAGAGTCCCAATTCCCCAAGTGGCATTCTTGACTTCGGTTTCAGTGGCACTTGTCTCCTTTGCGCAGGCGGCCCCTCCCGAGCCTTTATCTCCTCGCTTCACGATATTCACTTTGACCTGATGTATTGTTACAGGGATGAATGAGCTGCCATAAACATGTGAAGTCACAGCATGCCAACAGGTTAGTGATATATACAATAACTCTGATGCATGCTGGAAAACTAAGGAAAGAGCTAAAAACATATTGTCAAAATCTGTCTCGAGAAAATAAACAAAAACCCAAGTAGAGGAATGGGAAATGGTGTTTGTGACACTGGCTTGAGACATGCAATTGTTATCTCCTGAATACAAACGTTACAACGATGCTTCGATAAGATCAACGTTGATCAGGCACTTCTTTCAGTTTTGAACTGAATCATCCAATTTAAACACTTGGAGATTATTTTTTGAAGCGTACTTAATTTGGGTAAGAACCCTACCCCTTTGTTGACACTGCCTTTACTCATTAGTTGGGGTCCGCGCTCTGTTTAAGGATAGGACCTTTCCCTGTATACGTAACTGGATTAGCATATACGATGGAAGTTGAAAAAAATACTGAATAAATGTTCCAAAAATAAGATAATGATTCAGACACGTCTGTGTTATTCAGGCTACAGCGGGTAATCAATTTGTTTGTCAAAGGCAATTTATATACAAAGAAGTATTATTATATAAGGAGATGTTACTTAAGTTTGGCTCGACCCAACAGGGAGTGAGACCTCTCATAAGTGGACTGTTGGAATATCGTTTTCATTCAATAATATTCATTCAAAGAGAGAGAGAGAGAGAGAGACAAAGAGACGAGAGAGAGAGACCTTCTTCTCCTCGTGACTCCAGCTAACTTCACCTGACCATCAGCCAGCCCTCCGGCCCTCCCCCTCACTGCCTATGGCTGTTGGCTGGACAGCGACCAACTGATTGGTTCCCACACACGCTGGGCTGAAGCCCAAAAGAATCCAGGACACCTTTAGTATTTAACCTCCCGGAATACTAAACTCATTGTAATCTAGCAATCGGTGTCAAAAATGGGATTGTTGGGAGCAATAGGCTTGTCTTTAGCATTGGTATCTCTGACTCAGGTGAATATTTGGTTTAAGTTAAAACCTTTCAAACTCCTATATGGCTATAACATTGTGTTCTAATATTTACACCACGACATTCATTCATTTTCTTTTCATCTTCTTTACAGATACCTTATAGTGATGGTAAGTAAACCAATTTGTTTATTGTGACTAACTCAAAGATTGATGGTATATTTGTATATTTTTACATGGTTTATTCTCTTACAGGGTGCAAAATCCTGTCAGCAAAGTCCTCAAGCGCCTCCTCAATTCTGGTAAAATGGGAAAAGTATGCTGGAGCAACAAACTATTTTTTAGACTTTCGAGTAACAAACAATACACGAATTGCACCCAATGTGCTGACCCTACCCGCGACCTCGACAGAACATGATATGCAGGCTCTGAGACCCGGGACCACGTACAAAGTGACCCTCAAAGTCTTTCAGTTCTACACTCTGATTTGTACGATTACAGCTGAGGCGACCACAGGTAAAGAAGAAAGCACTCAATACAACATTTACATCGAATAGGTGTGGCACCTTATAATGAGATAACAATTTGGATTAGTTACTTTTGTTTAATTTCAGGCTCGCCGTGCTATTCGCCATGCAAATGATCTCATAGTTATAAATACCTATCCGGCAAATTGTACATATTTTGTTTATACGAATGCATACAACTCAAGCTTGAAGAGGAACTATTTGAAAAAAGGGCCACTACGCACGTAAGCAAATGTGGCATCTAAACGGTGCTGTACCCCATGCTCTCTCTCCTCAGTGCCCGCCACATCGCAGATAGTAGACGGCACGGCACTGACGAGTACTTCAGTCTTAGTGAAGTGGACGGCGATCCCCTCGGCGGCCCTCTACTATCTGCTGATGTACTCTCAGACCGGACAGATTTTGACCAACGAGACCTCCACCAACTCCTCCGCTGTGGTATTAAATCTGCAGCCCTCTACCATCTACCACTTCTACATCGTCGCAGCCAACCAGGCTGGCCCGGCAGCCAGAAGCAAAGTGTGGGCCGTCACCACTTGTAAGATCGTTTTCTTTTGTACCTTTGAGAGTTTTTTGGTGTTGTTTGTTTCAGGAAGGATTGTGCTACAATATCAGCTATAATAAACGCAGAAGCTCAAAACCATGCATTTATTCACATACTTTGATGACCGAGAGAAGACATTATTACTTTTTTAAAGTATATCCTATATGTCTCATGAAGCCAATTGTAGTATACTATCAAACTACATTATATGGATTTACTGTTTCCCGAGTAAAGTGACCGACAACAACTACACGAATGTTTTAAAAACATCAAAAGTACCAAATTTTAACTAATTGATAATTCAAAGCCACAGATTTGATTACAGAGTACGTAGATATTATCATGTATATATATATCCCCTCTGACTACGTGCTTTTGTTTCTAGTGGCTCGGCCTCCACTGAACATCACAGCAACATATACTGGGTCAGACTCGGCGAGGGTGACGTGGCAGCCGGTGGAGGACGTCCTGCTGTACAAAGTCTCCATCCAGGATATTGACAAACCCACCCGCCCTCCGTCTGTGTACAATGTTACAGACACTAAGGTGGATGTTAAAGGCATCTTCCCATGTACAACCAATTTGATATCAATAAGCTCGTACAGCAAGTTTCTGGTGCCCAGCGAGCCCACAGACTACACCTACACCGCCAACAGTGAGTACAGCCAAAATGATATCAATGACTGTGTGATTTAGATCTAGGTCAGCTATTCTTTTCTAAAATGCAGAACATCATCCTCTGGGTAGAAGGGATTCAGATGCCTTATAAGCTTAACAAGTAGGTTGTCAGGTAAACATGAACCTAAGAAAAAAACGTTATTTTACGATATATTAAATATGGAATATACAGCTTTATCTCAATATAGTCAGTTTGCCCCCATCAGAGATGATACATTGTTTGAAACAGAACAATTGAACAATTTTACTCATGAAACAACAAAGGTTTTCTGTAGAATTATGGAATACATTTGCTGCTATTTCTTACCTAACGGTTTTTGCTATAAAATGTATATTGCAATCCACTTTATTGATTTTTTTTACAAACAAAAGAAAACTGTGATCTCGTGTTACTTGCAGCGCTGGAAGCAGTTTCGTCAGTTTCGGTGAGCTACACCTGCACCAATAACTCCGCCAGGGTTGACTGGTCGGCCGTGTTTGGGGCCTTTTCCTACAAGGCCACTGCGATCGGCAAAAATGGCACAGAGCTTTCCTGCAGCAGCCAAAGCACCAGCTGTCAGATCATCGGACTGAGCTGCGGACAGAACTACGTGGTGCATGTAAACCCGATGTCAGAGAACTGCAGGCAATCGATGAGCACCACCTCAGATGCTTTCCAGACCGGTGAGAAGCAAAAAAAGAAAAAAGAAAAAACCCCACAAGGATCACCTAACTAACCTGTCTGACTTAAACATCTATGTACACGCAAGCAAAGAAGACGACCCTGATATTGACACCTTCTCAAAGTCATTGAATGGCTCCCTGCACATAAACATTTTGTCTGACGCACATTCTTACTGCTCCACCCTTTAATCTATTTGTTGCAGGCACTTAATCCTTTCAGCTCACATATCAGTGCATTCTGTTAGAGAGTCGAGATATTCTGTCCAACCCCACCCCTGGTGCCGTAAGCTGTCAGGACTTGGATCCTACTGTACATGAGTTTATGATGAGTAATTATTACATCAATAATACTTATAATAATGATAATGATGATATTATGCCTTTTTTGGAAAAGCCTAAAAGCACATGAAAAAGATCAATGGCGTCATCTTGACATAATTTTGACCTCAATTAGTAATAATACACTCTAATTGTGCTTTCCTATCCTTGGATGAAGAACTTTTTTATACTACTTGATTTATATTATTTCATATGAATCCACATCAGAATCGAGACGTTAAAATGATACAAAATCAACAAAGAAATGACATATTTTGACAGCTATAAGAAACATAATTCAGAAATTAACTTTTGACTTTAACAGAATGGACATGGTTCTACTTCGGAATAAGGTTTACCGAGGTTATATCAGTCAGGGTTTTTAACTCCCCCTCCTAGTTTTGAGTTTTAGTGTTCACACGTTTCTTTGAGTGCATCACTGGGTGTCTCCTTTGAGAACTGGGTCTCCCATTGAGCTGCACTATCTAGATCATATTGTGTTGTGTTCAGGCTGCAAAGAATGAGCCGGGGTTTGTGTTAAACCTGAAACCACATACAGTGAAAAGCAACACTGGATTGTAGTCTTCGGTATCAGGGCGTTTTGACCTGAAAAAGGATCTGAAACGCTCGGCTTTGATGGTGATACAACACCATTTACTTTATTCTTTTTTTTATTTTATCTAAGTTGTCCTTTATAATGATATCCATCCATCTGTTGAGGGTTGGATTTATCGAGGGAGGTTTTCACACATTAAACCATTATATAAATATCCATTTCCTTTAAGTTTCCTGTCCTCCTGAGAACCTGGAGTTGTTGCGAGATTGTTCCAGTGATGTCATCCTCTTCTCCTGGGACCACACAAACAGTTCAGACAATTACCTGGCCACTTCAGTGGACTCTCAGGTACCTCATTCTGGACAAAGAAATACTTGCAGCCACAATTTTCTTTGTAAAATAAATGATGTGAAGAAGATTTTGATTTAAAAGAAAGTTTAGTATTTTGGGGAAAAAAACCAATAATTTGCCTTCTTATGTTATCTATTGATCTATGGCCAGCAGCTAGGTAACTTATTTTAGGTAACACAAAGGCTGGAAACTGGGAGAGATAGTCGGCTTGGCTATGTCCAAAAGCAACAAAATACCTCCCGGATTACGCGTAACAAAGGCATTCACTGTAGCTTCATGTTTACCATGTAGATCGTTGCATCTAACCAATTTCCAGACAGCAAATAAGGACACGTTCCAAAATGTTGAACTATAACGTTAAAGAGGTGATGAACAGAGTCTGCAATTTAGTGTACATGCCATGCAAATGCTTTGCAATTTCTCTGCAGGGAGTAATCCAGAAGTGTTTGACTGAAGGCAACTCCTGTTATTTCACAAACATGATGTGTGGAGAGCACTATAACTTCAGCGTCCAGACCATCGCAGGCCGGTGCAGCAGCCAGAATAGCGCTACTGTCGACATTCGTACAGGTATGACTAGATCATCTCTTCAGCAGTAAATGTACACATACATACATTTTTTACCAAACATAACTATAATTTGCCTTTCTTAATCTAGAGAGTTAGTTGGTCATTACATCTCAGCAAGTTTGCATTACAAGGCATTACATTAAATCATTCTTTTTCTGAAATAGAACAACCAGTCATTGACAATTGAATTTTCAGCTTCCAAGTCGCTGTAACAACTAGTGGGTAGCCAAACTGTGTCCTTGGCTATAATCTTTTACAAATTCCAAATCTGAACAAAAAGAGACATTAGTACATTAATTATACCTTTCTCCAGCACCTTGCATTCCCCAGAACCTGGAAACCTCCATGAGCTGCAACTCCAATGTTCTGCTCACCAAGTGGGATCTCTCTCGCGGAGCTCTTGGTTACAAAGTGAAGGTCTTCGGCAACATAGAAAACAAAAACTTTTACAACTGCAGCTCAATATTCAACAGCTGCGCGATGGCGGACATGGAGTGTGGACAGTTCTTCAGTACACACATCACAGCTCACAACGACGAATGTGCCAGCCCTGAGATGATGGGGCCTGTTGCTCAGACAAGTGAGGATGAGCTGTTACAATAAGAGTGTTTACTTACTCCATAGATAAATAATCCAGGCGAAGGTTTTGCATACATCATCTTTCTTTTGCAACGGGACCAGACAGAAAAATGTACACAGTATACACATTGCAATAACTCCTGTAATAGTATCATACATTAGATTATTATTGCTACTAGTAAGCAGCATTTTGAAAAGGTGATTTCAATTGTTTGATTGTTGTGTTTATCCAGTTTGCTTTTTTTTGTGTAAAATATTAGCCTGTACCTAAAGGAAATGGGCAACACTTAATCGCAGAATGTTGTCTCCATCAATTGACAAACATCACAAAAAATAAGCAAATTAAACTAAAGACCTCACTGAGCTAGAATATGTAATATATAATAATTAAGAATATAATAAATGAATCGAGAAAATAATATTTTCATCGGCAACCCTGACTTTGATCACCAGCAAAATGTGGAATTTGGTGTTATGCAAATGTGTTTCTTTTTTTATAGACCCATGCGTTCCTCAGAACGTGTCTGCAATAATGAACTGTGGATCAAACTCCATCACAATAACCTGGTTACTATCCGGCGGTGCAATATTCTACATTGCCATTGCAAAGGACAGCGATGGCGTCATTCACAGCTGCAACTCCATGGATTTGAAGTGTACGATCCAGGGCTTGAAGTGCAGCACCAACTACACAGCGTACGTCATTGCCTCCAACTTGATGTGCAACAGCTCAGACAGCGAAATGGTCGCCGTAGAGACAGGTACTGTGAGACTGCTTGTTTCTCTTGTTCTGTGTTATGATACCGTAACCTTGTAACTTAAGTGTATGTATTAATAACAGGGGGAAAGGATGGACTTGCATTCTTCTGTATCTGTAGTACAATGTTTAAAAGGTCAATAATATTATTATTATGTGCAAGTTAAACCAGACTGACTAAAGACAGCCCCAATCCTTTTTTGTGTGTGATATCTTCCTTTTAAAAGTCCTGAGCCTCTGATTTTCATAATACCATGTATCGATGTTTCATTTAAAAATATTGCAAAACAATTCCTTACATTATTATTCATTATTCCAGGTGCTTGTCCACCGGATCAAGTTACTGCCTCACTGGACTGTGTAGCCAATGAGGCTCTGATTTCATGGCGTGGCCAGAGCAAAAAAAATTCCTACACCGCCACCATCATAGATAAAGATCAAGGACTTCTCAGCTGCAGTTCCACCAATACAAGCTGCAGGGTACCCAACCTAAAATGTGGCCAGCTCTACACTGTCAGCGTCCGCCAGCACGACGGCACGTGCCCCAGCATGCCGTCCGAGGCCATCTACATGGAGTCTGGTAACAACAAATCGCAGCTAATAAAAGTCATTTTTTATGTCTCTATACATTTAATCTCCTCAGCCAAGTTGCACCAATAACCTCTATTAAGCAATCTGCTTAGCAGACAGACAAAGTTAGCGACTAGCTGCTGAACACAGTGAAACGTTCCACACCAAAGATATTGCCTCAACAGTGGGATCAGAATCAAAAGGGTGATACAAATGGAATTCATTTGGCAAATGCCAAGGAATATCGCACAATTTGAAGGCCACGATCCGTTCGTGTGTAAATAGGTAACACTGGTCCAATATCAAGTTTACGGTAAGGCAACATGTCAGATGTGGAGTGCTGACCCCAAGGGGCCAAAAAATAGAATAGAATATAAGTCATATGTAAAGTACAGCAGTCTTACATTGTCGATAGGAGACATTCTCAGAGTGAGGTCCGTGCAACGTTTTCAGATGTAGGAAATTAGTTATGCCTTTTCTCGGTTTTTAAAATATTTAACAATTCATCAACATTTTTAAACAAACCAGTAGCTTTTAGAATCTGAAATGTTCAATACATTTCAAGTTAAAATATTTGGCAATAAAGAGTTTGACACAGGATATCTTTTCCAATCAACAATAAAGTGCAACCTGTGCAAAGGTTTTATCAGTATTAAGTTGCTCCAATGAGCCTGCTTTCCGCATTGAACTCTTTTCAATATAAGGTTGCAAACTTCTCTCAATTTATGCTCAATGTGAAGCTTGGATCTTTTTCTCTTTGTGGGAGGCAACAGCAGGGTGTACTTTACGCTACGCGACCCACCTGTAATACCGCTGCGACCCATCAATAACAATCGAAAAACAGTCTGCATGGTCTGAGAAGTCCCAAAGAAGCTCTGAGATGAACATACTTCATCTTTCTTTCTTCTCTCCTTCCAGTTCCTTGTGGGCCCAACATGAAATCCAACTTAGACTGCTCGTCACAAGTACTGACCCTCAGCTGGAACGCAACGAAAAACGCAGAAGGCTACACAACTGTGGTCTCAGACGGCAGAAACAAAACATCCCACGTTACCACGATGCCCGCGGTGACGCTGACCGCACTGGAGTGTGGACTTTTTTACACACTGACAGTGACGTCCTTCAACAGCACCTGCGTCAGCCAACCTTCAGTGATGTCCATCAAGGAAAGTAAGAAAACACTGTGACAAATGTGAAATGTAAAAAAAGATGTGACTTAGTAGCCTACAGGTCATTTTCCTGCTGACGTGGAGACGTGGAGCTTTAAGCCTAGTTTATGCTTCTGCGTTTTCAGAGCGACGCAAGGAAACGCAGAGGCAAGACCCCCTTGCGTGTCCCTTGCGTGTCCCTTGCGTGCCTTTTCACACCCCCTTGCGTGCTTGCGTGCGTCGACCCATTTTTCTAGGCTTGCGTCGAAAGCGACGCATACGACGCAAGCCTCCCGCAGCGCACCAGGCTGCGATTGGACTACGTGCTTTACGGAGTCTCACATTTCCGCTTTCATAGCCCGATACCGCCATTATTAAAACGAAGAATGTTTACGAGAGAACGGATCAGATTGAAGAACTTCTGTCGGAAGAAATGCGTAAATATGACCGCTTCTACAAGCCGTCATTGGAGGACCATAAGGACGGGCGGATGGCCTCCCGATTCACGGAGGGAGATCTCTACAAACGCCGGTTTTCCGGTCGAGAGGTGCACAAAGTTGTGGAGGAAACTACGGGACAAATGTGTCCGCGATGAAAAGCAGCAGTGGCGATGCACGGGGCAATAAAGTCTATGATAAATAAATAAACAATCCAACGACTTCCACAAACAAAGACGTCACTCTTTAGGTCATATTCGACAAAAACACGTCACTCCACCTGTTGTTCTGGCGATGAATTGCTCTGCAACACAGGCAAGACTTTTAGATCCATGAATTGAAACGAGTGCGTCGACCCAACGGTGCGTAAATACGCATGCGCCAGCCTTTACAGCTTTACAGCACTGTTGCATGAATGAAGACAATTCCTTAAAATGCAGACAGCTAATCCGAGGTTTTCCTCCTTCAGCACCGTGTGTGCCCACTAATGTGACCGTTGAAAGAAACTGTGACCAGACTTTTGGCAAAGTGTCTTGGAATGCAAGCCGCGGCGCCCTGCGCTACCAAGCTGCTGCGGTGGATACGGACGGCAAGCGCTTGCTGTGCTCCTCCAATGAGACATGGTGCACGTTGAACGGCCTCGTGTGCAGCCAGGTGTACAGCGTTGGGGTGTCTGCGCAAGACGACACCTGCTCCAGCAATTACAGCTCTGCAATGACACTGCGGGCAGGTAGAAACGAGCCAGATTCAAATCGCTGAATTGTGTACGTGTGAATCCATGGTGCAACTCCTCTCATCCATTTGTTTTTCCCCCCGTGCTCCTCCTCCACAGCGCCCTGCGCCCCCACGCAGCTCGACGTCTCTGTCGGCTGTGCCAACAGCTCTGCCACGTTAAGCTGGAGCAGCAGCCCCAATGCAGTGTCCTACACCGGCAAAGCAGTGGCCGCAGACGGACACATTGTGACCTGCGACGCGGGAGTGAGGCTTGGTTGTCAGATGGACGGTCTGCACTGCGGCAGGAAGTACAACTTCACCGTGTCAGCCTCGGATGGCGGCTGTCAGAGTCCCGACGGTGCGCCTGTCACCGTAACAACCGGTGAGAGGAAGTCGCATCTGTGCTCCTCCTCCTGTCATCTTCCCTCCTTTCCTACAAATCCTCAATTCCTCTTCCTCTCCTTGATTATCCTTAATATCCTGCATGGCTCAGAAAGATCAGCCTCTAACACTCATTCCAAAAATACTGGAAAACAGGCAATTTTACCAAAAGATTTATTTAGTAGTCGTTGTGGTTTAGTCCATCTGCTGAGGAATACAAGTGAGGATGCAACTGAAAGCCCCAGCATCTTCTAAATGGGCTTTGTTGCCAAATTATTTTTGCATATGACTGTTCGAAGAGGCCAAGACTAATTTTTTTTTCATCAGAACCAAAATAGTACGACACACTTTGTGTTGTTGGAAATCTGAAAGAAATAAGAGAAGTAGCCCAAAAACTAAATGAGGGAATGCAGTTTTCCTTGTGATTGATTGACATTATTTTCTGACATCCGTAATCAAACTACTCCCAAGTCTCACGCATTGTCTCCTCTCAGCCCCGTGTGCTGTGAAGAGTGTGCTCAACACCTTAAACTGTAGCACCAACATACTGACCATCAGCTGGGCGCCTGCATCCATGCCGTTAAACTACAGCGCCACCGCCACGGCAGGAGGCGGGAACGTGCTTCACTGCCTGACCGAGGGTTCGAGTTGTACGCTGGCTAATTTACAGTGCGGGAAGAGTTACAATGTGACTGTCAGAGCCATCAGCAACACATGCGAAGGACAGAGCGGCGTCCCCGAAATAGTGAATTCTAGTAAGTTCGGATTGGCTGTATGGAAATACAGAAAGCGGCCGCAAACTATTCTTTTGCTCGACGAAATGGTTCTCTTCTTCCTCCTTCGTGTCTTTCTGACAACATCATTTCTCGCTTAGCTCCTTGTGTCCCCGTAAACGTCCGAGGCGTTGTGGATTGCCCCAACAACACGCTGAAGGCGTCCTGGGACGCGGCCGCCGGCGCGGCGTCCTACATCTCCACATTGAGCAGAGCGGGAGGCTCCTCGTCTTCCTGCACTGAAGCTGGGACCAGTTGCCTCTTCACCGACCTGCAGTGCGCTCAGACGTACACGCTCAGCGTGGTGGCCACCAACGACCGGTGCAACAGCTCCGAGGGTCCCAGGATCTCAGCGACGGCCGGTCAGTCTTTTATTTAAGGAAGCTATTTCTGTATTGCAACTTTTCTTTGTGGACTACCTGTTAATGTTACGTACTACCTGGTTACGTACTTGTAATGTGTTCTTAATCAGTGATCTGTTTTTGAGGTGACAACTGTCAAAGTGATGCAGATGCACAGACAAATTCCATTCCTTGAGTGATACAATTCTTTCCATCAACTCATAAACGCAGTCATAATAGCCATGTTTGCCCTCCAGCCCCCTGTGATCCAACAAATGTGGCCTCTGCTCTGCACTGCCTCTCCGGCGTGGTGACGGTGAGTTGGGGGGCCAGCGCTGGGTCCAAATACTACACGGCTCTGGCCCGGGCCACGGGGCACGCCGACTACTGTAATTCCAACGGCACTTCCTGTGAGCTGACGGGGCTGCAGTGTGGCAAAGACTACGCTGTGACGGTGCTGGCTGGGGACGGGAACTGCAACAGCTCCGTGCTCGCCAAAACCAATGTGACAACAGGTAAAGATACGACAACAGCCTTAGAGGAGCCTTAGATTCACTTTTCCTGGAAGCCACTGTTGCTGATGCTTTTGAATATATTGATTACACCATTTTATCACTGGTTTTGAAGCCTCTTAAAAGTAAACATTTGATTTAAAGTGCACAAAGATAGTTGATTAAAGATTAACAATGAATTGCCCATCTTATATAACACAAAAGACAAATTAGACAGAAATGCATCACCATCCCTTTGCCAGCTCCCTGCGCTCCAGTGATCCAGCATCACTCCCTGGACTGCGTCACCAACCACGCTGTGGTCACCTGGGTCGAGGACAAAGATGCCATGAGCGTCGCAGTCAACGCAACATCCAGCCTGGGACACTCGGCGTCCTGCAGCTCCTCCACCAACGGCAGCTGTGTCCTGGACGAACTGCGGTGTGGACACAGCTACACCGTCCAGGCTGTGGCACGAGGAGTCCAGTGCGCGAGCAGACCCAGCTCTCCTTTGCAGATTGTCACAGGTAACTTTTTGCCGCGTCTTACTAAGTATTCAAAGTATGAGATGATTAAGGACTGACTGCAAACCCCACCTTGCACCCAGCGCCATGCACCCCTGCAAATGTTGAGGACACGTACTCCAGCGAGACTGGGATCGTGCTCCTGAGCTGGGACGACACTTTGGGAGGAGAGAGCTTCTACGCCAACGTCTATTCAGGAGACCACGCGGCCTCCTGCAGCACTGACCAGACCGACTGCTCCCTGTCCTCACTGCTCTGCGGTCGCGTGTACGACGTGACCGTGGTAGCTGTGGCCGATCACTGCAACAGCAGCGTGCCAGGCGTAACGCAAATACAGACCGGTAAGAGCGCAAGGTTTGTAGGGTGTACTTTCCTGTTCACTCCATTCTAAACCACTATGTTTGCATGACATCTTTCTACAAAGTACTTTTTTGTAGCAGCATTTTTGGTGGTGTCAGGTGATGTGATGTTGTGACTGAAGGGGCTAACCTGACCTATCTGTAGATATAAACTGAACTAAACAGTTTCGGGATTTTAGAAGGCTGCTTAGGGAGACTGAGAGCCGTCAGCTGGAGAGATCGATCCCTTAATGAGGTGGGAAGGGCCAGTAAGTGAGAGAAGAGTCGTAAGGAGGAAGCAGAGGCTCTCATGGGCCTCACAAGCAACGACGGAAAGAACAGTTGGCGCGTTTTATTGTTTAGAGGGTAAGAAATCTCACTGTGACGAAACCGGGGGTTTAGCTCATAGCTAAAGGTACAACAATTAACTAAATTTGGATTATAGTTACTAGGCGGACAACAATGAACCTGGTCATTATCGGGTATGTCAATCAGAACGTAACAGCAGCACAACTGACATTCTGTGTGATCACCAAAGGTCGGTAAGTAGGATTGTAGCTCATCCCAGTTCTAGTTTCAGTCCCATGAGGACAGATGTATTAGCTCCGGTCTGCCCAGTTGAAATCTAGAAAAGGAACAAGGAAACAAGGATCAGGGAACAGTGCTCAAATGGACCAATTTGTGTTTCTCTTCTTGTTCTTCAATCAGCTCCCTGTTCTCCCAAAAATGTCAGCGCCTCCCTGCTGTGTGACAACAACACAGCGGCGGTGAGCTGGCAGCCGAGCTCCGGCGCTGTTTCCTACCAAGTGGCCGCACAGGGCAGAGACGGCGATGTCAAACAGTGCGCTACTAACGACACGATGTGTCTCCTACCCAACATGCAATGCGCCCAGACCTACAAAATCACTGTCACCCCCTTTTCTGAAAGCTACAAGGGCTACGACAGCAGCCCACATATTTATATTGCAGGTGAGGAGGAAAAAAATCATTATTTTGCTGGTTTGATCGTTCATACTGGGTGGATGCAGTTCTTCTAGATGCCACCAGATATCAGTGGTGGAAAAGTTCACTGAATTACTGCACTCACATAAAAATTAGAGATGCTTTTATTTTATTGCTACTTCATACTAATACATTTTAGAAGCAAATATTATGCTGTTTACTCAACAACATCAGTCAAATACATTTGGCTACTTTTCATGTTCAGATTAATACGATAGAAATCGATTATTTGTGATGTATTGTTATCAGTTTAAATACAAATCTGTCAACAACTATATCATGTGGATTAACACATAGATTCAAATAAGACTCATGAAAATCCCAAATGGCCCGTTCTGCATTATGAGTACTTTTAGTATGTGGTACTGGATGCTATTACTTTCACTTCAGCATCATGTTGAATGCAGGACTTTTACTTGTTTGCTTCTCGGGGGTGTTACTACTTTTACTTAAGCAGAATATCGGAGTACTTCTTTCACCACTGCTAGAAGCTCACTTTAAGATTTCACTCCTTAATGAATAATGTGCTTGGTGATGATTGAGACAATACATATATTGAAATATGAATGAGGGTAATTTGCTATTTTATTTTGATTGTTACACAACATATTAAATATGTTTGACACAGTTATAATAGCTCTAATAATATTTTTCTAGGCAAGTTTTTTGCCACATGCTCCCTTAACTTTAATTTCACATTTCTCTCCTCTCTTTCAGGCCCCTGCCCTCCCACCGATGTGCATGTATCTCTGCAGTGTGTCGGTAATGTGGGCCATGTGACCTGGGCCGCTGCCCCTCTAGCGGACCTCTATGTGGCCACGGTGCTGCCGTCTGCTGGGGATCAACAAAAGCACAACTGCACCTCCAACGGAACAAGCTGCTCCCTCACCAACCTCAGCTGTGGCCAGACGGCCGCCGTCACAGTGGTCACCAGCGAGAGGGGCTGCACCAGCGAGCCCAGCCCGCCTTTTACTTTTCAGACAGGTCAGAGAATATATGCAGATATGAGATGTTAAAGGGACTGTTTTACGTTTGTCAAACTTATTTTGCATTATTGCTGAGAAGTGATTTTTTCTTTTTTTTTTCTCACTTTGTCTCTGTTTTTTTACTCAGTCATTTGCCCGCCGACCAGCGTCACCGGAGTAACAAGTTGCGGCAACAACGATATCGCAGTAAGCTGGAACCCGAGCACAGGAAGTGGTGTTAACTACGTCGTCCACGCTCACAAAGAGGGCGGGACCAGTGCCAACTTCTCCACCACCCAGACGTCCCACGCGCTCACCGGGCTGCAGTGCGGGATGCTGTATTCACTGACAGTCGCTGCCAGGGACAGCGAGTGCACCAGTGTCCTCGGCGTGCCGATACTGACTGAGACAGGTTCACATCTTCTCTCACTTGGTTTCTAACTAACAACAATGCAGATTGCAGATTTTAGAAAAGAAAATGATGTTTCACATCAGCCTACGCAAAACTTGAAGGACCTAAAGTGCATTATTTTCACTCCTAGCTCAGCCTATAAATGGAATAATTCACCCCTGAATCCTTTTCCTGTCAGCTCCGTGTCCGCCGATCAACCTGACGGCAAAAGCTGAGTGTGGAACCAGCATGGGAACGCTCACTTGGGCGGAAAGCGTCAACGCCATCTCCTACACAGCTACAGCGACTGGTACCCACGGCCATGTAGTTTCCTGCTCATCCAACACGACAACCTGCTCAGTGAAGTTGGATTGCGGGCGGCGATACTCTGCGGTTGTGGTTGCTTCTAGTGCGACGTGCAACAGCAGCGCGGGAGCATCCTTAACTTTTGACTCGGGTGAATTAAACATTGCAGATGCCCCTTCCCGTTTTTGAAGCTTAAAACCGGTGATTGAATAGTTAAATCAATCTCGTCCCTTCCCACAGCTCATTGTCTACCTGACAGCGTGGTAGCGGACCTGGACTGCAACCTCAACTCCTTTGCGGTTCGTTGGCGGGCGAGCATCGTCGGAGCCAACTCCTACAGTGCGATCGCGATTGGCAGTGACGGCTCTCGTGCAACCTGCAACTCCTCTTACACAAACTGCACCATCCAGAACCTGAACTGTGGCCTCAACTACGGTATCGTGGTCAATACACTATCAGTCGACTGTGGCACCATCAAGGCATCCGACTACATGATGCAATCAGGTAGCAAAATAATCGCAATCTTCGTCAAAGCTCCTCCACGTCCTTACTCATCGTAAATCACTATGTTCATGCGCCCTACTTCTCTTATTCATCCACCTCTTCACCCTCAGCTCCTTGCAAACCAGGAGGGGTTTTGGTGGATCTGCAGTGCAGCACTAACATTGCGTCGGTGACCTGGGGAAACTCTGGGCCCGACCAGACCCAGGCGGTGTCGGCTGTCGACAGCAGAGGAATGACCACCACTTGCAACTCCAGCAGCTCCAACTGCACGTTCGACCAGCTGACGTGCGGGGAGAGCTACGTCATCAGCGTGGTCGGCCAGACAGACCACAAGTGCAGCAGTGAACCAGCTGTTGCAGAAACGCTGCTCGCAGGTATTGATAATGTGGCAAATAGTAATGCACAGCGAGCTTTACATGATCTACACACCGTAGGACTATGAAGATATGATCACAAGCAGATAATCTAGGTATGACAGCGTGACTGAAAATAAACTCAAACTTTTTTTTACTAAAGATGTTTTGACACATCCCAATTTGTAAAGCAAAAGTTCAAATAAGTCATGCGATAAAAGGCGTCCAGTCGGCCCAGCTGTGTCAGCAACGCACAGAGAAAGTCGTATTTATTACTCCACATGGCAAATGGTTAATTTATTCTATTTAAATGCTTTGAATTTGTATGAACCTTTATTTTTGTTAATAACGGATGTGTTATGCTTACTATAAGTCCGAGTGGTTGCTGTGAAGAAAGCCTACCGCACCTAACTACTGTAAATGTACTTAGTTTCCACAACTCACATTTAACAAAGCTGTAATATAAAAGCAGGTAGTATACTGCACACTTGCTGGAATAATTATAATAAAACGCCACAGAAAATCTAAGGAAAGTAATTCTGCCATATATTTACCCCTTTCCTCCCCCCAGCTCCATGTGTTCCCACCCACCTCACAGCACAAGTTCAATGCGAGACTGGTATCACCATGGTTACGTGGGACTCAGCGCGTGGTGCCAAATCATACACAGTGTATGCTCGGGGGAATCTAGGCCACAGTGCTGAATGCAACAGCACGGACACCAGCTGTAACTCCCTTGACCTGGCGTGTGGGCAGGACTACACCATCACCGTGGTGGCTCGCCATGACTCCTGCATCAGTTCTGTCAGCGAGTCAATCAACGTTACCCAAGGTGACCTACTGTAGCACTTTGCATCTATGCAATGTGCAAAAAGCAGACATATCTTCTGATGCAATTACAATACAACTGTGGTGTGTCATAATACGTTTGGTTGCATTTTGCGGGTTAGGGTTATATTCCAATACTGCATGCAACAATAAAACAATTTTAATGACAGCAGCAATGTGCTAAAAGGGATTTGGAGAGCAGCCATACCTACATTACAGCGCTGTTAGTTAAGTTTACTTTGATAAATCGGTTGCCGCTGTGACCAGCTGGCATTTCTTGGACAGGTAGTCTCTGATCCACTGGTTGGCATCAAGCTTTGAGCTCAGTGTATTGTGGTGTCTTTTGTTTGCAACAATGTGTTTTCAGAGGCCTGAAAAGTTTTCGAAATAATCAATATTGAATCTAACCTCAGATCAACAGATGGAAATGTCTTTACAAGAATAATATTTTCTATTTGTAGTTTACACGGCCCATTCATGTATTCACTTTTCCGTCTCTACATACCTCTTTGTCTAGTTCCTTGTCCCCACAGCGGCGTGCAGGCGTCTGTGGACTGTGACTCCAACACGGCTCTGGTGTCTTGGACGCCCGGCAGAGGCATCCGCGAATACTACGCCTCCGCGGATGCCTTTAGCATCTCGCACAAGCTGGACTGCTCCACCAACGGCTCCTCCTGCAACATCAGCGCGCTCCGCTGTGGGCAGAGGTACAGAGTGAGCGTCGGTGGACGGGGAGAGAACTGCCCCAGTCCAACAGAGAGCTGGCAGCCAATCACCACAGGTACCTTTCACATTCCCCAGTGTTTAACTTCTTTGGGCTCATGTTTTAAACAGTTTATCCATTGTTTTCAGCTAATCATTTAAACTTCACATCAACCACTTTTAGCTATGAATGCTTTATTCCCATCTCGATTTTAACTACTGTTAATTCATCATTTCCTACCAATGCATTTGTAGCTGTTTACTTTCAGTTACTGTCACTTTCAGGCAACTCCTTCAACCTATGACATCTTATCTTTGTTATTGTGTAAAAACTAATTAGCCATTACATTTAGCCATCTTAAATGCATGTAATGATGCATAATATAAATCATCTTCCATTCCCCAGCTCCCTGTCCTCCAACCCAGCTGAGGGTCGACTCTTCCTGTGAATCAAGCAACATCTCGGTGTCGTGGAAGGCTTCGCAGGGCTCGGCCTCCTACATGGCCGTGGCGAAGGACGCACAAGGCCGCCACTGGTCATGTAACACCAGCAGCACCACCTGCCAGATGTCTGGTCTGCTCTGCGGACAGCAGTACCAGGTCTACGTCGCTGGTATGGATGAAACGTGCATCGGAGCCAAGAGTGACGTCAAAGTAATTAATACAGGTATTTAAACTAAAGTCACATTTGGTTCATCTTTGATTATTTTAAATCCACATTTGCTGTGTGAATTGTGTGAATTCAGCATTTTACAATGACTGTGCATTTAACAGGTTTTTAGCTTTCAAATATCTAACTACCTTGAAAAAAAGCCAGTAGGCCTGCATGTGGTATTAGAGGATTTTGGTGCCCCAAGTGGTGGTACTTAAAAACATTGTTTGAGTCATTTCAAGTAACTTTTAACTTTAACTATTTTGATATGGATTGTTAATTTTTTCTTTCTTATTGTACACATCTGTTGTTTTTTACTACTGGAGGTTTCTATAAACGCATTTTGACCTAAAAAATGTTTAGAACCAATCACGAGCAGTTCAGCGTCTCCCTCAGGCACTCACACACCCGAGGCGGAATCAAAGCTGTGACCATGCAGATGTGACCGGTGTTTTGTCTTTGCTTTCTCTGTTAAGCCCCGTGTGTGCCGCAGAAGGTACAGAACGACCTCAACTGTCTGTCTGGGGTTCTTAACGTCACCTGGCAGTCGTCAGGAAACGTTTCTGCGTTCCGCGTCTCCGTAGAGAGCGGCGAAGGTCACGTCAGCATCTGCGAGACAAATGAGCTTCACTGCGTAGTGCACAACACGCAGTGCGGTCTGACCTACAACGTGTCAGTGGTGGCCCAGGATGAGGCCTGCAACAGCTCCCGTAGCCCCCAACAGCAGGTCCTTACTGGTGGGTAAAGCTGCAGGTTATTGCTACTGCACATCTGATACAGATCTGTCTGTCTCTGTGGCTATTTGAATGCTGCTACTGTGTGAAAATAGTTCCCAAATACAAAAAAAATTCATGCAAAGTTGAGCTGTGATGTATTTCAAATGACACCTGCTTAATTCAATTTGGAACAGCAAGCGGCCTTTTCGTTAACAGTGATTTTGTTTTCCATTTTCAAGAAAATATTTAATTCTTTATACATCTAATTTTTAAGTTCTTTGTCCTCATCTTCTCTTCTTCCTCTCAGCTCCTTGTCCTCCCCAGACCTTCTCACCCACTATCAACTGTGCCAGCGGTGTTGCCTCGGTAACGTGGAACAGCAGTATGGCGGGGGTGGTGTACGCGGTGTCTGCGGTCGAAGCCGCAGGTCGCCAACACAACTGCAGCGGCACAAACACCGGCTGCGATCTTGGCATGCTAGAGTGTGGGACAGAGTACAACGTCACCGTCACACCATCCAGAAACGGCTGTGTGGGCAGAGACAGCGCCACAAAACTGATCAAAACGGGTAAGCCTCCAGATTTGAGTTATGCTTAAATAGAGAGGCAGATGAACACTAATGTTTTTAATTCAAGCTAATTTTTCCTTCTATTTTTGATCTTTCTGAAAGGGACAAATGTTTTTATCAGCAAATGTCTGAGTGCGTTTTTTGACAGAATACTTTTCACCGTCAGTGCTTTAGTCATAGTATGTGTAATGAAAAGGACAAGCAGTTTCCTGACGTGTCCCTGGTTTCCTCCAGCTCCCTGTGTACCGCGCTTGACTGATGTGGAGATCGACTGCCTGGTAAACTCAGCCTGGGTAATCTATGAGGGGTCAGCAGGGGCGGAGGAGTACATTGTCATGGCGACCGACGGCCAGGGTGACATCCAGACGTTTGAGTGTAACTCTACGCCAGACGGGACATGCCCTCTTCCCCCACTGATGTGCAGTCAAAACCTCACCTTCACCATGACCGCACGCAACTGGCAGTGTCCCAGTGCACCAAGCAATGCTGTCACGACGGAGACTGGTATATTCCAAATAAAATGTTACTATATGCATGCATAAATGCATATTAAAAGCTTTCTTTGTACTGTAGTTTTGAGCTGTAAAGCCTGGCTATGTTTTTTTTCAATAAAAGATTCAGAGGGTCTGCACTTAAAAAGGTAAAAAAGACTATTTACTAAAAGCAGCTTGAGTCTATTCTCAATTAAATGTAGCTCTGAAGGCTTCAAGGGAAATAAAAACCCAGCCCCTAATACGAACATTTTTTTAAATGGATCTCTATGTTGCTTTTGTTCTTTTTAACCCTGAACCCTGAAATTGACCACCTTGTTTTTGTAGTCAAAGTATATTTCCAATGTTTATGCCATGCATTGGCCATAGTCAGGAGGTTGTTTTTTACATTGTACCTTATCATTCCCCAGCTCCTTGTCCTCCTGAGAATGTAAAGAAATCTGTGGTATGCGACAATCGCACAGTCGACATCTCCTGGTCCGCCGTACCTGGTGCAATAACGTACGCGGCCACGCTGGAGGCGATTAACGGAGGCCAACAATTTTGCTGCACCACTTCGGACACCGCCTGTGACATCAGCGAGCTGCCTTGCGGAGAAATGTACATTTTGGTCGTTGTGGCTGAGGGCCGAACGTGCAACAGCTCCCAGAGCGAGGGGGAGCTCACCATGACAGGTGTGATATACACTGTACATTTCAGAAAAATAAAATAACGCCAGCAACAGAGTCTAAAATGTGTGTCTATAAAGAAGGAAAAAAAAGCATAATTAAATCTACCTCTTGCTCCCTCAGCGCCATGCGTTCCTCAGAAGCTCAACGCCAGTCTGAGCTGCAGCAACAACGTGGCCTCCATGTCCTGGGAGCAGAGCAGGGGAGGACAGTATTACACAGTGAGGGCCGTGGGTACAGACGGCCACGAGCACGAGTGCAGCTCCAACGCGAACCAGTGTGATGTGACAGGTCTGCACTGTGGACAGTATTACACAGCTTCTGTGACGGCAGCGAATACAGCCTGCCAGAGCAAAGGCAGCGACAGTGTGACGGTCAAGACTGGTATGCAAAGACTTTTCACCACACACTTTGTGAATATCACGTTTTGTAATTCCTTTAAGTGGTGACGACACTTTATTTCTTCTCACTAGGGCCGTGCACTCCTGCAAACGTCTCCTCTGTGGTGGACTGCGAGGGCAATACTCTGATTACTTCCTGGTCCGAGAGCCCGGGAGCCGACTCCTACATCGCTACAGTGCAGGACAGTAACGGCCAGAGCACAACCTGCCAGGGCACAACCAGCGGCTCCTGCAATGTGACAGGACTCGGCTGCGGTCAGGTCTACCACGTCTCCGTGGTGTCCTCGGATGGATACTGCAACAGCCCGTCCACTCCTGTAGTGGTCGCACCTTCAGGTACAGCAAGTGAAGGAAGCAAATCCTGACGGGGAACTTTGACGCCTTGGCTTTCTCTTTTTAGACCTCGGAGGAATGTCAAAATAAATTGAAAGCAGTCTTGACCGTCGTAACTGTTTCACCCGTCCTCTCAGTTCCCTGCGAGGCGAGACTTATCAAGGCAGCGGTGGACTGCTACGGGCAGGTGGCGATGGTGACGTGGTATCCAAGTGGTGGAGCTACGTCGTACATTGTCACGGCCGCCACCGCGTCGGGCGTCAACGTCACCTGTGAGGCCAACGACACCGCCCACTGTGATCTGGAAGGGCTGCTCTGTGGCCACAGCTACTCCGTCTCGGTGACCGCTACAGGACAGACCTGCAGCAGCGTCGCTCACATGACAGAACCCCTGGTCACTGGTGAGCCAAGGCACACGGGCCCAAGTGCATTCGTGCTTGAGCTTTCACTACCATTCAGTAGCAGGTTTTGCAAAATGAGTCTTCTTCGCTCGCTCATCAGCGCTTTTCCTGTCTTCTAGAGCCGTGCATCCCGGGGTACATTGTCACAGGCTACAGCATGACTATCGGCCAGGTGTGGTGGGACATGACCGCCGCCGCCGATTTCTATACAGTCGACGGGGTAACGGAGGAGGGCCTGAGGGTCTCCTGCAACACCACTGACACCTACTGTACGTTGTCCAACATGGAATGTGGCCAGATGTACACCATTAACGTCACTGCCAACAATCCCGTGTGTCAAGGCGTGTCCACCTCCACCGAGGCAGCTGCGATCATGACAGGTGAGAAAATGCGCCGAGCTCGGTAGAAGAAGCATCTGTTCAGTGGACGTTTCTGTGATGTGGTCAGCGCGCCGATGGCGTCGCTGTTGTTGAGATGATTAGCGTTGTGATTTGAGAGCTTGAGAACTAATTTTTTTAATTTTAACTATCAAGTGAAAATACAAAACTTTCCAGTACTACAACTTCCACAACTAGTTTTCTTATTATATACGATAGCACACTAAGGATATATGTAAACAATTAAATTAATAAAGAGATCATTAGCAGATTGATGGATACGCAAACTATAGCACAAGGCTAGATTGAGACTTACATAACTAACATAGTTGTCATATTAAGCCTGTGTTGTATCTGTTGACTTTGCGTTTAATATTACAATTAAACGCAAAAATGTATAATTGTTTATTTTACATGAAACTCAATCTGTGCATCCTTCAACCTGCTTCGCCTTTTGGTCTGCCGCCAGAGCCTTGCCCGCCCGACAACCTGCAGACCGCTGTGCAGTGTCACAACGACATGGCGATCGTGACGTGGGAGGCCAGTGTTGGTGCAGTGGGCTACGAGGCCCTTCTGGCTGGGCGTGATGGCCACGGCCTTTCCTGTTACACCAACAACACTTTCTGTAACATAGAAGGCCTCCACTGCGGAATCACCTACTACGCAAACATCATCGCCGTTGGAGAAACACTCAACAGCAGCACCTCCAATACTATCCTGCTGCTCTCAGGTATGATGGGTTCTGAGTGCAACGCTGTAAAGAGTTCTATCTTTTTATATACCGCTTCTGAACTGATGGTTGAAACGCTACGAGAAAAATGCAGCAAGCTATGAAACAAGAGTATAAATAATGAAGGTTCAAAATATTAAGAATTGGCTATGCAAATGCAATCTAGTTAACTTTGTGTCCTCAATGATGCACATTAGGCTTCTTGTTTGAGAAACAGTGAATTAAACATAACTTTGTTTGAAAGCTCCAGACGATATCTTGTTATAAAAGTATTACATTGTGTATAGACACGTCTACACGGTTCACGAAATTATAAAACAAACCTCAAGAGCAAAACATAGTATATTTAATGGAAGTGAGCAAAGAAAGCTAAAGCCAAAAAACTTGTGTTTTGCCTCTCCTGCCTTTCGTTTGCATTTATTATACAGCAATTGATGATAATCTGTTCTCGTATGGACTTAAGCTTCCAGTTTACACCCAGTGGCATTTAATGTTGCCAACAAAACAACGTCCTTACTTGCAATTTTAAGACGAAGAGAGCCTGCAGTCTCAAAGTGTGATCAATACAACTGCATCGTATATACGTTTTTTTCCGGCCCTTTTGTCTCCAGCTCCCTGTGCAGCGAAAGATGTGGCAGCGGATTTGGATTGCTACAACAAAACGGCCAGAGTCTCGTGGAGCCCGTCGGCTGGAGGAAAGTCCTACGCGGTGACAGCAGTTGGAGAGGACGGTCACCGGGCTGCATGCGAGACCGACGGGCAGCAGTGTAAATTGAGCGACCTGCGTTGCGGTCTGACGTATAACGTCAGTCTCACAACCATCAGCGATCACTGCCAGACCGAGACACTCGCCGCCGTCGCCTTCAGCACATGTGAGTTGAGCCACATCCTCATCACAGAGGAGTTGGAAGTCGAGCGAATGGGAATCACTGAGATTCTACGTGTTTTCCAGGGCCCTGCAAACCGCTGCGGACTGGAGTGGACCTGCAGTGTGGGACGAGAGCGGCTGTTATGTACTGGGAGCAGGTGGAGGGAGTGGAGCTCTACATGGCCGCTGCCACCAGCGGCAAGGGAATGACGCTGCAGTGCAACTCCACCAACTCCGCCTGCCAGTTCTCCAACTTGTACTGTGGGAAATCCTACAACTTCTCTGTGACTGCATTCAGCGGCATGTGCTTCAGTGAAATCAGCAGCACTGTGGAAATTCAGACAGGTAGAGCTCACTGAGACGACGATTAACTAGTTCACATGAGATCATTTAAAAATGAGGCTTTTAGCTTTAGAGGTTAATCGTTCTACGATGTAGAACGATTATCCTCCATTGTCTGCCCTCATCAGTATGATGAAATATTTTCATTGCCGGTGTCTGAATCTGTTTATTCGTTTAAAAAATGTTTTTTTATTATTATTCCATTTTTAGTCAATGACTAATTGACTAAAATATATTGTTTTGCTGGGCCTGCGTTACAGCGGTACCGGAATAGGCATTTCAGAAGTAGGAACAGCAAAGATCCCCTCCGAAACTAAAATCAAATTTCACTAAGGACCTTGTCTCCTTTGCCAGGGCCCTGCCAGCCAACTGGACTCACGGTCAGTGGGTCATGTGACAATAAGACGGTAGTGTTGGATTGGTCCGCAGCTGAAGGGGCATCAGTGTACGTGGTGTCCGCCACGGGAGACCAGGGATACGTCACGTCTTTCCAAACACAGGACACAACCGCAGAGGCTGAGCTGCCCTGCGGACAGCTGTTCACCTTCACTGTAAAAGCTCAGGGGGATCAATGTGGCAGCGCTGCGGGCACGGCTGCATCCTTCAAGACGGGTACGTCTTGGTATCGATATATTTATACTTCCTTCTAATGTGGTACAGAGTATAATAAGGTCATCACGATGCAACAATTGCCCTTCACCTCAGGTCCTTGCGCGCCCCGGCACGTACAGAGCTTTGTCCAGTGTGAGAACAGTCTGGGCTCGGTCAGCTGGGGCAGCAGCGAGGGGGCGGAGTCCTACTTGGCCATCGCAGTGGGACAGGACAACCACACCCACGTGTGCACCACGAACACCACCATCTGCTCGTGGGACGACCTGCACTGTGGCGAGCGGTACGCCGTACACGTCATTGCCAACGACAACCTGTGCAGCAGCATGCCGAGCAACAGCACGTCAATACAAATGGGTAAGCATGCTTTTGTATGCTGCACAACTACAGGAGAAAGTGATGTGAAAAAAGAAAAGGGTTTCGAGAGGGAAATGTATCGTGCAGACATAATGATTCATTTAGAAAAGTAAGGAATAGAAAAGCAGACATATTTGGAGGCAAATTCAGGTCAAAAGTTTTGTTCAAGTTTGATCGCACGCCCCTCCCAGTTGATGCCCCGCCCCTGGGTCAAAAGTCCGAATGTGGAAAAAAAAGATCAGAACGCGGAAAAAAGATCTGAAAGTGAAAATATAAGTTTTGAATCTGAAAATATAAGCTTTTTATCTGAAAATATAAAATCTACAATAATCAATGTAATACAGTGAATATCAAAAAATATTTGTAAGTGAAGAAAATATGTATTTTATTCAAAAAAATATATATATTTTATTCAAAAGAAATATATAGCTGAGTCAAAACCATATTCAAGATATTTTTCCTCCACTTATTTCTATTTTGAATACATTGTTGTATTTCTCAATGTTCAACAGCAAAACAGGTTCACATTTGTTTTTCAAGTGAACAAAACCTTTGACCTGGATTTGGCTCCATAGACATAATTAAAAAAATTAAAAGTTAGAAAAAATGCGACAATAATTAACAATGTGAAAATTTAATTGTGTTTTTAAAAATGTGTTACTCTTATATACCAAATATTCCATCAAAGTCATTATTTGCTGTTTCTCCATGTTATGCTATGCACTTGTAAAAGTCTGTCGCAGACAAAGCACATTAATTGAGAATCAATCACAACTAAAATCTTTCTTCCATTTTTAGCACCCTGTGTTCCTCAGAACTTGAAATCATCTCTAAACTGCACCATGAAGGTGAATGTTTTACTTTTGCATAAAGTTTCTGCCTCAGGTATTATTCTCGTTCTGCACAGTGAAGCAGTATTTTGTTTTGATGGGGGCTTTACAAATACTTCTTGAGCATAAAACTATATTGTAATCCGTTCCTAAGGTGGGATCGCTGACCTGGAATGCCAGTGACACTGCGGAGTTGTACATTGTGACCGCAGAAACCACAGGGCACAAAGTGCTGCTCAGCACCAACGAAACGTGGACCTTCCTTTCTGAGCTCCACTGTGGGGAGAAGTACTTCCTGTCTGTTCAGGCGCATGACTCCGTGTGCAAGAGCCTCCCCAGTCCGCCGTTAATGCTCGAGTCAGGTAGATTACTTTTCCATTTAATCTCGTTTTCAGACTATTGTTCTAAGTCAAATGTTTTAATAAAAGGCTCTACTCTGATGAGCCAAAGTTCAAGAATGGGTAAAAACCAGTGTGCAAATGCTGACTTTATTAATACACAGGGTTAACATAATATTCAATATTCATATTTCCAAAAATCTGTTATATTACAACTTAAAAACCCTGTATGCTGAACAGAGAACGTACTCTGCAGCACTGGTGTTAACTGTACTTTGGCTTATTCCAAAGTCAGCTTTCACTAACAGTCTATAATTCCTTCCCCCAGAGCCCTGCCCGCCCACCGGGGTCACCAGCTTAATGAACTGCGTCTCCAACATTGCGGTGGTCTCGTGGAACACTTCGGCTGGGGCGGAGTTCTACACCGCTACGTTGACGCAAAAAGACGGCCAGACGCAAAACTGCTGGTCTGAAAGCAATCAGTGCGGCATGTCCGGGGTCCCGTGTGGACAAAACTACTCAGTGACGGTCGTCGCCTCCAACCGGAAGTGTAGCTCTGACCCCATTGAGGGCGACACGCTGCAGTCAGGTGAGACATCCAAGAATAATTCATCCTCTACACTTCTGTTGATCAATGTTCTATATTCCTCTCGTATGCGTTTTAGATCTGTAAACAGATCAATAATGTACTTGCGTACAGTGAAAGTTTGGACAGAGAGAAAGCATTTTAAAACTTTTGACTGGTACTGTAAATAATTGTTCATTTGATTATTAGTCTTATTTATTTTTTTAATGAAGGCCCGTTAATCTGATCCCAAATGTCTTGTAACCCACACATAAAATGAATCCAATCTCCTCCCCCTGCCTTTCTCCAGAGCCTTGTGTTCCTACGGGTGTGGATGTGACAATAGACTGCTCCGAAAACCAGGTCCTCGTGTCTTGGAGCGCCAGCAAAGGCGCTTCGTCCTACAAAGTGACGGCGCAGAGCACACAGGGAGCCACGTCCTCCTGCGAGAGCGCACACCCGACGTGCACTCTGACCAACCTGACCTGCGGCCAGGTCTTCTCCGTCCAGGTGGTCGCGCAGAATGAAATCTGCTCAAGTTTACCGAGCGCAGCGACACAGTTCAATTCAGGTAGAACAACTGGATGAATAGTGAATCCCATGTGCATTTGGTGTGACACTGACTTGTGCCAGTTTTACTCCATTGCTCCCTTTCTTCCCTCCTCTCCCCCTCTCAGTTCCCTGCACGCCGAGGATTGGCTCTGTGGTTCTCGACTGCTTCACCGACTCGGCCCTCTTGGACTGGGCCCACGCCGAGGGCGCCCTGAACTACACCGCGACCGCTCGCTCTTCTGCTAGCGGCCACATTTCCACCTGCACCTCCGACTTCACCAACTGCGAGCTGAAGGAGCTGGAGTGTGGTCAGACCTATGATGTGGTCGCAGTGGCCTCGAATGAGGAGTGCAGCAGCCCGCCAAGCACGCAGTTGCAGGTGGAGTCAGGTGAGCTTCAAAAGAGAGAAGAAAAAAAGAGCAGATTTACTCATTCAATTCAAATAAGAGTAATTTTGGGGAACACCAACTGAATTCTATTGTATGTGAACTGTAGGGGGATAATCACCTTGCTGCAGTAACAGTGTCGGGTGTGTTCAGTATACTTCTCATCATTATTGGTGCAAAGTAGCTAGAAGTAATCATTTTCTACTTCAAATTCCCTCCCAGATTTTGTTCAAATAATAAAAACAGTGGTAAAAAAACTCACATAATATTGTAAAATGGTGTTGAGCATAAGTAAACTTCAGACCATCATATAGACCAGTAATTTCTCAAGCTTCTTTGTGTCAAGGACCCCTAAATCAAAACATTAAGTAACTGATCCGTCACGATTCTGTTTCAGTGACCTCCGTCTGATTTTTGATGTTAGATATGATTGAAGACCAGATTTCTACAGCTGTCATACACAGTCGAGCAGTTCCATTGAAGAAGTGAAACCTATGAGGATCAGAATAGGTGGACTGATTTTCTCTTTTCTCCAACTTCTCTTCCAGTGCCTTGTCCTCCCAAAAATGTCTCGCCTGTAGTGGACTGCTCCACCAACACGGCCCGCGTGGAGTGGCAGGCCAGCAGAGGGGCCGATTCCTACACTGTTCAAGCCTTCGGCGTGGAAGAAGATGAATCTCACTGCGAGACAGACTTGCAGTCCTGCGTCCTCGGAGACCTCATGTGTGGCTTCACCTACAACATCAGCGTGTTCGCCGTCAACGGCGTGTGCAATAACTCGCGCAGTGACATGACACAGCTGCAAGCAGGTGAGAACGATCAACACGGTGAGGCCTGGCCAGCATGACAGATCCATTGTGCCAACTCAACTTTTTTAGTAATATGTGGAAATTCTTTGGAAATAGGTTGATGTTTCTGTTTTAGAAATTGTCATATATAAAGACAGCTAATGTTACTGCTCTCCGTGGACACACCACAAAACAACCGAATTCAGCCAAAACTGTGTTGGCTGTTCTCTGGTTGGGCTGATTTAGCTTATAATGAATGGTTATTGGACCTATATTGATCATGACACATCGTGCCTTTGCAGTGCCGTGTGTACCACAGCAGGTAAACGCCCGGGTAGTCTGCGAGTCTGGCGACGTGGCGGTCTCCTGGGAGCCAAGCAAAGGGGCGTCCTCGTACACCACGGTTGCCCGGGGCAACGCCGGCTACGCGTCCACGTGCAATGGCAGCGAGACGACGTCCCTGCTCAAAGACCTGCTGTGCGGCCATAACTACTCCATCACCGTTAGTGCTTCAGATGAGACCTGCAGCAGCGCTGGAAGCTTTGCTGTGGAGCTTAACACAGGTAGAATCTCTTAAAGAGGCATATTGAATGTCTCATTAAAGCCCCATTTATACATACATACACTTCTAACCCGTCTGTGTGTCTTCAGCGCCGTGCATACCACAGGGAGCAACAGCTGAGATGGTATGTAGCAACGGCACGGGCGTTGTGTCGTGGGAAATGGAGGACGGCGTGTCCTCCTACATGGTGCGAGCTTTCGGGCCGGATGCTGACAAGATCCAGTGTAACAGCACCGGAACCAGCTGCCAGCTACCCAACATGCATTGCGGCCAGCTGTACAACCTGACATTGACAGCTAAGGATGGAGAATGTGACAACAGCCAGGCCTTCCTCAACCTGCAGTCAGGTACGTTTTACTAGTATGTCCTTCCCCACAAGTTCAATGCTCTGGTTTGACTGACGTTTGATAATCTAAAAATGAAATTTTAGGGATAACGTCGCTGCTAGAAGTCTTACTGTTTTAACTGCAGACACAAAAAGCAGCCTTCAACATGCCATAAATGGGCAACACTGTTAAATGACCTGGCATTGTCATTTATAACATGAATATGTTAGTCAAAGTCAAATTCCTGAGGGAATATCTCCCTTTTCTTTAAATATTCTCCAGTGTGTGTTGCTTCGCTCCTGCCGTTGCCTGAGTGACCCAACTTAACTGTACTTTGTCGGGCGTTTATTTTCCTTATCTCAACCAAATAAAAATAAAAAGCTTTTTGCTCATCGTGCCCTCATGGAGGACAGGATCATAGCTCAAAAGTGATTGCTTAAAAAAAACGCGTCAATTGCCAAGCACTGTTCGAGACATGATATGTGAACTTTCTGATCTCAGCAGAAGGAACAACTATCGCCTCAACGCTTTTTTTGTCCTCCGTCTCTCTCCTAGCGCCTTGCCGGCCGACCAACGTCAAGGCTTCCCTACGGTGCCGCTCAAACTCTGCTGCTGCCGTGACATGGGAGCGAGCAAGTGGGGCGCTCTCCTATCTTGCGGTGGGTGTTGCAGCCGATGGAAGCCACAGGACCGAATGCAACAACACTGCGACCTACTGTGATCTGAGCGAGCTACAGTGTGGAAAGACCTACAACGTGAGCGTGTTTGCTCAGGATGAGTCCTGTTCCAGTGTGCAGGGTGACGCGGCATACGTGCGGACAGGTAGACGATGTTATTTATTATTATGGCGGGTTTAATAATAGCAGTTGAACAATATCAACCTGCCCTTTTTGCTCCGTCTCTCCCTCTCAGCCCCCTGTGCACCCCAGGATGTGGCTATTGACGCACAGTGTGACAATGGCGCCCTGGCCGTGTCCTGGTCGCCCAACCCGGACGTCCAGTACTTCCACGTGGCGGCGGTGAGCAGCACGGGGGCGAGACTCCACTGCAACTCCAGCGGCACTGCATGCACCATGCGGGATCTACCGTGTGGACAGCACTACAACGTCACCGCGCTGTCTGTGGCACGCAGCGGCTGTGAGAGTACGCCGAGCGCTGTGGTGGAGACTTCCACGGGTATGCTTCAAGCACATCTCCATTTGTTCAAATGCAACACGTCCACTCGGGGGCGCATCCATTTAGTGGATTTAGCTTTGCAACCCAACGAGATGGGTTCACTTGAGCTCACGCTTGGCGTGCACATTGGCTTGTCTTACTTCTGCTGTAGACACAATAAATGCCATGCGTGTCTGATATACGATATCCTATAATCACTATGCTTCTGGAGAGTGTCTTCAAACAGAAAAAAGGATGCATTTTGAATACATTTTGAATTCCCTCCACAGCCCCATGTGTGCCCAGCAACGCTCACGGCCGCCTGGACTGCATATCAAACTCTGCCTGGGTGACGTGGGACGCCTCAGAAGGAGCCCTCAGCTACTACGTGATGGCCCAAGAGGTCGGAGGCCACAACATCAGCTGCACAACCTCCTCCTCTCCCTGTGATATCCCAGATCTGAAATGTGGGACCCATTACTCCTTCTACGTCACTGCTGTCAACAAACAGTGCCGCAGTAATCACAGCAGCTTTGAGCTTCAGACAGGTATTCAACAAGAATCTCTCCTAACCGAACAATGATTTTATAGCGAAGTACAAAAATGTTGTCCATTAAAGGTTAATAGGAAAATTATTTAGAATGCTTTGTACCATATGATGCATTGCCAAATACTAAATGAAATGCCAGGTAGGTATTTGGCTTACGTCCCCTTAAAATCAACACTTGTACATCAAACAGTGACTCTTCCATGTCCTTGCTACTAGTAAAACTACTCAATGTTTCCCAAAAGAAGCAACGATTTAAGTAATACAATAACTTTTTTCAATTGAGTCAGCAAAGCAATGTTTTTTTCTTATTTTCCATCCCCACCGTTCCACCCCTAAATACATCTAGTGATCCATTAGTTGGGACTAGTTACAACTAGGCCACTCATCCGCAAAACAGGATTCACTCTGTGCCTCCACGGGTTTTTAAATTCCTATTCCTGTCCTGCTCCGTAGGCCCTTGTGCTCTAGCATCTATTACTGCAGAGACACAATGCGACAGCAGCACAATCGTGGTGGAATGGGAGACTGAGGGTGACACGACGCTCTACATGGTGACCGCTGAGGCCGATGACCGCACCACCCTTTCCTGTAACAGCTCCTCCAGCTCGTGCGTGCTCCAGGACATTAGCTGTGGCATGCACTACAGCATCATAGTATCCACTTCTTCTGATAAGTGCAGCAGCCTCAGAAGCCCACCAAAGAAGATCAAAACAGGTATTCTTCAATACACCAAAATAGCCTGATTCACTGGAACGGATTAGTGTATTCATTACTATTCAATAAAACCCTTATCCTGCATATCTTGTAGATCAATAAAGGTTTCAGTATTGACGTGTAACTAAACTACAGGACATGCAGTGAATGTGAAATTGGCAAAAATAGAACAAACTCAATCCAATGTAAAGGCAGAGAGAAATAGAACAGAACTCTGTTTTATTTTGTATGTTGTTTTTTTGGTTGCACTATTGTCATCAGTGTAATGTTGTGTAAGATCAGCAGACTGTGAATCCACTTCCTGTATAAACCCCGGAGGGGATTTGCATCTGCTAGCGGGGACGTAATTGTACAATCACACCAATACACGTGAGGTTCTTCCGCTCTCTTTAGCGCCCTGCGTCCCAGCCGACGTGGTAGTGGCAGCGCTGTGCGAGGGGAATGGCGCCGTGGTGACGTGGGGACACTCCCCTGTGGCTACGTCCTACCTGCTGACCGCCACTGGGAGGGACGGACATGTGGCGAACTGCAGCACCCCAGAAAACAACTGCACCCTGACCGCTCTGCACTGCGGACAGACGTACAACTTGAGCGTCACCGCCGTTGGAGACAACTGCACCAGCCAGCCCGGAACTTCATCCTACAGAGCAGGTGGAGACCGTGTATTGCATCGGAGAATACAAATTGTTACTTGCAGAAGTCAGATTTTCACAATAGAAAGTTAGCTGCTTTTCATGCTATAGTTTATTAAAAATCAATGTCTGGTGTTCTCTTCCAATATGAACAATCTAGCTACTACTTTACAAATCTGATGCTTGAATGCATTGAGGTATTTTCTCTCTCATGTCGCAGTGCCCTGTAAGCCCTCTGCTCTCACCGTGGATATTGATTGTGAGACCAACTCCGCCATGCTGTCTTGGGGCGCCAGTGAGGGGGCCGTGGAGTACTTTGGCTGTGCCCAATCTATGCATAGAGACGCCCTCTACTGCAACAGCACAGTGCCCTCCTGCACAATCGAGAGAATGGGATGTGGGGACATTTATAATTTTTCTGTCGAAGCCTCAAACGGCGTCTGCAACGGCTCATTTAGTCCGCCTGTGCAGGCTGGAGCAGGTAAATAAAACCACTTCAGTTTCATCATACTAAAAGGTCCAGAATTCTTTAAAACGTGTTGTCAAATGACTACATTTTAGTGGCAAACAGATGAACTGCATCCTAAATAACAAGGGCTGGAAAAGGTTTCCAAGCTAATTCCATTGGTACAATATCGATTTAATCTCATTATTCTTCTCCACAGTCCCGTGCCCTCCGACTGTTTTCGATGTCCGAATGCAAAGGATAGGCAACGCTCACTGGGCCATGATATCATGGGACAGTGTCAATTGTTCCGATGTGGAGTACCTAATGGAGATGACCGGTCGAATCAACAACAACCCACAGACCCTGATGCAGGTCTCTTCCTACTGGTTCTCCAGGACTTACTTTGAGTTGCCAGTACCTTGCAGCACGCCTTATAACTTCACTCTACGGTCCAGAAACTCAGCCGGGGCCAGCAAGCCATCCGGCGCCGTCGCTGGAGTCTCGGGTAGGTTTAAGAGGAAAAGTCACACCGCAAGTGGAGGCTGGTGTATAAATCATCATAAGAGACTGTCGTAATTGTACAAAATGTCTTCATTAGGATGTTCTAATTGTTGACAAATCTGCTAACTGCATGGTGACCGTTTCTTTCCCAGTCCCCTGTGCGCCACAGAAAGTGAAATACACCGGCGACGCGGTGTCTGCTGTGCTTTCCTGGGAGTCTTCATTGTTTGCCACGAGGTACACAGTCTACAGCGTGTCGGGGGCCGACCCAGTCCAGATTTGCAACACCACGGGGCTCTCCTGCCAGCTGACCAACTTTGACCCCAACACCACTGAAGTGACCGCCAGCAATGCAGCGGGGGAAAGTGTCCCTAACCGAGACATCACAGGTCAGACACAAGCAGAGAACCTCTGAATGCTGCACAACCCAGACAGTTTTATTTTACTTGATCACTATTTCCTCGTCATTTCTACTTTTGTTTTTGACTTTCGTAACCATTTTTTCTCAGGTCCGCTGGTGTCTCGCAGAAAAAGGGATTTGCAAGGCAGTGTGATCAACGACCATTTAGATAGCAGTAAGTGTAAGGTTAAGACATGAGCTGCAGGTATCTGCACTGTGACAAGTGGTGATGTATCACCCATCTCTCTCTCCCTCAGGTCTCGAAGTCCCAAAAGTGCTGACCGTAACAGCAAGTGGAGCTTCCTTGTACGTGAAGTGGCTGACCGTAAAGAATACAACAGAGTACACGGTCGTGATGGAGGAGAAGCCGCAGACCAATCAGCCACCGAGAGTGAGAACCGTGCGAGGCCATTCTCACAACGAGGCCGGCCTCAAGCCGCGGACCAAATACTGCGTCAAGGTGGCAGCCAGAAACGGCATCGAGCAAAGCGACTACTCCAGGCCCGCGTGCAGAACCACAGGTGCTTTGTTAAGAAACACCACAGGTACACTTAAATAGAGGAGAGACTTGTGGAAAGTTTACAACTGCAAAGCCACAACGTGCTTCCGTTTGGAGTAATTCTTGCATGCCACAAAATAATCCTGATGAACTTTTAGATTTGAAAGCTCTTTGTTAGCGATAGCATACATTGTGATCTTAGGGCTGGTATCATAGCATCATAGGGGCATTAATGCTGTTTAGTAAAATATACTGCTTAAGTTCTATTTATCAAAACTGGTTTCATTTTCAAAGTTATTATATTCTCTGCATGATTGTTGAACTTAAAACAAAACGTATATTTTTCAAGCAATGTTTTTAAGACATTTTCTTTATGATTTACTATGTGACTTCTGCTTTGGTGAACACTCCGGTATATCTTTTGTAACACAGAAAGGAAATTAAAAATAAAAAAGAATCTGAGACATTAAAAAATCCCTGTGTATGAACACTTGTGTTGAAAACTTTCCTTCAAAAAGTTTTGTGTCATCAATCTTAACCTGTAACTGATTATTGCAGCCCAGGTAGGCAGTAAAAGTACCGGTTTTACGTCTTAAATGTTTCTATTTAGGGTCAAAGAAAAAGGTCAAAATCTAGCTTATGAAAACTACACATTCATGAACGAGACGAATAGCAGCAGAAGGTCACAAATAGCGGCCCACTGATTCACCAAAATGCCACCGAGGTGAGGAGAAGGCCCAACAGGTATGAGACAACACACGTGTGATCTCACCCAGGAACCCTCGGGACTGCAAGTCAAGACACGGCGAGGAGCAGGAGAAGAAGATCTGTGGGGATGGAGGCTGCCAAGAGTAGGAGATGGAGATTACACCATCATATTCAGTGCAAATGAGTTCAGCTCTCGGCCGGATATTTGATAAAACCGACAGAATATGGACATATTCAGTTTCAGAGACACGGAAATATGCAAATCAAACTCCAGATAGCCAAATGCTACAATATTTAATGTCTAATCGAATCTCTAATTCAAGTCTATGCTAATCTAAAATATCAATCAGGTCCACATAGTTTGAACTAATTACCACAGAAGTTTGGTTGTATACTGGAAATAATATTTCCTTTTTCAAAGCAAAGGGAATATTTGCAAAGCATAAATATACACGTAGCTTTGCTTGAGTCAAAAGTGTGAGTTTGCTGTTTGTCAATATGTTTATAATGATGTTTGCTGAACGTGATAATGGACCCAACACATTTTTTAGGCTTTTTGATAAGGCCTCGAATGATCTTGACCTTTGGCTTTCGGAAATGACAATGAGCTCATTTTTTATTAGACAAATATTGAATCAATTACATAATATAATACATTTTACTTTTTAGTCAGATGGGTCAGCAGGAATATAACGATCCCTGGTGGATAAAGCGCTTGAAAAGTGGAAATAAAATAGTTTTACCTGCAGAAATACATGGTGGTTTTCGCGGATCCAGTCTTCGTCGCCGCGTCATCACTCGGTGAGGTCCGGTGAGGCCTCCGGCGCTAACGGCAGCTGAACAAACCGTCGACATGGATCCAATGTTCAGTCCAGCGCTTCACAGGCAGAGACACGAATTCGTCATCGATTTTGTCAGGAGTTACAAACCCAAAAAGGTACGGTTTTAATGAGAAACGTATCATACAACTAAGCTCCTAAGCAAGCTTTTGTTTGTGGGAAGTTTGCTAACGATAATTTAAACGCTAGCTAACCGTTAGCTAACGTTAACGCCACAATGCTAACTATGGCTAACCATAGCTACAACCACAACTCCTAACATTAAATCCAATCAGTCCTTCCAATATATTGTAAGGATAATATTGTAGAAATGATAACCTGTGTACCTCATAAAAAGTTCGACAAAATGTTGATTTAAAATGACATTTTATTTTGATTTATATCAACAACTCTCAAAACCAAGCATTTAGATATGCAGCATTGTCTAAATTAACTTCTTGCATTTACGTTCTGCAACTTCAGAAGACATTTCGGAAACCTATGGTGCTGTAAAAACACACAGGACACTTCAGGACATCTTTGACTGAACCGACTTGATGAAAAGGAGTCCACATGTGTATGTATTTATCCATTGCTACTGACGGAGCGTAAACGTCATCACGTGTCCCTCCTCCTCAGGTGGTGGACTTGGGCTGCAGCGAATGCAGCCTTCTCAAACAACTCAAGTTTCACCTTGAAATTGAACTGCTGGCTGGAGTAGACATCGACGGTGCCATATTGAAAAAAAAGATGTATGTTTATGAACTCAAAGGCCCGAGTGACTGCTTCGCCATACACATTGTGCGCGCGGTTGAGATCACAAAGAGGTGTCAGTTGAAGGCGGTGAACAATCAATGAGTTCAACAGGAAAACAATCAGCATGTTAAACCTTAAAACGAGCACTTTTATTGGATCCTATTTCAAAGAATAGTGATTACTGTTCTAAACATGTAGGTAGGTGTACAGTGGGAAAGCCAGTTGCCTCCGGAACTCATTTTTCCACCTGCTTCGTGGATAAGAGCTTGATTCTTGACTCCTAGATCTCCTCGTGCTTTGGATTTGTTGTAAGACTCTGTGGATTGATGTGTGTGTCTGCTTTTATGTTCCCTCAGGTGCGGATTAGCTCCTCTGTCAACCGACTACCTGCAACCACGCAACGATCAGCTGCGCATTGACTTGTACCAGGGCTCAGTCACGCAAAAGGACGCTCGCCTCATAGGATTTGACCTGGTGACCAGTATAGAGCTGTGAGACACCGCGTTGGCTGTAGAGCTTCAATGTCTTCACGCTTTAGACGTCGTTAACGCTGGTCTTTTTAGTTTTCATAATGTCTATCGATTTCTCCCCACGATGCACCTGTCTTTCTGCAGCATAGAGCACCTGACTCTAGCTGATGTGAAGCTCTTCTCCGAGGTGGTCTTTGGTTACATGACTCCAGTGGCCGTCATCGTCAGTACCCCGAATGCCGATTTCAACCCCCTTTTCCGCCGAATGTCGGGTTTCAGGCACAGCGACCATAAGTTTGAGTGGAGCAGAGCGGAGTTCAAGTCCTGGTAAGCTCCTTTTTTTTATGATGCGTATGACTAGAGAATGTCAATAGAACCAATCTTACCTAAAATCAGCACACTGAATCTTGCTAACATTACGTCCCTCCTCAGGGCCCTGAAGGTGTGTTTGGATTACGGCTATGAGGTGGAGTTCAGTGGTGTTGGACAGGCACCTCCGGGCTATCAGGAGAACGTCGGGTTCTGCTCTCAGATTGGTGTGTTTCACCGGCTGGGGGTGAGCGAGGTCTGCAACACGTTGTGCTCTACTGACGCTGAGGATGTGTCTTCCTACACACTCGTGAGTGACCTTGTTTACACAATAATTAAAACAATATTTTCATTAAATATTTCCACAAAACGTTTTTCAATTTATTTTTGCAAAACTTACCACAATCATTTTTTTTTAATTCAACATATTTCAGAACAAATTTGCAGTTTAAATTTTTTGTTTCTATCTTAGCTGTATAGTAAGATCTTCCCCAGCCTGCGTGACAATAACATTTTACGGCGGGTCCTGGCGAGTGAGGTGTTATACTGGGCAGAAAAGCTGGGGAGAAGATGGGTGGAGGAGAAGACTGGTGTAAAGGATGATGCTGACACACCGGACCAGGCTGGAGGTGATGGGGAGGAACGCCACAGAGCGCCAGAAAACCCCCTGCAGCTGGAGGAGAAGCAGACAGGTGAACATCCCCACGGCCGTTTACAGTTCCTAAAACGGCCGTCTATATTTGGTCAACAAAGTGATTCACGACGGACTGTTGGACCCAAAATCCAATGAGCATTTAGATGTGATTGGGTAGTTTTATAAGTATGTTTGAAGTATTAGCAAAATTCTATTTTTATATAAACTAAAGGTCTCTCCACAATATCAGTGTTATTCTGTTTGTTTGTTAGTTAAAACATAAAAGCACAGAGTATGTTCCCATGTTTGTTTTTATTTAAACATCACAGCAGCATGTGGAGCAGCGATGAAAAGTCTGGTGGAGCATCAAGAAGTTGGAAAGCTGGATAGAGAGCTGTTTTGGACAGATGGTGGAGGACAGCAGGAGTCTCGCAAATTGGGCAGGTTTGTTTCCTTGGGGGAGGTGAGGAGGAACAGTGTGTGACGTGTTAAATCACAGTTCGGGGCATCGGTACTTTAGACTGGCTATGAAGAAACAGTCTCATTAGATATCAAGCTTTACCGCTCACAACTGTTCCCATCAACATACCACATGCTTTTTCTGTCTAATTCCTACATTTTAATATTTATTCACATTTTCTAGAGAGAATGGGGAAAGAATTGATTTCATGGCTGTCGAAAGGGTTCCATGTCATAATGTCCTATTCCGTGTGTGCCGGCAGATGTGTGTCTGTACCTCTGTTTGTGCTGTGGGGCTGCTGCCCCAAAATATGCACCCTGAGTGGGAGTCTAAGTAACCTCAGGCAGCTCCTGATGGACAACGCCAAAGTTAAACTGACTCAGGATGGCTCTGCTTTGCTCCTAAATTTAGACGAACAAGGTACCATTAACACTCCATCACTTTCACGGAGATCATTGTATTTGTGCAGAACGTAAACATTTATAATAAGCGGCCTAACATAATGACTTTCAAAGAGAGGTATCACGACGAGAACTATAGATTCCCTGACTTATCATTGTAGAAGAATCCCAAGCGAGGCACTTGGTCAATCTTTTACTAACTAGCGTGATCTGACATCACGCTAGGCAGAAATTACACCCAGTTGGTTCTGACGTCTAATACAAAACCAAAGGTGCCCCCAAACTTCCAGTAATCCATGGGACAAAACAATTAACTATTTGCACAAAATGGTCCTCAAAGTTTAGTCTATCTAACCACCTTCTGCAATGTAGCAGATTGTACATAATATAGTACATCAGCGGCCTTTTCAATGTTTCCTGCTCTTTTTATTCTATGAATTTAATAACCAATGTTTTGTACAACTAGACGAAGAAGATCACGATTTCGAGGACAGTGGGTATGCAGACGCCATGCGGTGCCCCCACAGTGTTGAGCCAGAGGAAGACTGGGATGCAAATGTTTGATCTGGAACGGACTGCTTTGTTGTTGGTGTGGTTTCCCTTGGTTACTGTTGAACTGAAGTTTGTTACATAAAAAAAAATCCACTGAATAAATAAATAAAATCAATACATTGTACTTAAGGTGAAGCAACATCTCATTCATGCTCAAGTGTTAAGATTTTATTCTGTTTTATTCAACAGTGCAAGGTACACATTTGAAGCATCCAGCACACTTGTTCAGGAAGAAAAATGAACGCCAAGAGGACAAGTCTGTAACGGGACACACTGAACAGCGTCAGAACATCACTTTAAAGGAGAAAACATCTTAGTTTTATAACAGCTTCACAGAAGAGAAGAGACCATGTTTGTAACAACATGTTAAGTACCGAGATAATCATACCTGTGTCACACAGGTAAAACAAATTATTTTTATCCCAAAAAACACAACTCCAATACTTGATGTTAGCCAAAAATCATACATTTAACACTGTCAACTACGTAGTTTAACAATAAAATGGCACAATATCCGCAGTGACATTAAAAAAAGACAAAGATGATATCTCTAAGGATGACTTCAGACAATGCCAAACCGTGCTTAAAACGAACCAAAAGGACACACTGATTTACAGTTACATCATACACTTTGCAAATATCTGCTTTAAAATGGAAGTAATGAAAACAAAAGGTTTCCCCACACGTGCTAAACAGACAAGCAATAATGTTACTTTGATGTGGCAATATTCAGCCTAAAAGATGACAATATCAAATGAGGAAATAAATGTGTCAATTTCTGCAAGCTAACAAAAGGACGTCTTCATCATGCTGAACACACGGACATAAAACAACGGTGACGTATAGTTAAAACACCATACACTGATGACACATGTGCAGATATTGATAGAACACATATATATTTGTATCTAGGAGAGGAGGCATCTTACCTCTACTATGGCTTATGACAAGATTACAAATACTGTACAGTCTGTTTTCAATAGTTATAATGCATCTAATTATTTTTGAATATGCATAGGCCTGACAGGGTCCCCGGTAATAACAGTGTGTTGCGTACTTTGGCCTTAATTACACTTTAAAGGCAAATAGTCAACATGCATGAAGCGCTCGGGCTTTCAAAACGCATCACATTTATTTTAGATCAGATTCACAAATCGTTCAGGTCTTGATTGTTTTGGATAATTATAGTTGATTCAACCTTATTCCCAAATCTTAGTTGAGCTGTCAATAGGTATACATTGGATACAACCATTACTATGGGTCTTTTTTAACTGGTGCTGTTGAATATTTTCTTCATGGCAGTGGATTACTTAACTAGTCCTTCTCTCTACAATCATTGAATGAAACATTAGTTACACATGAATACACTTGTTAGTGCGTCACAGGACCCTTTCGCTTGCTCACGGACGTCAGCTCCTTGGACAGCAGGCCAGCTCAGAGCGACGTAGTCGAGTTGCAAAGCATTGGATACATAGTTGGGCATTAGATCATATATATATATATATATATATATATATATATATATATATGCACAGTAATATTTATCATAGAATCCCCTTCTCTAGTTACTGCTCTACAAAGCCAGACAGTAGGTTATTTGTACTTTTTAGGGGTTCTTAACTTTTTTTTAGCTACTGCGTTTGGATAACCTTTGGTGAATTATATGAGCACAAAATGTGTTTTTTCCGATTTATTGTCCTTTTGTTTACAAAAATAAACTATTTCAATTCATAGTCTTTAGAATTCAGGAATTAAATGTTTTTTTTTCTGGGTGTCTAATATATTTGTAGTAAAAATCAATATAATTTACAACTTAAACGTGTGAATTTGAGATAGCTCATTCACTAGATTTAAAAGAAAAGATTGAGGCCACTGAGATCCGTTAAGGAGTCAATTGAATAAAACTGCATTAGCAAGATGTCAGTTGATGTTAAAAAGTTGAATGAAAGAAAAATTCTGTTTTGAACAAATGCTGCAACCGCAATTTTCCTTTGTATGGCAGAAAAGCACTGCACAGTATTCCAAACTTCTCGACGAACAAATGAGATCACGGTCTTATGTTTACGATCAAGCAAATTGTCGCGTTCTCCCGTTCCTCACGAGAGAACACATCACATGCCTCCACTCATCCAGGAGAACGGTCACAGCTTGAAGTGGTCTAGCCATAAAGCAGACACACACATTCACTCACAGGCTGCAAAAAGCGCAAGTCTGAGGCCTCGACTTCGTAGCAAAACATTCTCAACTTCAAAACACTGACTGTCGTCAGGGTGTTTTTAGCAGCTTACAGACAAATATTAAAAAGAACATCCTTTCTGAAGAAGTCTAAAACAAACACTGAGAGCCTAAAGGAATGTATTGAAAGCACATTGCATACTCTTCTTCGGTGTGTCCTGGTGACGCGCACACACGGAGACCGTCCCTGTCCTCCCCCAGAGAGAAAGATTCTTTTTCTTTCAACTCAACAGTTTCAAACGAGTTGATCTCAAACAGATGAGGCTAATATAGACCCAGGAAATGAGGAGCAGACAGTTTCAGTTACATACACGTTAATATGTTTTTAACCATCTGGCCAGTGCCAGTTTTCCCATTATGTGTGTGTGTGTGTTTACCGCTCTATCAGGGAGCTACAGCGTCCTATAGGACATTTGAACACAGGAGGGCACTGTTGTAAGGTCAGACATGGTGCTGATCAGGTAGGGTGTGCGTGCAAGTGTGTGTGTGTGTGTGTGTGCGTGCGTGCGCGCTGAAATGGACACAGACAGCCTTGCCTCCAGTTTTTTGATGTAAGGCGCGTCGGTCCACCGTTGACAGGCTGCAGGTCTAGCGCTTTATCACCACCTGCTCATACGCTCCACCACCAACCCTGGGGAGCCAGGAGAAAGACAACGTTAGCAAGCCCAATGTAACATCCGCCTCACAGCAGCGCAGACGACTTGCAACGCATCGCCATCCAATCAATCCCTCTTTCAACTGTTTCTACTAGTGTCACTAGTGGCCATCAAGCTTCATCCAACTTCCTTATAAACAGCCTTTAACTTCCACACAAACACCAGCTGATATATAGCGCCACTTGTCTGACAAATAGTTCATGACTACCTTTTAAAAGTGACCTTGAATCATTTTCTCATCCAAGTAAACAGCAGATACTCGGAGGGATTATATGTACATTGTGAGGCGTTCCCCCTAAATCCAAAAATGTCAAGCTCAAGGTTTGTTTTAAAAATACACAGGCAATCGATCTGTTAGCTCTTGTTTCAGTCCAAAGTGCGGGACCACTGCGGAAATTTAAACCATTTGGAAATACAAGCTAAAACAGCAAAGTAAAAAATCTCCTAGAACGCAGTATTTGTACTCCTGTCCAGAGACGGTTGGATGTTGCAAAACACTTAAACTCCCCCCGACAAATGATTTTAATAAGCTCAGCAGAGAGAACATCCCGTGCTCACCTGGTGGGAAGGTGATGGCTTCCGAGGGCCGTGCTTCCCCCGGGTCCGACAAACAGGCGCAGGCCTTCCTCTGGAACAGACACGGTGGTAGAAACATTGGGTCAGAACGTTTGATTCCTGTCATGTTGAGCAGCCAGTCGCTAGGCAATCTAAAAATAATCATCGTATCGATGGCAGAATTCTTTTCCTAGATTTAAGCTGGTCGAGACCTTGGAAGAAAAAAAAACAAAAAAACAATGCCCTTCTCCTCACAGTACGGACCGACTCACAGGGGAACACAATGCTGTCAGACTGATCATTGTGTTATGCAAAGAGCTGCAAGTTTAACACAGTCAATCTGCAGAGAGGCTGCGACTCATGATGGATTCATACCAACTGAATGATTGGTTTGTGGTTAATTACAGTAGAGACAACTCCTAAGTATAATTATTATTGTATCATTTTGTGTTTATCTGTACTTTTCCAATTGAAAAAAATATGTATGGGCTTTTTTTGTTTGTTTGTTAACGAACAAAAATAATGAATACATTCACAAGACATTCGTAAAATTGTAATAAGATGTTTTTTAGATGCAGCCCATGTTAACTTTTGATATATAAAAGGGAAAATTCTTGCAATTAAGAACGGTAAATTCCCAGAGCAAAGGGTCTTCAACAGAACTTGGACGGGATTAAATTACATTTTTCTAAACACAGAAAAGCGACAACTTTTTATTTATTTTACTGGAGAAGCTGGAACCAGCTCATTTTTCAGCTTTTGTTTTACTTCCTAAACTACTTTTATTGTGATCAAAGGTCAATCAAGTAATAAGTTTGAGAATAGGTTGCATTTTGTAACTTTCCTTGAAGAGTCAATAAAAAACAGGAAAGAAAACAGACATTTTACATTACACCACCTTATTATTTCATCTGGATGTGAAGCTTACCTTCGGCACTGGAGTCCAGCAGGCTCGGTGTGAAGTCCTGACTCTGGAGAATCTTTTCTACAACATCGTCGGCATCCACCCGCGTGTCGTCCATTCTCTTTAGCTGAGACTCCATAGAGTCCTGCTTCACGGGGTGTCTGAGGACGGGGATGGAGGAGAGGAGTTTCCTGTCTATTTGAACAATAATGGCTTCCACAGAAAAGTGGTCTCTCATCAAACTCTACACTACATTTCATCTAGTGCCAGCAGGGATGTGGTCAACCAGTAAGCCAAAAGATTCCATCTTAGCAGGAGGGGATGATGTTTGTATTTAGTAGAATGGATTTCTCATTTGGGGGCGAAACCAGATCATTAGATACAACAACGGAAGTTTGTGGTTTTAAAGCGGATAAGAGCCCGTTTAGCTGACTCTTTTCGTCCTTGTGAGGTTTGTAAGTGGAGGCTACGGCTGAAAGTGGTAGATTTGTATGTCCGTGACAATCTCGTAAGAAACAAATATCCCCCTTAAACCAAAAAAGCGTCTTAAACCTTCCCCAGTCTTCAGTCACAGTCGGAGAAGCTACTCTGAGTTGTGGTTGGACGTTTTAGATTGCCTTAACTCATTGATTGACATTGTCGTGAATAAAAAGATCCCCGGGTGACACCACCAAAGAGACCCCTCTACCGCGCTGCTTTCCACTGCACGACAGCTGCTTCCTGTAACGGACAGGTCTTAGGTAAGTGAGGTTTAAGTTTAACTTCCTGAAAAGAACAGTCACTTTTGTCTCACCGTGGCTTGCTGCTTCCTCTACATTAAATAGAACTATGCACCTTTCATGGAACACATCTGTTTACTTGACGAGTGACCTCAGGAGACTCGCCTGTTGAGTCGTTCACAGGACGAGGCGCTCCGTACTGGTGTCCCCGGTGGGTCTCTGGAGGGGGCGTCGGGGCCCGGGTGCTCGGGCAGAGCGGGGCAGGGTCTGCAGTCCCGGTCCTCGCTGGGCTCTGGGATGCTGCCGATGCCAGTCGAGGCGCTGCCGACTGAATGGTTTCTCCGGTGGCTGAACTCGGACATGCTGGAGGAGCGGGAGTGACCTGTGCTGTATCCTGAGATGGATGGCAAGGATTTCATATTTTATTTTTAGGAGCTTACGCTCTCCGAAAAGTTTGTGAAAAACGTGCGGCAGCTCTTTGAATTTGGACATGATGAAAAGCGAAAACCAAATGGTACAGCACTTCCGATACAACACCGTTGTAAAAGCCACCGTTAACAGTTTGACCGTACTGTGAAGTAAAAGGTTTGCACTGAGGAAATACTTTAAACGTGTATTGTAGTATCACAAATATTGTGAACACCAGCTTACATGATGCATTATATGTGTTTAAAGGTTCTGTATTTAAACATGAATTATAATACGGGTAGATGAAATCCAGCGTTGTGATTGGTTGAGAGAGTCAACGGGGTGCATTATTCAGCAATAATGTAGAATACCTGTTCACATATTACTGTGCACTCAAAGTAACAGGTTAGATTTTGGAAGTTTCATATCTGCACTGTTGCGCAGATATGAAACTTTGGTGTTTTGAAATTTTTCCCCCTTCAGTGGAGTTGCGGTTGGACGCTGTCTGCAGAGTAAGGCATCTGAGGCTTCTCTGATCTAACCTTCTTAAAAACATGTTTCAGTTTTGTTAGCACACCATTTAATCATTAGTCTTTATTATTTTGGGGTAATTTATAATATTTTGTTTTTGCATTATTTTAATTGGCTGATTTTATTTGCCTCATTGCTACCTTGGGGTGTTTTAATCCTGTTACAACCATTTCCTTTATGACTAGAAAATGCATTTCTCGCTGAAAAGCGCAAATGCTTTGCACTCCTGAAAAAACTGAATTGTACCGAGTGTAAAGCTGAACTGCATTACATAAAGAAGCTAAGGGCTGACATACAACAGCAGGAAGCTAAACTCCCAATACTCACAGGTGGAACGCTATTTTCTGTCACAGTAACCCAATGCTACTTCTTGTACACCAAAATACTTTGGCAGATTTGTACTACATTTTAGGGGTTTATTCCAGCCAAATTCTTACTAGACTGTTAAATTCATCTTCTGACCCATGCTAGGATTACAATTTAAATTCTAGCTTATTTTAGCAATGTATATCAGCTCTTATCTTGTGTAATAGAGGTCAGCTCTTTAAGATGTCTGTAACAACAATGCTTGTCAATTGCTACATTTTCTGCAAGCTATTTATTAATACTATGATTATTATAAGTATGATTATCTGGGCATCAATTCATTACAGCAATCGAAGAGACCAAACCAGAGGCAGGATATACATTTTTCTAATTTGAACGAGGAGGGCCATTAGAGCTGCTGTCGGCGCATCGTTCTACTTCCTCTGATCTTTTATTAGTCATCTAATCTCTCTGCAATTGATACCCGAGCCTTCGGTTTGAACTGCTCTGGTGGAGTGTTAGTGGAAAATAATTGTACCACTTCCCTCCCTTTAGTCAAAAGCTTTTTGTGCATTATACAGTTGAGCCTTGTAACAAGTTTTTTATTCTATCGCTCATCAATACAGCTTTGACAGCTCTGTAGCTATATGTGTGCATGCATGAGTAATATATGTATTTGCATTAGATTTATTTTACAAACTTGTGTGGTGTCGTACCTGAGAGTTTGGACTGTTGGCTGGCGTAGCTGGACGTTCGGGAGTGGCCGCACCCCCCAAGTTCATCAGAAACAACGGGACACTTCCCCTCTCGACTGTCTGAAAAGGGAGGGAAAAAAAAACTTGATAACCCAACACCACAGCTTTTTTTTTTAAATAATCAAGTATACTTCACTACATATTTTTCTCTCCTTTAGTTTAGGTAGTAATAAGAATGTACTTTCTGCCCAAAGAGAAAAAAGTTTGCAATAAACACGTGTGATCACAGACCACAAGTGGCAATTCCAAATCAATTTGGATTTATACAGCTCACACACAAAACACACTTACAGTACAATCACTGCAAACATGCTGATGTAAAGAGCATCGTCTTCAACAGACAAATTGTGCGCATGCTAACGCTCGATCCCCCCGAGACAGACTTGAAGATACTCCTATTTTTAACCACGAGAGAGCCTACAGGACAGAGCAGATTGAAGCTAATCTAAAAGAGAACGGGTTTAAATGATACATGAGAGAGCTGTGCTACAGTCTGAAGCTTCCAGTAGGAACAACACAGCAATATGTTCACACATGGAGAAACACACACCCAAATGTGGCAGAAAGAAAGATGCATATTTTCATAGGGCTGGATGGGAGACGAACAGCATCATGCTGTGAAGCGCACACATACAACACAAAATTGTTCAGAATTTTGCAGCATTTCTCAAGGTTTTCCATCGTGCGGCTCTTTCACATTAAAGTTGTTCCTTCACCGGTGTTCATTGTAGTTGATTAAATCTGGTAGCCACATAATAATAATAAAAATTGATTCAACAACAGCGAGCGCTGAGGTGATAGTAGGCAACTCCTTATTTGCAGTGAGTTAGCTTACTCAGTTAAGCAAATGGGATTTTTTCCAGGTGTGAAGCCAACCCCTGCGTGCTAACAAGGGGCCGGTGCGCTGTCAGGTACACGTTTGGACGAGCTAACGGGATGACAGAGGGGAGAGATGTGGCGTGATTACCAGAACAGCCTTTCTGGGAGTCCCCCCCCCTCCTCTCCTCCAGCAGGCTCTCTCCATCCCCCTGGATGCCGATCACTGTGGCCGTGGAAGGAGGCCTGGTGAAACGGGGAAGACAATCAGCCGTCGACTCCCGTCTTCGATTTCAACGTGCAAATCGTTTAAAACGCAAAGCAAGGTAAAAAGACTAGAACGCGGAGTGATTGAGGACTAAAAAGATTGAACAAAGGAAAATTACATTGAGTGAAATATAAAAGCCAAAGGCTAAATATACAGTAGATACTTAATATTTAAATACATTCTGCAACAAAAGAAGATGCAGCTTTTGGCATTATCATACAGGCTACTAAATAATTTTTAGGTCAGATTTTGCCCTCGGGTGAAGCAGCGTTTCCCTCTATGTACTGACACACTTTCACTGAAATTCATCATATATGTGAAAATAACTAGAATGATAGCGCAGTTTATCACATGTAGGAGGAAATAAATCAGGGCTTTGGACGTGTGAAATTCTGATTAGCAAACAGTTCTTTATTCTTGCGTATATCTGTATCATTTGATTCCCATTGAGTCTTGTTTTCAGTGCCACACTAACAGCAGCTTTCTGGGATCAGCTCCAAAACAAATGCAAGATTTGACACCTTAACTTTGGCACATAATACCAAGACTTCATACAGACTAGGAACTGCAGACCAAGACTTTGCACCACACTGACGTGGAATATTATCGCTATAACTTACGTTTTAAAACAGGGATCCCCTGACATGAGCTGTGTACTGATAATGACCTAAGAATAGAAAGAGACTTGTTAATTGATTTGGGTCTGCATTGCAGCAAAGGTTTCCATTAGGCTGGATTCTTCATTTGAAGAAAATAATACAGTATATATTCACACACACACACACACACACACAAGAACACACACACACACACACACACACACACACACACACACACACACACACACACACACACACAAGTACAGTTGCTCTAAATTTACAAAAATCCAGAAATAAACTCCAAGTCACAGGAGAACTTTAGATTTAAAGACTTTGTTGGTCGATATCGTTCATCTTTGCCTACTTCCTACATGAGAAAACCACCAGGCTTGTATTTAAATCTCAACAATTTTGTCCTAAAGAAGCCTAAATGGACTGGTGTGGACGTGATACCGGAGCTTGAATGTTACCTTGAGAATGGAGTTATCCTGGCGGGTATTTTTGGTATCGTAGCCTTCCAGCAGACATCTGCGTGTTGTATTCCCTGAGCCGGCAAACTCTGCTAAATTCAGATCTGCAAAACCAAGCTGAAGGAGAAAAATGACTCTGGGTGAACTTTGTTGTTTCTCGAGGACTCAGATGTTTTGACCAGTAAGCGCAATTACAATCTCTAGAAGTGAAATGCCAGCTGTGAGGATATGATAGAAACTCAACAAAATTAGCACAATTAAAACTAATTTCCTTCTTCAGTGACTAGCAAGTAATCATGAAAAGGAAAACAGCTTTTATGTCGTCTAGAGCTGCAGGCAGTGAAGGCCATCTGCTACGGTCTCACGTGGCCATCTACATAAACATGGCTAATTAATGTAAACCTACGTGACCTGCAGGCTGGGTTGAGAGCTGGGGGGGTTGGATGACACAAGTATGTATGGAATTACCTTTGCATACGCCTTCCCGCCTTTCAGCTCCTGGAAAAGAGAAGCAGAAATACGTCAATTGTGTCAATTCAAGCAGGATTACTCTAAAACAAGAGGTGATCACCATCTGTGCCGTAAATCGGCATGAAATGTATTTTTGTTCCAAAGTATTGGGGATGGGAAAGGAAAGTTGAATTAAATGTTTTAGCTCCGTAAAAAGCGATGCATCAAGAGATTGATTCACACTCTGCAGTCAAGGCACTTATGTGCTCTATTGACCTTTTACTCAGAACTTTATATTGGAGTCTGGCAAATTAATACAATAATACAAAGATGCTGCTTTCCATTACCAAATAAATCACAGTAAAATGATAATGTTGGGTACAAATAGTCTATCGCCCGAAGTTGGCTGGGATGGACTCCAGCCCCCCCGCGACCCTGTGTGCAGGATAAGCGGTTTGACAATGGATGGATGGATGGATGGGTACAAATAGTAGCAAAAAAGGTACGGCTTGACATCTTAAAGTTCAAAACCTAGTCAAGTACTTGACAAAGTACTCTGGGTACTTGAAATCTTTGTGTTGTAAAACAAAGAGCGTGCACCAGAAAGAGCTCGCAGCGACGGTGTGGAAATACAAGAATAAGACTTTTCATTCATTTTTTATTAGGGTTTGCTTTACCTTGCAGCTTAAAAACAGATAAAGGAACCAGAGAACGCTCGTGTGGAGGTTAAATGTCAGAGAACAAAAAAGGACAACGATTTTTACGTCTCCCTTTGAAACGCTGTGCTCGCCGACTGCGTTCTGGAGCTCACAGGTTTCACTCCGCTGCCTGAAAGTGAACCAAACCAAATACCCCAAACTGAACCCAGGTGCTGCAATTATGTTAGCAACGATGAGCCGCTCCACTTTCTCGCCTCGTTCTTTTCACACAGACATGAACAATAGCCTTTGTTTTTTGCATAAAGTAACCTGCTTCACGCGTAACCCGAACGGTGTCATCCGCATGCAAAGCATCACATCCCGGATCAACAACACTCTGCAGCTGTACAGATAACCTGACGTCCGAGATGCGGAAGGCGGTGGCGTCGTACTGTACCTTCCTGACGGACACGCGGCACACACAAGGGTCCAGCACCCCGGTCCCTGCATTGGCACTCATCTTGCAGGGGAAAGAGAAGCGCTTCCTCCATCGAACACAGTTGGCCTGCACCGCCTCCCTGTGAGGGCAAAGTGAGAACATCTTCAGGCACTCGGTTAGGTCACACATCAGGACCAGGTTCTGCACAGGTTGCACGGATGGGACTAAAAGAGTCATTTATAATCACATTATGACCTCAGATTCTCTACCATAATTACAATCACATATTATATATAAGAAACAGAAGATGTAAAAATATGGCATCGATTAGCTGAACTGTTTTGTAGCTTGAGTACTTCATCCTTAACCAAAAGGCTTTCTGGCCTAAATCTTTGACAGTTTTAGACCGTATTGTTTGAAGGAAAGATTTTTTTGTGTGTCTGCTTCAGCACCTTTTTCAAAATTTGAAAACTGAAAAATACTTTAAGCAAATTGTTACGGCAGTGTTTTATGTTAATACAACTAAATATATCATATTGGCAATAGTACAAAAGGAGAATACAAAGACTTTTTTTTTAATTTTAGAAGTACTACTCGTTTCCTCTCTGGTGACTTGTTTGGTTTCTATATTTATGGCTCCTTGATATCTTCATTAGGAACAACTACTGGATGAAGAGCCGTCCCGTCGTGGCCGAGCTGCCAGCAGATTGTGTTCTGGAACCCGAACCAACGAGCTAATTAATCACACCTGCGCTTCGTTTGACCGCTGGCACCGAAAAGCTGCTGCGGCAGGTGAAGCTCGTTTAGGAACAAGTGTAGAGAAGAAGAAAAAAACGCATGCACATCCTCCTCACCGCCGCCGCCGCCACCCCTCCTCCTCCTCCTCCTCCTCCCCCCAGCAAAAACTAGAGGGTAGAAATCTAATGAGGGGTTCATCCCTCACTGAGAAGACGAGACGAAGCCAAACGGAAAGAAGAGTGTATACGTGGGCGGCATCCTGATACCCCAGATGGCGTCTCTTGTCGGTCTCTTTCTCTCTCTCACACACACACAAGACAGCAACACTTGCCATTCGTTTAGATCAGTGTTATTGGATTTAAATACAGGCAAAGCTGATGGGTTTTCTCCCAACGAGGGGAACCAATTCGATAAGTTTGCACGGGAATTTACTGACAAAATAGAGACGCAAACAAGAGATGGAAACAGAAATGTCAAAGAGCAAGACGTGACGACTACATAAACACTGAAATGACTGCCGGAGCTGACCGGGCACACAAAGGCCCGATTTGTCCGCTGCATCGATCTAAAAAAAAAAAAAAAAGACAAAAGCACCAGATGCGTGACTAATGTTTTACAGACGCTGACTTCATCCTTGATGCATTTGTGAAGAGTGAACTCCCAGAGTAGGCGAGGGAACTTCCAGCCAGCTGGACACGGCGTGCTGGGAGGATCCCACTACTGCGTGTGAGTAAGTCTTAAAGCACAATCAGAGGTCGTCCCTCTCGTCTTTTGTACGTGGGTCCGATATCTTAAAGAGAGCTGCTCGCCTTCTTAAAGACAGGTGTGTCAGGCTTCAGGCACTCCTGAACGCACAGATAACAACAAGGGTGTGTGTTGTCCAATGTTTATCTGCAATGCAAAGGTCGGAATTTGTCCATTAAAATGTACTATTTGAAAAGATGGTTGACTTATATAACAAGGAAAACGTGTGTTAGTCAGCACCTAGTCGTGATGGCGAGCCACGCCGAAGGAAAAGAAAGGCTCGTGAAACCAAAATCCTCATTTCTCCCACACTCACAGTGGGGATGACTCAAAGGAGACGCTGGAAGAAACATTTCAAGTTTGCAGGCCCCCAAAAAAAAAAAAAACTGCAAAAACACACGTCACTTAACGACACTCGAGACTCGTGACTACAAATTCTTCAAGCTGAAGCATTTCAGGGGCCGAGCAGGGCGTCTTAATACGAATCCCAACCATGGAAGATCCCTCGTCCGGGTTGTGAGATTAAAGAACCGCTTTACGCCGTTTGTTTTCGACTTCATCCAGCTGGCTGTTCCAACGTGACGTACACAGAAATGACCTAAAACAACCCCAAATGTCATGACCTTAGAAGTACCCGGAGTAACAATGCGCGGGCACATCATGCCAGTTCATAAGAGATACTTACTGTCCGGCAAGCAGAGGGGGACGTTATATAATCTAATCTCCACAGAACTCATCAAAATGCTTTTCCCTTTGTTCAGTGCTGGAAGGCAGAAAACTCACCAGTCAACGTAAAACAAGTTACAGGCTTCTGATCGGCTCTGCTTGCATTGTCTTCATGGTCCATAGTTAGTTAAATTACATGTATGGGGTCAGATGGTTGTTTAGGGCGGGGGAGCAATGTGTCATGTGCCTTTTTTGACATATTTAATATGAATAATTAATCGAAAGAATAATTTAGCATTAATAAATAACAAAAAAACCCCACAAAAACTGGTTTAAGAGGGAATGCCTGTCTTTGCTTGTCTCAGTTTGATAACAATAATTGCAGCAGCATGACACAATTCATTAGGTTATGTCAGTTTTAAAAACAACAAAAACGTATAAAGTGGTTCACTAAATTCTGTTCTGCTTGGGACACAAACACGGTGTCACTCACCCACACGGAGAGCCTCTTCTGGGAGGGCGGCTGACAAGATTTTGGATCGCATGGTCACGCAGGCAGAATGTGCCTTTTTGTGAGTTTAAAACGATGCATTTGCACAATCAATAACCGGTCCATAAAGTGCGTTAAGGCATTCAAAGCCAGTAGCGCAATGGGGACTTTTGGCGACGGAAGAGGGACCACACACAGGCACGTTAGCATGTTAGCACGGTAGCTGGTTAGCCTCTCAGATAGCATGCTAACGCTCCTCCGCGGGGACCGAAGAAGCAGCTGAAGGCTGGAAACACCGGGCATGAAACACCAGACATCCTCACCGTGAAGACTCCTCCGAGAAGCCGCCGTCCAGCAGCCTGACTTTACAAAAGAGGACGCCGTTGACAAAGGGGACCGACGAGAGCTCGTCCAGCTGGAAGTCCACCTTAAACTTGAATTTCTTCTTTTTCATCATCATTAAATCCATAAACAGATTCAGTACTCTTGAGAAGATGCTCTTATGTCGCTCGCCGCTGACATTACGGCCCCATTGTGTTGTGGTTCAGTCTCAGGGAGGATGGTGAAGATGCTGGTGGCAACAGTCAAATCAGAAGGCGACGTAAAACGCGACTTCCTCTAATGGATTTTCAGAACAAAAGAACGTGTTTTGAATAAGTACACTGGTAATAAAATACCAGTGGTGCGGGAATTATTCATATTTCGTATAAGTACAAGTAAGACAACTATAGTGCAGAAATAGGGAAGTAGAGGTAAATGATAAATTAGTAATATCAAACATTAGTTGTCATAACTTATAACAAACAATTGAATACCATTAATCATTAGTTGTTTGATATTTGATAACAATCACAATCTTTAATTTAGTTTGTGACTTGTGAAAGTTTACCCCTGAAATGTGGTGGAGTAGAGGTAGAAAGTGGCAAAAAAGTGGAAATACTTAAGTAAGATGCAAGTGCCTTGAAATGGTCATTTAAGGAAAAAACACACCCATTTGAAATATGTATGCGTTTTATTGCTTTGTGTTCTTCAACATTTTTAAACATTTAGTAATTATGACTTACCCTGACACAGATCCTCAAAGTGCTAAAACAAAAACGTGTTAAATCATTGTGTACGAGGTAGTAGCTGCATTCAAGTTTATATGGACATTTGTCAGAGCTGGGAACGCAGCAGTAGATTTGAGAACATTTCAATATAGAAAAGAAAACAAATATGCTGTTGGTCCACAAAATCAATCTCGTATTCATTATTTGAGAAGCAGCACCATATTTTATACTTAATTATATCAAAAGTTTAAGACCAACCACAATGGTTTCTGTCTTTTAGAGTAGCTTGTGTTCACAAATTTGTTTTAAATGTATTAAATCATGCATTTCTTTGCTGAGTGTATATCCTAAATATACAAAGTAGCAATAAGTAAAGTTAACAAATAAATGGAGTTAAGTAAAAAGTACAATATTTCAAATTTATTGAAGAAGAGATATTGCTTCGCATTCAATTTAATTCTCAATCGAAGTACAAGTAGCCTATATTTGGGCAGTACTTGAGTAAATGCACTATTCTAACTCTGGATTTATGTAATTTGGACTGAAACGCGTTAACGTGCCTCTTTTTATTTTGAAATAGATTGGGGTTAAACGGATGTGCCGTATTGACAAATTATTGACGTGAGGTTATAACAGCCCGCCTCCTCTCTCCGTTGCCCCCTTGCGGTCAAAGGAAGCCACAGCAGCATCTACTGGACAGAAAACACCAACAAATTGAAACCAGCTGCTGTTGTGTAACATTTGACGCCATCTCGTGGTAAAATCAAGGCGTGGCCATGAAAATATAATTATTAGACTTGCCTTTTCTTAGCATTTTCTTTCACTACCCCCACCATTTTCAACCTTTTTACATTGCATACAACTTATATAAATCCACAAACTGGTATTACACAAATCGGTCTATAGTATATTATGTAATAAGTTATTTGAATATGATATTATTATATATATTACTATAGGTGGATTTGTGTTTAGCGCAAGTTCCATTGTGTAGTATTACGCAGTATTATATCATAAATATAAGTAACTTGGGAAAACATTGCCATCTCCATTAGACCTCCAAAAGTCGAAGGCTCTTGGATCTTCAGCGCCGTGGACACATTTAAAGAAGCAGGGGATTTTGGACTCCTGCTTTCAGATTCCTGGAGGTATGAGTCACTAAAGTGAATCAGACTGCTGGTCCCCTCGGGGATCCGTACTATGGTCTATTCTAGTAGACTACCACGCAAATATGCGTGTGCGTGCGTGAGTGTGCCCGTGAGTGTTTTAGGTGTCACACCGCCAGCCCACACGAAAGGATAACTTGAGTTAAATTGAAACAAAAGAGCAAGTAAAGTCTCGCTAAAGAATAATAAAGTAAACCTTTGGAGGAAAACCACTGCGTCAGCGCTCTAGTAAGGAAATGGACTACGAGGGAGGCCCGAGTCGTCGCAGCTGAAGGGTGTGCCCGTGAATGTGCGCGCACCAGAGAAGAAGGAGGTCTCTCAGGCGAACCAGCCAAGTGTCCCCACCCTTCTGCCCCAACCCACATCCCCCGCAAACGGCCTTCCGCGACTCGAGTCCGACCCGAATAGCACCGCATCGTTCACCGCGACAACTCGCGGGGAATCTACTCGAGGGGTCACGGGACGGTCCTGCTGCTTCTAACCAGAAGAACCAGCCACACAGGCACCGGGCTCTGTGTCTGCGCGTGTGTGCGTGCGCGTTTGTGTATCCACATCTGTCGGAGCGTGCGCTCTGGTCTCTGCGCGCGGCCGCCTCCGGTGTCTCAGCTCAACGATGTATCAAGCCGCGAGGAAGCTGCTCTTCACGGACTGCCGGTGCGCCGACGACGCGTCCAAAGTGTACGAGGATCTGTTCAGAAAGCTGGACACCAACGCGGATGGGAAAGTGGACGTGACGGAGCTGAAGGCGGGCCTGGCCGCGCTGGGCATCAAGACCGGGCAGGGAGCAGCTCAGGTGAGAGCCGACGGCCTGAAGCGGGCCGCACAGTGTGATAATGACTCTGCAGGAACCCCAAGAAACCATCACAGCCAAGCACAGGCCACAGAGAGCGTGCACGCTAAGAGGTGTACTCTACTTTACTGTGTGTTACACTTCAGATCTGCCTCTCCCAAAATATTTGTATTGTGGTTATTCATTCGATCATTCTTTAGTTTGTTGTAACTTGATTCATTTTTTAGTGGACTTGACGTCAATTAAAATGTTTTTTTTTTAATATACCTGCTGAATCTGTCACGACAGTTTTTGAACTTCAATTCTCGAATCTCCTTTTTTTTTAATGACTTTCTCAAGTTTTTCCCCATGATAGTAAAACATGATATCTGGTTTCTCTACAAAAAATAACAACAGTCTAAAGCCGGCGAATAGCATATGAAGATGTATCGGACTGTCTGACAATATACGAGCTGCAGGTAAAGGTGAACATTTATCGTGAGCTGCACCTTTGCTGATTAAATACTCGTTCTCATCCGTTTAAGCTGTAAAACTTGGGAGTCAGGGGAAAGGTCAGGAGCTGTCTGACTCCAGCTGTGAGGCAATGTACATATCTGTGCAAATATGTGATAAGGATCTAACCAAAAAACATGCATACACTAGCTGCCATTCCAAACGCAGTTAATGGTCAGCTTTGTCTATAACTCATCTCTTGAAGCTTTTTGTCTTCAAGTGATCAGCTTAGATTCGATTTCCTTGACTCTTGAGACCGATCCACAGCACCGGGTCCACTGAGGTTCTGAGGATCTGATCCTGAATCAGCACAGACGCGATGAAACTGGATTTTTAATATTCTGTGTTTTTCCTTAGAAAATCATTTCCTCTGGAGACAAGGACAACAACGAAGAGCTCGACTTCGACGAGTTCTCAAAGTATCTAAAGGAACATGAGAGGAAGTTACGACTTACCTTCAAGAGCTTGGATAAAAACAAGGACGGTATGCCGAAAACGATCTTATCCAGCAAACTTTCAAGTTTATTAACGCTTTACACCAAGAGTCAAACTACATTCTGGAAACTTGACTGTGCTTTTTGCCTCCTTTTCAACAGGTTGTGTAGACTTCATGGAGATAAAGCAGTCACTTGCTGATTTGGGACTGGATATCAGCAAGGAGGAGGCGCAGAAGATCCTGAAAAGGTACGTCCGCTCCTTTTGTAGCTGCTATCAGCGCTTCCTGCGCTGTGAAGATCTAGCAGCATCATCAAATCATTATAAATGATTTATTATTGATGATATGTCATCGATTAGTCCCAGCCAGTACAATCTGGGTCAGAGCTGCAAGTTCAGGGTGAATTTAAGACAGTAGCAACGTTCTGTAAGCTCGGTGATTAGAGAACCATGTAAATTAAAATTATCTTTTAACTGGAAGCAAAAACTGCAATTTGATATTTTTGTAGTCAAATGGGTTTCAGGCTCATGTCTTTTCTATACCCACTGATCATTTGGTTATCATTGCCTTTTCAAAACTATTCCCAATTATAACATTCACTATCATTCGTTTTTCATACTTGTCTTGAGCAGATAAACATCTCACCAACATCCTCCACTAGTTACGGGATCCTTTTTATAAATACTGGAGTTCTGTGGAGAAATGTAAATGTAAATCTTGTTCGGGGCTCGACTGTGCCAGAGACCCAACCAGAGGAACAGCGTTTCCTTTTTCCTTCCAACTCTTTTCAGAATACAAAAATAAGCTCTGAAACTTGTAGCCTAAACGTGTTTTGCTGTTATTATCGGCGTTGGTTTGAAATGATTTAACTTGTTATTCTAGTTTGCGCACTCCCTCACTACTCTGTTTCCATTAGTGAAATCTCTCTCAGAAGAAATTGGATTTGCAACACAAAATCCGCATTGTTCCTAATTCAGTGCGTCATTTCTTTTGGCAGAGAGCTTGATCACGTGACGTTAAGAGAACTTGGGATTTTTCCCCTCACTTCTCAAATATGAAAAATATGTATCAGCGGCTGTTATTTCATTTATTGTGTTTGTCCCGTTCAATTGTGACCTGTAAAGATTCTGGACAGCCGATTGTTCAGTTGTTTCAACTGTTCTCATAACGACTTTTATTTTATGTCATCGAGTGTAACTGATCCGTTGTCAGGTGCCTTCCACACTTTACCTAATGAAAAAGACCAAACACATTTAGAAAGAAATGCAAAATCAGTGAATTTAGGTAAGTAAAACATTCACACTTTCCATAATTAGATCATTTATTGTCCAGCCTTAGTTGGCCGTTTATCCGCTAACACTGAGATACAAAATCCACAAATCGCTTGTTTCCGCATACGAGCCATTAAGTTATATGTCAGTTACTTCATTGCTTTTCGTCACCATTTATTCTTATTATTTATCCCGTGTCTTTCCTTGTACAGTATCGATGCGGATGGCACCATGACTTTAGACTGGAATGAATGGAGGGAGCATTTCCTCTTCAACCCAGCCACCAACCTGCAGGAGATTATCCGCTATTGGAAGCACTCCACGGTAAGGGAAGCGCAGCACTGCGTGTGGGCGTGTGTCAGGGAGAGAAAATAGACCATGATGATGGATTTATTTCAGTTTAATTAGTGATGCGCTCATAGACACAGAACAAACAAAACAACGCCACTAACCGCAAAACTGGAGACAAAAGAAAATAATTTCAACTGAGTATATTGGTCAGAACGGTCCGTCATGTTGTGGACCAAACTTTAAAGCTTTAAAATTGTTGTCCAATTGTGGCCAGTCTACCAGGTGGAGGGGACACGATTCAAAAGCCAGCGTCTTAACTGACATTTCCCGTGTAGACAGGTGGCTTTAAGGAAATATCTTTGACTGTGGTTGCATGCCGGAGTCACAGCCAAGCGCACTCGCTGCCTAATCTCTGACGTTGGCTGCCCCCCGTTCAGCGTTTCAACCTCACAGGTCAAATAAACCTGTGGCCGCTAAACTGGGCCGCACATAAGCTAATTTCAGGGAGATTAGTTCGTCAGTGGGATGCCGGCGGGTCACCGAGGGAGGACTGAGTCTAGAGGACAGCACAGGAGAGACATGTCTGACTGAAGCAGACGCAACTTCTATAGCAGAGAAATAGCGTCCAGGAGGGAGTCCGCACAACGCTGGGACTTCATTGCGCTGGATCGGAGGCTTAATCAAGGGCTTGAGATGGCCATGGCTCTGCTGCCCCCTCAGCAGCAGCGGGAGGAGGAACGGGGAAAGTGGTTTTTCATCGACCTTGAAGATGATGGGGGAATCTATGAGGCGGATGTGGACATGGTGGGTTTGGGCTTTTAGCCTCACTAACCCGGGTTGTTCGGTCGGGAATGAAAACTGGGTTTCATACATTTGCACAGTGGATTCTTGTCAGCAAATTGGCCCATACAATACAATAGATTTTAGAAATGATGTTTATGGGAATCAAGAAATTGTCTCTTTCACAAACTTTCAGGGGTTTCTTTACTTGTGTTATTTCATGTGAGTTATTCTGATGGTGTAATGCAATCCATTGCATGGTAACAAGCTGTGAGACCAATGTGTTCAGGAGCAGTTGCATTGAATTCAACAGTTCTTTTAAGGTATCCAATAATATTCTATCCCTCCATCAAATCACAGAATCTCTGCCAAAGTCTCAATCAAACGGGACATTTGTTTCACAAAGCTTGTATTCCTTGCTGGGATATTGCGCACTGTTTTATTAAGTTGTATGGATCTTCATGTTGGTTGGTTTTGCATCCATAGGAAGACAGATTTCACTCCATTTCCACTCTCAGCTCAGGAGTTGAGACATTTCTGGTTTGACAGACAATTTGGTAAACGAGCAGTGAAGAGTCGTATTGGCAATAAGATAATATGTTGCTCTAAAGCAACCCGTTTCATAGTGCCGTGCAATTATTATAATTGATCTCACAGCATGACTCAGTACTTATGTAAGAGTTTAGATCAGGACATTCTATTTGTCCATTCCTGCAAGACAATTAAGTTGAGGTCGGAAAGGCTTCTAATCTTACAGTTTAAAATGATTAACTTAAACTCATATAAAACGCTTACTTCCATGGAATGTAAATTATATTTGAAACGATACAAAGCTCTTCAGAAACTTTCACAGGTCTATTTAGGCAGCCTAGTCATGTTTGGCTCTGCAGTAAGTCTGTATACAGTATACCGGTGAGGGGGGGAGATGTTTTTGAGGGATTCTGGCTCCTTGTTCATGTTTAGAAACAAGATGCACAGTATTTAAAGTATGCTTCTGACTGTATGTGTGTGTGTGTATAGTACATAGACTGATGTGGCAGTATATAATATATATATATTATGTTATGTGTAGGTGCTGGACATTGGGGACAGCCTCTCCATCCCAGATGAGTTCACAGAGGAGGAGAAGACCACCGGCATGTGGTGGAAGCAGCTGTCAGCGGGGGCCATGGCTGGCGCCGTGTCCCGCACAGGAACAGCCCCTCTGGACAGGATGAAGGTTTTCATGCAGGTGAGTAAAACACTTACACTATGTTAGAAATAAATACAATTTTATAAATATAGCAAGATAACCTTGCCTTTAAACTACATTTTAATTAAAGTAAATATGGTCATACTTACTTACATACTTCCAAATTACAATGTAATGTGGAAAAGATTAAAGCGAAAATAAGTTAGTTAGTTAACCTGTAACTTGTATGCACAGGTGCACTCCTCCAAGACCAACAAAATCAGCCTGGTCAGTGGTTTTAAGCAGATGTTAAAAGAAGGAGGCTTGATGTCTCTATGGAGAGGAAACGGTATCAACGTACTGAAGATCGCCCCGGAGACGGCCATCAAATTTATGGCCTATGAGCAGGTAAGGTACCCCAAGGTGCAAGTGCAGCTGAAGTTCATTTCTACTGACACCAACAGCCCTGATGAGTCATTAAGCTGCTCCCTTATCGCTGTGCGTCATTAGTTTAAGAAGCTGCTGTCCAGTGAACCAGGGAAGGTGCAGACCCACGAGAGGTTCATGGCCGGATCGCTGGCTGGAGCCACGGCACAAACTGCCATCTACCCCATGGAGGTGAGCAGACGGGGCAGGGGGGGCACTTACAGGTCCATCCCTGTTAATGGTTGGTTTATTATCAGAGTATTAACAGGGGCATCAGGTAGGAGAACATGCATCTTCATATACCTTTGATGATGGAAGTTGTCTCTGTTGTTTGGTCTACATTAACTATCCTGACCACAAACGTCACAAACAGTTTGATCGGACGGAAGGCTTCCTTCTTACCGTCAAGCTGCTGACCGCTAAAAGGCGTCTGTAGAGGTGCTGTCAGGTGAAGAGCAGCTCCTCTTAAAACCTTTGCCCTTGCAGGTGATGAAAACCCGTCTGACCCTGAGGAAGACCGGACAGTACTCAGGAATGTTTGACTGTGCCAAGCAAATCCTGAAGAAGGAGGGAGTGAAGGCATTTTACAAAGGCTACGTTCCCAATCTCCTAGGCATCATCCCCTATGCTGGCATAGATCTGGCAGTTTATGAGGTACATGGAAGAAGTAAATACAAATCTCCACTTGCAACATCGTCCGTCATTGAAAGCGGTGACAGATACTTATATGTTTTACTATAGAGGTCACTTTTTGTGGAAAAGGCTCCAGATAATAAACACGTTGCTTATCCTCAGAGCTTGAAGAACCTCTGGCTGTCCCGCTACTCTAAAGACTCAGCCAACCCGGGCATTTTGGTGCTGCTCGGCTGTGGGACGCTCTCCAGCACGTGTGGCCAGCTGACGAGCTACCCGCTGGCTCTGATCCGCACCAGGATGCAGGCACAAGGTACACGGAACCAAAACCCATCCGAAATGTCGTCAGTTTTTGAATCTAGCGCATTGCGCCTATAATCTTATGCAGAGGTTAATAACCACTGAAAAGCATCGCCTGAGCTATGGTGAATAATGAGTTAACGCTCTGTGATATCTTTCGGCATCTTTCGGCGTTGTGTTGGTTTTACTCCAACTTTACGGTTTTGCAAGCGGCTTCCTTTTTTTTCAGCAAAAAAAAAAAAAACATTGGCAAGAACACACTTTGCACTGTAGGTAAAGACTAAAAACAGGGCAAGTGGAGTTCATTTGATCAGGTAGACACAACTTCATTGGCTGACATCCCCCTAATGTGCTTGTTGCTGCCGCCCCCCGGTGGCCACGAGATGCAGGTTAAATCCAAAGGTTCATAAAGATTTCCTTCGTGCGTATTTCCGGGGCAGCAGTGTGGGAAGGGTTTCCTAATGAGTTCAAGGATGGCTCATAAAATTTAAAGAGAAATTATTGACCGTGATTATAAAGATAAATGGGTGGTTGGTCAATGTCTACTACATACTTAGTAGTTAAAATAAAAGCGCTGGCATCATTACCTGACACTGGTCCGTCTCTTTGTTTCTCAGCTTCTCTTGAGGGCTCGGAGCAGCTGCCCATGAATCTGATGGTGAAGAAGATTCTGAAGAAGGAGGGCTTCTTTGGACTTTACCGCGGCATCCTGCCCAATTTCATGAAGGTCATACCGGCTGTCAGCATCAGTTATGTGGTGTATGAGAACATGAAGGACAGCTTGGGTATTCAGAAGTAAGCAGCAGAGTCATCTGTTAGTGGTGAGCAGGATTTGTTTATTTCACTGCAGGATTTTAACTAAACTGTTGAGCCATTACTTTAAAAAAAAAAAAACACAGAAAATTCTTCAGAGGGCTTGTACGGGTTTATAAGACTTGGGTGTTGCACGCACAATTTGAAGTCCACTGTCAGTCTTGTGGCTCAGTTTAATCAACCAAAGAGGATAATGTCAAGAATCTGAAACCCAAACAAAAATCTTGCAGGTGTTTATTTGTATTGTGAAACATTTTGTTTTGGCGCGTTTACTCTTGTTGACTTGGGTTGAAATGGTGATGTTTTTGTATCAGTCATTTTAAAGCGTAGGTCCTCTAAGCTACATTGACAGGGACACTTGTTTTGCTATCTTTACAACTTAAAACCACACCTTCCATTTATTTACAAACCCTTTCAGTTGTTCGTAGCAAACCTTTCAAGTGCAATACTGTATTTACACGTTGGTGGTTGAAATTCTGGTATGTTTGAGACAGGTATGTCTTCATAGGTAATAGATTCGTTCCAAGTCTGGTGAATGGGAGTCATGTGCCTTATGTGATTTTTCATCGACATCTATGGACTTCACACTCTCTTTGCCTTTCTATCCAATATTTGGTTCCTTGGATGGTGGAGTTTACGGTAATAAAAACATTTGAATACAAGATGTTTTAGCGCATTTGTTTTCAGTCTACTGTGATTGAAATAGGTTTGAATTTGACTAAATATGTTTGTCTGTCATTGTTTGGCACAATATACTGAGGCAAGAAATGTATCAGTTGTGAACTCAAAACCTGTTGGATCAGGAAACTAGTACAAACCCGACTGCATTATAAACTGCAGGCATTCACTCGAGCCTTGAGTGGTGTGCAATGAGACGTTGTGCATTTGACCCCCCCTGAGGCGTTAAGCAGAGATTACTCTAGTTAAGAGCTTTTGTAATACCCCTTTTCTCAGCAATGTCAGTACTCCAGACGTCAGCTGTCTGATCCTGGCCGCGTCAAAGGACAAAGTGCCTCGGGAATTTGTAACATTGATCGGAACATTTGATTTCTAATTCGGATTCAGGCAAATCACCTAGTGAGTGAAATCACAAACCAAAAAGTATTTAAGATCATTTTAAAGATGGACCACTGGAATACAAACCTCTACAGTAAAGCCCTGATGAGGAAACATTCTTTATAGCCTTCTGTTCTGCTTTTACAGAAGCTAGTTCTTGCAATGATCTTTAGAATGACCAGCTGTTAACAAACCACACAGATTATAACCAGATTAACCTTTGATTAGGACCGAAGAGAGGAAGAAAGCATGAAACAACATGGCTTTATTGCTTCATATACACACTATTTAATCTGAAAATAGATTTCTTTCTGGGTAAATGCCACTAATTAAGAGTGTACCAATGAGAGAAAAACACGCCACAGAGGACAGGATGGAGCGAAGGGCTTTGAACCAGCTTGGGTACGTGGGCAGCAGAGACAGATCATAATGCAGCGAGACTCCTAGTCCCATAATAACCATGGTGGCTGCGGGAATAATGTTGTCGCTCATGAGCATGGATCCCCACGCAAACAGGGAGGGCACCACACTGTTGGCCAGATTTATCCAGTCAGGTTTGGCTGGGCTGCTCTCAGGGAGAGCAAATCCCCAGCGAACTCAACACTAGTAGAGAAGAGAGAGGAGAGAACTATTGAGGCGCCGTACGCTAACTGAGCAAAGGCCAACTCTGGAAAGTAGCTCTCAGTCACAGCCATGAACACAGCGGGGCTGATAAAAGGGATTAGTCCTGCGAAGCCAAGGAACAGGGCTGGTTTGGGACCTTTCCACAAGTCCTTCATGTCATAGCGCAGGAGAGGCATCTCTACGGGAGGTTCGAGCTTTGGTCGCTTCTTCAGCCTCACAGCGGAGGAGTGGAAATGTTGGTTCCTCACTAAAAATGGAGGCGCTCTAATCTGGTCACCGTGAGAGACATCAGTCCTCATGACCGTGAAGACAGCAGGAGGACTTCCTCTTCCGTCGTCGTCCGTCTGTGATAACAGCAGCCTTGGGGCTGATGTCCAGCATCTTTGGAGAGGACCAGCCCTATTCCAAACCTACAAATCAGAAATTCAAATGATCAATCATTAGAAATGAGAGCAAAAGAGCTTTTGAAGAAACCAAATCACAAATACTTTGTTACCTTCTGAGCTGAAAAGGCGCTTTTTCTTAATAAAACAGATACCATCTGAAAAAAAATACAAAAATTATAATCTTAAAGATTACACGTGAAGTTAAGAAAAATAGAGCAAAAGAAGTAACGACAAAACACAATACGATTTCAACTTGATAAAGCCTGCAACTAATGGACGTGCTGCGTTCACCTGCTCTCGTAACCTCAGCACCGGAAGCTAACGTTACATGCAACTCGTATAGATACACACATCTAACGTTATCTATCTGACATGTTTATATACATACACCCCCTAAATGATTATATCTACCATATATAATATATGATGGATTCATATATCAATACATATGTCACGATTGAAGACAATTGCAGCTTAAAAGTTACTGCAGAGATAACCGACAGCTGTTAGCATTGGCGGCTAACAGCTTGACAACTAACAGCTAAATGGCTGACTCCTCCTGGCGTTTGGTTTAACATTACACGATGAACATACCGCTGTGAAAGCAGGATACCATTGGCACCTCACGCTTAGGTTGAAAACATCATGCGACAACGTTATTAAGAAGTTCCCAGGGTCACCCAGCAGTTAGTGGCGAGACGTTGGTACGCAGACTATTTCTTCCGTGCTCGCCAACAGGCGTCCTGAATCGATAGTTCCACTACAAAACAGTGAAATAGAAACATTAAATGAAGACGTAGAAAATTATGGAAGACTGGACACACTAACTAGTTGATTAATTAATTAATTAAAAATCACTACTAGCGAGTCAGGATTTGTATTATTATTTGATTACCTAAATAGTAATCAAACATCTCCAATACATCTGAATGATATCAAGGATTTAATTTCTGCGTATGAAGCATGATGCTGCGACCTATTTACTTGCTGCATGACACCTTATATAAGCAGGTGTGTGTCCAAATTGTATCCAAACTATCATCTAAGGTTGACTCCATCAAGTCTGTCAGGGCACAAGTCTATTTAGCGAAGGATATATGTTATAGGCAGTATCATAATCCAGACGGAGAGTAGAAAACTTGTCTTGTCTCAGACAGTCTGGGTTAGGCTCTCCAGGTCTTTGTCAAAATCTATCTGAGAACCTGAGACCAGCTCTGGATCATTAGGCACTGGGCTCCGGACCAGTTGCGGGCCGACACATTGTCAGCTCTCAGCTTCTCCCCTGGGACACACTGTCTAAATGTTCTCCCTCTCCTTTTGATCTATTTTCCTGAGGGAGAGTTGAGTTTGTTTTTTTCTTTTGTTACAGCAATAACCATTATAAAACTAAAGTTTAAAAAGGAGTCAGAGGCCTGTCCTGTCTTTAATTCTCAGATAATAGGCGATTCAAATATCTGGGAACAGGCAGGGAAGACGTGTACAGGGAGAAAGACATCTGGGGTTCTTGAGCAGCTTTATTTTGGCATGGTGTCTTGTCAGCCTCTTAATAACTAACGGAATGTAGTGTGCAGGCAATCTCCCTCAGGTCATTAAACCATATTAAAATGAAGGCGTGGTAGCAACTAATGTAGGCTGCTGTCGATGGATGTCTCCATCTACGCCCACGTCTTTTTTTTTTAAAGACAACCTTTTTTTAGTTTCACATTCGTACGTCTCAAATTATCTTCAGGACGTCAAATTGGTTCTAAATTAGGCCCTTAGGTCTGTCAATCTTTACATTCCAATTAACAGCAACCATTTGGTTCGTCTTCTAAATGATAAATAATCTATAAAAATCTTGAAATTAGATCAGTCATTTGACAGACTCAGAAACATATGCTTACAAAACACATCAGACTAATTAGTAGCTCATATGAAGGTATATACTGCATATTTATCTTTTTACAAAAGAAGCCCTTTGACAGCTACATCCAGTCCTACGCTGATTGGTCAGTGTACACTTTCTTTCCTGTGGCACACCTAAAAAAAATAATTGTTTTGCCTCATAACAGACTGTTTCACTCGGAGGAGTGGGTGGATTTAAAGCCCTGGACTCAGGCATATATTTGTCAGTGTAGGATTTCTAAGATGTAAGGTTTTATTTTATGCTGCAGATCAACTACTATGTTAATCCCTATCAGGCCTGTGCTTACAAAACCAAACTGCCCACTAGGAGGCAGTCATGCAACACCAATGAAGGTTGTTTTCTAACGGTTTGCTGCCTTTATTTAAGTTTGACTTGATGAGAAAAACAACAACATTGATTTTATCCTTTCTAATGCTCCCATCTGCTTTACTTACCAACAATATAATCTTTATTTACTGACTTAGGAGAAGGGGCAAGAACTGATCAAAAATATTCTGCCGGAAAAAAATCATGAAGTAGAATAATGTTGGAAATTGATTACAACCAAAAATGCACATTCAGATTAAACAATAAAAATAAAAAGTCATCAATATTTGCTAGAGAGTAAAGGGAAACCCTTTTGAATCGGCACACTGTCATTTCAACAGTGTTGTTCATTCATTCAATACAAAATCTCAGAGCTACGGCATGAAGCAAGAAACGACTGTCATCCTCCATGGAGAGAATAGATAGAAGAAGCCTGCTGGCTCTCACAGCCGTAGGAGGCGCTCAGACAGATCCATCGCTCTGAAAGACAAAAAAAATCAATGTAACCGACTTTGGTTCCCATTTAACTAGTATCACATCTCAAATTAAATGAGCAATGTACAGTAGCCTATAAAAGTTACAATTGATTTATAAGCAAGTATAGGTGTTTTACCATAAGGACAATTTAGTTATACTTCCTGTGGGATCTTCATGAGTCTATGGTTTTATTTATTTATTCTCCTTTTCCTTTAGTTGACCAGGAATTGCAGAAGCCGGAATAATTGCAAAAAGATAATTTGTAAAAACAAAAACGGAACCACAAAGTGTAATAATAATCATCGCAATAATATAAATAAATTGCAGATTTTCCTTAAAACGTATCCATTTATTTTTTGCAAATTGACTGAACCGAATCGATCGAGGACTAAATACTGACCCCTCCACAGCAGCTGTCACACAGACATCCCAGCAGGCCGTTCACCACCTGCACAGCACACAGTGCCATCTGGACCAAACCCATGACCAGCAGCACGGAGAACAGAGAGACGTGCCAGGACACCACGCCGGTCGGCTTTAAACAAACCGTCTCCCAGGAACTTTTGTTGGACAGGTAGTCTCTGAGGAGGAAGAGAAGAAGAGGTTTTTGTCTGCAGACACTTTAAACTGGGAAAGAGCAGATTTGTAAGTGAATGAGCTCAACGTTTTACCGCTAATTTAATAGTTTATATTTCATGTTGAAAGTGTGAACTGTGGTGACACCAATAGAAATAAGTTTGATTTTTAAAGTAAGCTGGTTTATTGACGGTGCCAAAATATTTTGTGTGAAGGTTTAGGCAGTTTGTTCTGATGAGTTTTAAGACATCACATGTGATACTACATTGGTGTAGTGGCAAACACCCAAAAAAACTGAATGAACAAGCAGTCTTACACCAGGTGACCATTAAAAGCTGAATGGTAAAATGCTATTCTTCTTTATTTTTGCTTTTACACCCACAACCAGCCTCTTAAAGGAATAGTTTGACATGTTAGGACATATGCTCGTTCATTTTTTTGCCATTAGGGAAATGAAAGGATCAAAGCAAATAAGTTAATTTCCCAAAAAAATCCCAATAAACTATTATTTTTTTTCTACTAGTTAAAGATAATGAAACAGAAAATCCAAATATGACAAGCAACATGATTATATTCTAAGGAACTAAATAAACGGTTGCATGTTTCCACGAAAGATAACAAATTCACATCTTTAGTGATTTATGCAGGTAATTTGAAACAGAAGTGAACAATTTTAATACTTTATTTTGAATTTTGGGTGTCTCACCCATTTGAGAAGGGAGGGTCCCAAAGCTGGACCGTGTCGTTAAACTGAAACAGACACTTAGGTCCGTGGTTTATGGCCACAGCGGAAACTATAACAGAGTAACCGGCCCCTGCAACACCCACAGCTGCAAACAGTATGGAACTCAGCATCTAGGGGGAGAAGAAGAAGTTATTGGGAATCCACACCTCAGCAATCTTTTAACATTTGTCACTATATCTAGATACACTATACGTTTTTATCTTAGTGTGCAGGGGGACGGCTGAGGGTCATGGACAGAGCCGCTGAGGTGTGTGTAAAGACTTTTGTTTGCTCATTAGTTCCCTGACCCACACACACCTACACATTCCTGTAGTATTGATCAATGCGGGTGTGTGAAACCTAACAATAGCAGCTACTGTACGTGTGGTGAAGTCCCGTGAAACTCCCTTCAGAGGAATTTCTTCAAAATCAAATCAATTTCTGGGGTTGAATGTGTTATTGTGTTGTGTGTTGTCTTTATTGTATGATGTTAATCATGGTTGATTGTTACATAGTGCCATTGTGTTAATTCAACGAATCTTTAAACTTTGCTGGTAGAGCTGATTAAAAGGAAATCAAACCACACCCAACAAGTCTTAATGCCCTGTTCTCTTTCTTTTTTTATTAATAAAAATATTAATATATATTTTTTTTGCTGTGCAGAACATTCCTGTTTCTTCGTACCTATTCCTGACAAAATTTAAATAATAAAGCCTATGTGATATAAAAGTTGTGTTTGTGGCAGCGGTTACTAATAGCACAGCTCAGCCTATAACTTACGTAAATGTAAAGATGTAAATGTAACAACAACATTTTCCAAAAAGTTGATTGTGATGTCACTTGATTTGCTTTTCCAATTGTAGCCACAACAGCAACAACCGGCGTGTGTAATATACCGTTTCCACTGAGGACATTTCGACTTGTTACAGTAAAGCAGAAGTGTAAAATAATAAAAATGAATGATGGCTGAATTTCCCATATGATATGTCTGTTTGTGTTGTTCTATTGTGTGAGATAACAATTGCAGTAATTAAACAGTTGTACTCGTTTAAATTTATGATGTTGGTTTACTACCTCAGTGTTTTATTTTTTAGATTTCTCCTCCCCAACCAAAGTAAAACACCAGTTTCTGCAAAGATTTTGGAGCCCTGCATTACTGTTGTAATGTGAATAATAACTTAATCATGGTAAGAGTTAAACTCTGTAATATCTCCTCACCGCAAATCTGCGGCCACAGCTTTCGTTGCCACAGCAACCGCAGCAATCATTGTTCTTCAGACCCAGGAAGACCAGAGCGGGGAAGATCATCTGTCGCCCAAACAAACCCAAAGTACACACACGCACATATAAAAATGTCACGAAGATGACAAATTATTTGTTCCTCCATGTGTGCAGGTTCAAGAGGAAATTGAACTGCGCTCCATAATCATTAAGATATAAACTGTTGTATAACCAGTTCCTAAATTTGCCATTTATTACCCTGCACCAATTTGAGCTGTTGTTCAGAATAAGCAAACCATTGCCAGTGGCTCTGGATTATTAGAATGAATGATTTTTGTTCTCATTTCTGACATTGTAGCAAACTAAAGATGAAGTAAATAGGGACAGAAAGAAAATAACTTTAATAATAGAACATTAATTTAAATTGTAAGCAATTGTTAATTGCAACCCTAAATGCATTTTTGTTATGTTAATTATATTCTGCTTCTGATAAACTGTATCAACCATATCATGTGCTAAAGTTGCAACGTATTACTTTTAGATTTCATTTTTTACTTTACAAAAACATTAGAATAATTCAGAAAAGTTTCCTTTCTATATATAAAAAACATGTTGATTTCACAAAGTGTGAATCCTCTACTTTATACTGGCTGTTACTGTGTCAGAGTCATTTTAACATACTCACCAACACTCCAGATCCCAGAATTCCTCCAAAATACCAGACTTCCACTGTGATGTGTTCGCTGTCCACAGAATTTCCACCGGGGAAGAAGAGCAGGATGTTGCACAGCACACACACAATCGACAGAGGCATCAGACTGATCCCCAGGCACTTGGCAAAGCTGCCTGAACACATCTTGACTCGGACACTTCAATCTACTCTGCAAGGAACAACTCTTGGAAGTGTCTCAAAACCCAACTAATGGTGGTCTTTCAATCTAAAAGAGCAAGGATGTCTTGCTTTGTAACACCACCATACAAGTTCTCCTTACAGCTCTAACGCTCGGTCGTTTCTTTGAAAAGCTTTGTCAGCCCTACTGAATCTTCTTAGTGAACCAGTCTGCCTCACCTGTCCCGTTTCTTTTTGGTTTGATGCTATACTTGAGCCTTTATAGCCCACATCCCCCTCACTGCCTCACTTTTATAGCTGTTAGCTGTAATACGACAGAACCACACGCACACATATACAAACACACATGCACACGCTTGTGACTGCATGCAAACACACACATTGATGTGGGTTCACCCGCGTGTGACAGTGGTTAATGTTCTACCATGTGTTTTGTGCTAATGGAGACACAAGAGGAAGAGACAGTTGGTCGATAGAGCCGAGCCCTCATGGCTGATCTACAAAACGGATACAGTGAGAACAAGACAGACTTCCTCATTAGGTCTTATCTTTAATGTTCTATAATCATGTAGTCATTTATCATAAGTAATATTTCCTCACGTGTTACAGTTTGTGAGGAATACAATAGGGAACTGGTAATGACTTTTCCATAGCTGTAATCAAGACATGCGCTTTCTATGCAACCTGTAAACCTAAATTAAAGTTGATTAAATATAACTCAAAATACTTGATTTCTAGAGTTTTATAATTCTATTTGCTATTTTGGTTCGTTCGGGTAATTTTAAATTGAAGGTACAAATCTAAACCTTAAGTCAATTCAAACACTTGCAAATGAGAGTTGAGCAAGTTTCCTAAAATGTCTGCTATCCATCCTACACTTCAATGTGTTATGTCAGAACTTGGATTTTAGCTAGAGGGGGAAATGGATGCATTCAGTTTAACTTGTTATTCCGTAATAATCCCTCTTCCATTGATTATTGCCTGAAGATAAAGTGTGGATATCATTTAAGAGAGAAAAAACAGGTTGAAGGACAACTTCCATCGATGTAATCGGTGATCTGTTTCTCTGATATCGTCCTATGTACACTGAGGCAAACTCAATCGACACCCGAGTAACCGATTAGATGTTGAGCGCCCTTCTCTGACCACAGTAGCATTTTAATTGTCCAGGTATTTCCGCCTGTTTGCTTCCAACAGTAGCTGCGAGTCGAAGCGGGATGCATACGGACTTGGCTTTCTCCTCTCGCCGGTCACCTGTTGTGTGTTTACACGGCTGCGTGGCATCGAGCCAGCCGCTAGCTTCCGGTATAGGACTGGGTAAGCGGAACACCACTGCCACGAAGACCCTACGTCACGTGACGCACCAAAGGGACAATCTCGGAACATATTTGGCATTTTTCTGTTCTTCCACGCGGTAATGATATATAACCAAGAAGGAAACCAAAAACAAATACGATAATTTTCAGTTAGTTCACTGAAAAAATACCAGATTTTTCTGACCCAAGCATATTTATTTGGTCATCCTAGAAGAAGAATTAGTCCTCATACCAGAGAGCAAAGAATATTTAGCTTGAGGCTATCTACTCACTATCAAATCATTTCAGTTCTTTTCCAATTCTACAAACCTCATTGCTGGCATCCGTCCATTTAGATTTAGATTAGAGATTTCGAGATACCAATGGAGATGAAGGGATTTTTATTTGTGCTTCTCACAAAGTCAACATGGGTAATTGGTATTTGAGAAATGTTAAACCTCAAAAAAAGAAATGCAAAGCTCAAAAAAGTAAAAAAACAACAACAAAAAAACAACATGAGAAAGATAAGTAATATTTTGAATATTTTCTTTAAAATGACTCCACAGGTGAGTTACCCAAAGTGGTTGTACATTTTCCTAAAACATATACTGATAGAGACTGTTGAGGGTCATATTAATCACAGATGGACCTGTGTTTGTTTCCAGATATCTTGAAGCGTGGCGGTAATGCAGCAGATGCTGCGGTCGCCATAGCAGCAGCGCTGTCGGTAACCGAGCCATGCAGCACCGGCCCCGGTGGAGACGCCTTCTGCTTGTTCTACAACGGAAACACTGGAGAGATCAGAGGAATAAACGGCAGGTGGGAACTCTCTTCTTTCGGTGCTTTTGTCATCTTCATGTTCAGAATGAACATGTTAATCAGAATGATTAACTGAGCCTCTCCTTGTATCCTCAGTGGTCGTTCGCCCAGAGCTCACACCCTGGACTTCCTGGAAGGGCGTGGTTACACCTCAGAGGCACCTCCCTCGCCGGCCGATGCCTTGAATGTCACAGTACCAGGCGCCCCTGCATGTTGGTGTGATACTGTACAGCTGTTTGGTAGTCATAAGGTTTGGTGTGTGTTTCTGTATCCACGTGTAAAGAACTGTACTGCGTTCTACCCAAGTAGCCCACATAACATGTACCATAATCATTCACATGACACACACAACAATGTAAACACTGTGTAAGGGGTAAAACTACTTTATTTGTGGTCAGAACTTGGCAACAAAACAAATAATTGGCATTAACTGTTCCTTTAGTTTTCAGAGCTCCTGTTTTTGAAATGGATATAAAGCAGTCATGGTTTTGAGTGAGGAGAATCATTTGGAGACTTTAGTTTTCTCTGAAAACCACCAGAGGAAATTAAAGTCTCCGAAAGGTTCTCCTCACTCAAACCATGACTCAGACTTTGTGCTCAGCAAGGTTTCCTGTGAGGTAATACGCACGTGCTTCCTCTCCCTGTTTCTCTAGCTGTCCTTGCAGGAAGTTCTGGGTGGGGCGGTGGAGCTTGCAGAGTTCGGATTTCCCGTTGCAGAGATTACGGCTCACCACTGGGCGAAATGGGTGGCAGCTCTGAGAGACGATGGGAAGGAACTGGGTGGAGACCTGCTAATCGATGGTCATGCCCCCAAATGTGGACAAGTTTTCAGGAACCCAACTATGGCCCAGACCCTGAAGGTAAATAATTCAAACTAAAACACACAGCCCATATTGATAGGTCACGTGAGCAACACTGAGCCATTTTTTATTCAACCTATTCAAATAGTGATTTAGCACAGAAGGAAATCACGTAGAACCCTAGAGAAATCGCTGCGCTGTTCCCTCGTCTTCCTAGAGATTTGATCCGTTTTCTAAAGTTGACATAGCCGTCTATCTGGGAAAACAGTGGATGTAACAAGGGACGGCATGAATAATTCACTTTGAAACCATTAGCGTGGCAGGAATGCGTTGGCAAAAAGAGGAGGACGTGGCAAATTGAAATGGGATGATGGACGAGTCTTGTGTACTTCGCCACTTCTACTCTCCTTTATGAACGTGTGTGTGTGTGGGGGGTGGGGGGGGGGGGGGGCGTGGACAATGTAACATTCATAAAACCACGCTCAATTTGTACTTTCCTGTTACTGCCCCCTCACTATTACACAATTAATGATCTCACAACTCGTGTATTTATGATTGTTTGACTGCTTGTGTGTCACCATCAAAGAAAGCGCGGGTCAACGCTCGCCTGAATCACCACATCAAATGGTCAATCCAGCTTTACAAATGCAGAAACCATGCCAAGTACGCCCATTATAAGTTCCCCTCCCGTCCACTACATACACACACACGCACACATAGTCATGTTCCCGAGGTTGTAGAAACAATAGCAGTGACCTCAGCCTCTTTGATGGATGGTTTCCATGGCATCATAACGGTCATTCCTCAGCGACGACTTTGTGCTTTACTCACTCACACACACCATCCTGTTAATTTGCTAACATCGTTACACCTCTAGACACTCACATCAGTGTTCATGTCACCCACATATCTTTAAAACTCAAGATTTGTGTCGCATTAATATGATATTTGAATAGTTGTGTACATGGAATGGCAGAATAGGCCGATGGATTAAACAGCTGATTGATTGGTGGATTTATGTGTCGACAGGAGCTCGGCGAGCGCGGAAAACCAGCTTTCTACCAGGGCAGAGTGGCCCAAGCGATAGTAGAGATCATTAACCGGAATGGAGGCGTTATGACCCTGGATGACCTCAGTAGCCATGACAGTGAGGTCATCACCCCCATAAGCACAGAATACAAGGTGAGGTCAGCGAACATAGACTCCCATTCTGTGTGTATTTTTGAAAACGCGGTCAGTAGATAGAACGCCTGCGTTGTGTTTTCAGGGTGTGCGTCTGTGGGAGCCGCCTCCTAACAGTCAGGGGTTGACTGCCCTGCTGCTGCTCAACATCCTGGAGAACTTTCCTCTCAAAGGTACTCACTGGCATGCTGATTCAACATACTAGAGAATCTCACGTATAGATATTAGTCTGGCCATTTGGATGAGTCAAAATCACTGCACAGACAGACAAAATGAATCATGAAATTCATATGAGCCATGGTTATATTTAGCTGGGGTTAGATACTCTCTGCCTCCACAAAATTACAAAGGAGGTGGATGGAAATAGGTTCCTGTTCTTTTCAAAATATTGAAAAGGATTGTAAAATACTGCAGCAGTTATTTCTCATTTCTTTCTATTTTTTTTAACCAAAAGAACGTTCTTATTGCACTTACTCCCCCCCATATGCACTGGACAGGAACTAGGAGTAATCATTTTCTTCCACCACAAGGGGAGCCAGTGACAAGAGAACAACAACTCATAACAGAAAAAAAGAATAAAACATGTCACTTCCACGTTCCTATGAGCAGTATTGTGAATGCAAACAGAAACAAGCCCTTGGAAATATGTAGCTCCCCATTGGGCACTGCTCAGTGAGTCCTCATCAATAATAAATAAATTATCTGTAATAATAGTTATCAATAGCTCCGAGCCAAGCTCTTGCAACCCTGAGGATACGTAGTTTTGGGTAGTGATGGTTTGACTGATGGGATAATTAACGAAAGTAAAAAGCTTCAATACGATAAAACCAAAAGTCATTATAAGTTTGATTTTGCATTAATCTGTTGTGTATCTGTGTGTGTGTGTGTGTGTGTGTGTGTGTGTGTGTGTGTGTATAGCTGCAGGCCATAACAGCTCTGACTACATCCATGTACTGGTGGAGGGTGTACGCTTGGCACTAACAGATGCTCTGCGTTACCTTGGTGACCCAGATCATATGACCATCCCTCTCAAAAGCTTACTGGAAAAGAGCTACAGTCACCAGCGAGCGCAGCGCATCTGCATGGACAGGTGTGTGTTGCTTTGCGTGTATGTGTGTCTATTAGTACCAGTATGTACTCTGTTGACTTTAGATAGGACTTTAGTCTTTTTAGTTCCCCCAACCTTAATGCCAATCCCCTCGTGGCTCGGTCCTCGGTGTGAATGTTTTGGCAACGATATGTATTTATTGGTCAGAGCTGTAGACTTTGACCGTAAGCCCTTTATCGTTTCTAAGAGAAACGGACTATAAAAAAACATTTTTATACTGGTAATAATCTTCAAACATCACATCATACACTGCATGTATCAGACTGCATGCAGAGGACTGCATCCCACACTTACAATTAATTTAGTATCACGTTAACAAATTATTGTCTTGAAATGAAGGGAAAGCAGGAAATTATAGATAATATTTACATGCGCTGCAATAACCTACTGTTAAACCAGTGTTTACATATAGCCAGCAAACAGAAATCTCAGCCAACACCTTACTGGATATATTTGAACCATGTTTTCTCTGATAGGATTATTAGCCTGACACACTGTGAGGGGACAGGGAGTGAGAGAGCACACAACTATAAAGATTATCCAAGTGATAGCCGGTGCTTCCAATATGCATGGTGGACAGTCGGCGCCTTGTGGACCTTTTTTCTCAAATGATGAAAATCACCAGTGTTTCCCCTACTATTATATTAGGGAGCCCCCCGCCCACCAAACAGGCGTCAGATCACAGATAAGAGAAATAATTGAAGTTTATCTCTCCTACAGAACGGTTCTACACCTTGTTTTATTAGACTAATTAGACAGCCTCATTATCTTATTTACCCGACGGCATGTCAGTTCCTGTCTACGCGGTCGCGCTTTGTCACTGCGCTCTGTATCGCGCCCTGATATGAACGCATGCAGACACATGCGCGCACACACACATGTGCAACACTCAACACTATTTATATTCATTGTGAGAGAAAAAATACATGAAGTAGTACCTGTTCTTTATCTTTCAGTGAATTTTAAAAGTACATGTATTGCTGCGCGAACATGCTAAGCAGTTGAAAACGCGTAACGTAATAGAGGAAGATACATTGCCTTTGTTTTTGGCATTGAGAGCTGTGTTGATGCGGGATTGATAACACCCTCATTCGTGTATGCTGAAACATGCTGCTGTTGCCAACAGATGAAAAAAGTAACTACAATGGTTTGTGTGTTTTTTTGATGGGTGTGTGTTTATGTTTAGGGCCATGGAAGGAGTGGAGCCTGGCCCGTCAACAGGAAGTGACACAGTCTATTTCTGTGTGATCGACAGTCAGGGCAACGCCTGTTCATTTGTCAACAGCACCTACATGGGCTTTGGAAGTGGGCTCGTCCCTACGGATTGTGGATTCTCACTGCAGGTCTGAGCGGTCAGAAAGAGGGTTTGCCATTGTGTGCATGTGAGGGAGAGAAAGGTGATTAACACCGAGTGGCAACATTAGTGGATTTGATCCATTGGCAACCAATCTTGGACCAGACCTATGAAGACAGTGAGACCGAAAAATTTGAGTTCTGATGTTTATCACTGTTTTGTTTTCATGAAATCCCTTTTTCCTGCTCACAGAATCGCGGTGCCTACTTTTGTCTGCATCGTAACCACGTTAACTGCGTTGCTGGCGGGAAGCGTCCATTTCACACTATAATAGCCGCACTTCTCACTGACTCTGCAAGCACGTCACAAAGGCCACGCCTCCTCGCGGCACTGGGGCTGATGGGGGCATTGATGCAACCACAAGGACATGTCCAGGTACGCTGGGATCCAGAACAAACTTGCCTTTGATATAGTTCACAATAAGTTAATAAGATATGGCGCGTGCACACTTATTATTTATTCTCTCTGTGGTTTATGAATATCATCTTTTGTTTTGGCCATTTGCAAATAAGTTGCGGTTGGTTATTGAAAAGTCTTTAACTTTGAGTAAAGTTTAGTCTTATGAGATGAATGTGTTGATTCATTAACAACTGACTTTGCACCCGTGTTTAGGTGTTGTTGAACATGCTTGAGTTTGGGATGGATCCTCAAGAAGCTCTAGACGCACCAAGAGTCTGTGTGCAGTATGATCACAAAAGTATGCCATGTCCTCGGAAAACACACACACAACCAGAAACAGCATCACACACACTGACTCTGTATAGTCACATATAGAAAACAGTGAGTTATTAACCTCATTTTTATAATCACGTAAACCAGCTCTTCTAATTAGGAGTTCTGCTGTCTGGCTCTATAATCCTAATAGGAATGAATACCGATGCTCATAAAGATATAGATAGTTGGGTGTGTTTTTTATTCTTATAGATGACATCATACACGTAACATGTAACTGAATTCAGACCACATCTTATATTTTACCTCAATTTCAAATGAGATTTATAATCATTTGTGAAGTATAAATAGTATGTTGTCTGCTTGTGTAAAGCATTTGTTAGAATGATAATCATATTCTGATAAAACATTCTGTGTCCAGCTGATCAGTGGTCGGTTCATTTGGAGGAAGGGATCGGCCGGGAAGTAGCGGAAGAGCTGAGAAGACGCGGCCACAAAGTCTGCTGGCCAATTACAGGTAACTTCTTTTATTCACACAATTACTGCTTGGAGGAGTTGCATTGTAATTTTCTACATGAAAGGTAGGCTACGTCCACAGAAAGAAGACCAGTTTCTCAGTTACTGTATTTGTAGTTGAGTTTGCACTCAAGTCAAGTTTCCTTTTACGTTTGTCTCATTGATTCTTATTTAACTACAAATATGTTCTACATGTTGAAATAGTTCATGTGTTTCATTAATGGTCATGTTGATTTAATGGCCATAAACAATAACCATGGCTGAAAACACCTGGTTGAGTTGACCTGGTAATGTTTAATGTGACACTTCACCTGCTTCTGTTTCCTTCTGCAAGACCAGCACCCACTTCATGGTGGATTATAGATTATATAGAGAGATTATGTGTTTCATTACAACCCAGAAGGTAAATAATCTGTAATGCAGTGTTTTATATTTTGCTTCAAACACACAGGCCACATGAGGGCTCAGTTTGGGCGAGGACAGATCATCACAGTTGGCGATTGGTGGAGCCCATCTGTCAATCAAGCTGATCAACCATCCAGGGTGCTTTGGGCGGGATCAGACCCCAGAGCAGATGGATGTGCCCAGGGATACTAGAGACAAGTGACCGCTCTGCTTCCATGTCGAAGTGATAATCAAAAAACATGATCGCACACATTAACTGTTGATCAGAGGTACTTTGGATATATCTCCATTCAGATTGTTTTTGTTTATTTTCCTACACTTTAAAGTTAAGTACATTTAGTGATTTAACAGTAACTGTATTTCAAATGATTTGTGAAACACAATGGAGCTTGTTATAATTTTATACATTTTTACAAATGACAAATGAATTTGTTCCTACCTGACGAAGAGCTGATTTGGGCCTAAAATATCTTCATTACAAAAAGAAAAGTACAATGTTTTAACTGGAGTATTTAATATAGTTGTAAATAATGAGAGAATAATAAATCAGTTATAACTCTTTTAATTTAGCCCCAGACAGGATAAATGTGTGTGTGTTTTTACACTGGTAACTAACAAGTCTTAATAGAGATATTGATCACATGATCAGTTGGTCCGTCCATCATTCTGGTCCCCACTGAATATGTTAACTGTCTATTCTTTGACCCTTTCTCCAGCCCCTCCAGATCAGAGTCCAATGGGCACATTGCCATCAAATTGTCTAAGCACATTCATGCAGACCAGAGGAACAAAATGTGCACAAAAGATATATCAAAAACTCTTTTGCTCATAACCATACAATTAGCTGGACGTGTTTTTCAGACGGGATAATTCAATTACACGCAGTGTGTACGCAGTGGCTCCGTTTGGGGGTTATTGAAAAATGAGTGAGTTGTTAAACTACCTGCAAACCACTTGCACCTTGGAGCAGGAATCCAAATCATTCCACTTCTACACAAGTCTCTTTATGTAAAAGCATGATGTTGTACTTTGTTTCATTGTTGATCTCATTACAGCTACCAACCGTACCTGGTACCAAACATTTAGCCGATAGAGATCCATGTGTTCTGTCACCCTCTTAATTAACGCGGCTTCAAACAGCTTGTTAAAGCCGGTTGTTAGTAGCCAGTTACAGCTTTTAGCTCACTCTATCTGAATGTTTTGCATTCCAGCTGGATTATAACTTAACTCACAACATGCTGGCCCCCTAAAACACTCACAGTACACATACACAGCACCAGTACAAGTCATGTTGTGCCTGCTAGGCTGTTTTCTCCTTCTGACCTAGAAAAAAAGCAGACTCGCCAATCGGCACTGTCAATAACGTGGGAACAAAGTATCTATGGTTTTGCTGTCATGGGAAAACCTTTACAGTCTCCGTTTGTTTAATGTTTTATTTTCTATAGTGCTTAAATGTAGCAAGTAATATTTACCTTTATGGCCTATATCCTTTCTTTTTGGCCTTTACCTTTAGTTTTTAGTTGTTTTTTTTAGTTTTTTTTCTTCCCGGAAAAGTTCCCATTTTGGACAATGCTGTTTTCACTGAATCATTTCTATCCTTTTCCTATTTATACACCAGCAATGTTTTTATAAGTGTTGTACAATGACCTCACTACAGTTCACAGGGATTCGCTATTTTGGTTTCAAGTTACTGTACAGATCCAAAACAAATGGTCCGTTTATAAAATATGATCTATTTTGACAGATTTCTTTTCTAAAATTAGCTCCAACCTTGATAGCATCATTGACAATGATCCAGTAACATAACTTTCTCGCATTCTTTTCCTTATTCCATTTTGTTGATAATACGTCTGTACGTTTCATTTCTTATTCAGCACTTTTAAATGTAAGAGCGTTACAATAAACTAAAAAAATCTGGCCATTACTTTATCACCATAACATTTTGTGGAAGTCACATATCAAGATAAACATGCCGAATATTTGCATATTTTATCTTGTTTCATCAGACTACTAACATTTAGTCTTGGGGCTGTTTGATGAAACAGGCACATTTCACCTGATGTTCTGAGAAGTTGTGACACAGTTTTCTGAAAATACCTTTCTGACACCTTATTGAAAATATTAGCAGTAATCAATAGTGTATGCCAATTGTAATTATTAAGTAATTACACTTACTTGGGTGCATATACTGTATACCGTACGACTTTGTAACCCATGTGAAAATAAGGGATTAGGAAAACTGCTGTACTGCCTTAGTCATTCTAATGAAAATGTATTTTGTGCGGCTCGGCTGACTAAGAGGCTGTGGGAATCACGCGCACACAAGCGCAGCACGCACACACAAACGGAGCGCACAGGCTTGAAGGATTTTCTTCTCATCTTTGGCTGAGGTCCGTGCAACTACGGACAGCCCCCCTTCCTGTGACTGTGTTTCCTTCAGCACGTCGTTTCATGGCAGAACTCCCTCTGGAAGGAAGGAGAATCCGTTAAAAACACACTCTCACACACTCGGCAGTCACTTGTTTTGGTTTCCTTGGCCCCCCCCACCCCCCCCAGCTGGCGCGACCCTTCCCTCCCCGACTTCCTCTTGCTCTCCTCTGGTCCACTTCAGTTCTCTCCTCGCTGCGGTTGTGAGTGTTCTTTTGCGGGGGAGCGATGTGTTGTTCGGTGGGTTTCGCCCGGACTCTGGGCTTCGGCCTGCTGCCTCTGGCCCTCTGCTGCATCCTGGCCCACCTGCTGCTGCTGTTTCCCATGGGAGAGATCAGCTACCTGCGGGAGGACCGTCTGGCAAGCTACGTCTGGTACTTTGGTGGACTTGGAGGAGGGGGAGCACTGGTGAGTAGAACACATGCTTTTATGTTCTCATCACATGGACTAAACCTTTTGGTTAGTCCCTTAGTTACATTTCTCTGAGTACACTCAGTTTTTTATTGTTAGGTGTTATATTTAATTTGGTTGGATCATCAGATTTGTATAGGTATGTTAAAACATACACCAAACCTTGGGTGCTGTCACATATTTGGAGGAAAGGATACTCCAAAGTAGAGTCTCATTGTTTCATCTGTGCCAAACAAAATATGGTGTGGTTACCCTTTTTTTTCAAAGCTAAACTTTATGATCAGTAAATAACTTTTCTTTAACTTAAAGGAGTCGAAGCTCAACAGTTTTGTTATTAGAGTTGTTTTGGGCGTGAGGGTTTACATTGACACTTATGAGCTGTTTCGTAAGATCTGTGAAGCTTCAGTGGTCATGTGACACGTATGTACAGGTTCACGTTTTCTCATTCAATTCAAAGTCGCAGTGTGTTGAAAACTTTTGACCAGGTCATAAAGAATATGCTGTGTCAGATTAGATCATTTTGCCTTCAAATGAGGCCAAACAATATGGATTTAAGTTTAACTAAGGTCACTGGTACTACGTGGTGTGACTCATCTAAATAATAAAATAAGATCTTTTGACAAAAATAGGTTTAAATGTCAGTTGCTTCCCTTTAAGAACCTGTCGGTCGAGTGAGCACTTTGAGAACAATGGAGTTTTGTCTGAATTCACAGTTAATCTGTCTGCTACTTGCTGCAGATCGGATGGGTCAATGCTCCGACTGGTCAGGAAGGAGCTGCTGTACTTTTAGTTGGTTTTAAGGAGGAACAGAGGAGAGATTGTATTTCCCCGAACAAGAGTAACCTTGTTGACCAGCAGAGCCCTTGTGTTGAGTACACAAAACTGTCCTCTTTAAAATGTTTAGATTTGTGTTCATTTATTTGTACAAAATAAATAAATCTGACTTTCTCATGTTGAACCATTTAGATTTCCCTGCAGTTACTTTAGGCTGTCAAAACAGCTAAAATGTATGACGGGTTTTGAACATTTTCAACTGCAGTACCTCGTTATTCGAAATCTCTATTCTTAGAAGAATCTAAAGCAAAATTACTGTGACGAAATAGCACATCAATTGAAGACCAGCCATTTATAAACAGGAAGAGGATGCAAAGCAGCCATCGATGAATGAATAAAGGTGTTAACCTCAAAATGTTCTTTTCACATGCTGCCAATTCATGCAAATATTCCACAATGGAAGTTTGTATTAACGGCACAGTATGAAATGGTTATGGATCACAAAACAGTGTTCTGACTAGAACATGAGGATTCATTAAATCAGGAAAATTCAGAAAGAAAATCCACAAAGGGTGAATCTGTACTCAAATCTGTACATATTCTGGTTGCATCTAATTTTAGAAGATAGAACTTATTATTAATAATGTTTTTTGTTTTTCTGAGATGACCCGCTGTGCTTGTTCTTTCCCCTCTGAGCTTTTCCTTTGTTTGTACAAATGACAGATATCTAAAGAGTACATTGAACCCTTCTGAGAGAAATCTATCTTGAGCTCCCTTCCTTCCTCCGCCCTCCCTATTCTCACTTCTTTTTTCTCTCCCCCGTCCTTTCTCGGCCTGCACTTCCCTCCGTATGCTTAGCATCGCTCTGCCTCATCTTAAGGACAGTGCTGACATTGAGGATGTGTATGTGACGATCCCTATGAACTTTGTGTCAGTGTTTGTGGAAACTTTGGAACTTCCCTCCCTCTGTTGGGATGTGAACTTCCAAGTTCCAAGTCCTTGGCCACTGGGAAAGCTACAGCACAGGAAACAGGGAGAAGAGAGGAAAAAGGGAGGGCGGGATAGTAAAATAGTACCCGGACACAAAAATGTCAAGGATTGCCATTATTTCTCTTTCTTTTCCCTGCAGTTGTCCTGCAGAAAGGCTCCCCACACAACCACATTAGTTGCCAACAATTAGATTGTTACAATCCGATTAACTACATTTGCAATTGCATGTATGGTTTTAACAGGATGAATCCTAATGGTCACTGGAAATCATCCTTTTATAACCATACTGTTATTTAGCGGCAACAGTAGGTCACATGTGCAACATTTTAATTTAGAATAACGTATTTGTCATCTCGTGCTCTGTGTATATATATGTGTAAGTTTCATGTATCTCTGTAACAAAACCTGACTCTGTGTTTCCAGATGCTGGTTCCAGCTGTGGTCTTCATCACTCTGGGGAAATGTAACTGCTGTTGGAATGAAGGCTTAATGGTAAGGGACTTACCAAACACCAACCATCAATTACACTTAAAATCTGCAGTAGGTACTGTATGCTAAGCCAAGTCTGCACCACAACTGCAGGAGTAGTGAAAGTGATGCTGAGCAAAGAAGCTACAAACATACTGTGTTCATGTTCAAAATGCTATTTGACATATTTCATTGGGTAATAAACAATTTCATGTATTTGGGGAAATCCGCATTTACTAAACAGTGGCTCTCTAAACATATAAAACTATGTGTATATATTTCTGTTTTGCAAGACAGATCATTATTCAAGCATAGTTTATATCCGGTTGTTCTGTCTTTATACCCCTTGCAACTCGTAGTATCTCCATTTATCTGTCAATTGTGTTGTTTTTTTTCTCACCTCTTGGAGAATATTATTCAACAGTTAAGCCGGCCAACACTGTGTCCTTATGAGTTGGAATGTTAATGCTAATCAGCTGTAATAACTCAACAAGGGTCCCTTGTTACTCCAATCTCAACAAAGTAAGCCTGGCTCACACTATTCAAGCCACATGCACAGCTGCTGTTATGTGTGACTGTGTCTATGTGTGTGTGGTTGTTTCTATGGCAGCTGTCTCTTTATCTGATCTATGAAACCGATAAATTAAACCCTTTATGGTTCTACAGAAAGGCATTCCAACAAGTTTCTCTTTCTTCTTTAAAGCCACTTTGTCTGTGTTTCCAGATGTGCGGGTCAGTGCTTGCAGCTGTGGTTGGCCTACTGGGATCTGGTTACTGTTTCGTCATGTCAGGATTTGTCTTGGTGCAGGGTCCCCAGTGCTTCACTTCTTATGGATGGACGTACCCCTTTGCAGACCAGGGTGGCAGGTAGAAAGATGCTCTGTGTGTGTGTGTGTGTGTGTGTGTGTGTGTGTGTGTGTGTTGTGGGGGTTAATGAACGGGGAGAAATGTATTCATAGCAATAAATGATTACTTTTATTGCCATTTTTAGCATTTACCAACAGTCCAAAACACATAGGAATTAAGTTTACAACAATAAAAAGAAGCTTGAACTAATGGCATTTTTGCCACTGCTTAAATGCATAAATAAATTAAATATATATAAATTCTTAAATTCTCAAAAAACGAAACATTGGAGAATTCACTACATGCTTGTTAAAGATTTCTATGGCCTTGTGTGTGCACTACGAGAAACAAACACATGATGACTCAAATGGGAAAATGACAGGTATCTACACTGAGCGCAATGCCAAACCAAATGGCTTATTTCAGTTCAGGACTCAAAATCAGTGAGGATTGACTGACCGTTGATGTACATCTTATCATTAACAGCACATAATCTAGGACATAGTAGATCTTGAGTTAATTTCGTTTTTTTGTAAAACTAAAAAATGTCCATATATGGTTCAATAGGTGCTAAAATGGTACATCCGTATTTTAAGTAACTGCTCTGTGTGATGGAGGTTTCTCTCTCTGTGTCCCAGGTACCTCCTACAACCGGAGACGTGGTCCCGGTGTCTTCAGCCGCTTAACATCGTGGAGTGGAACGTGACTCTGCTCTGTGTCCTGCTGGGCCTGGCTGTGCTCGAGTTCATCATCTGTCTCTTACAGCTGGGAAACGGTTTAGTGAACGCCGTCTGCAGGCCCTGTTGCTACAAGCAGGAGTATAGTCTTAATGCGTAGACTAACACACACATGTATGTAGACCTACGTATGTAGTGCATGTGCACACACAAACCAATCACACATTTAACATGTATGTAGACGTACATGACATTAATTAACACTCGCATAAGCGGATGTCTGCATATAAAACCTCATGTGTGCGCGTACAATTTAATTACACACCTTACTTTGACACTGCCACAGTACACGTCAGTGTAATCACTATATTTTCAAGCTTTTAATTTGCCCTGTTCAAGTGGCAAAAATCAGTATGCATTCATTGATTATGATTATGATGATGAGCTTTTCGGGTGCATTGAGTCTCAACTTTTTAAAGGCAATAGGTTATTTGTACATAAAAATGTAGATATGTGTGAGTCTGTTTCTTGAATACTCCATCGAAAATATAACTGAAATTAAATTAAATTCATTCTCAAAGAAGATAATGCTAATGATGATGATAAAAGTATTATTCATATCATTAATAATATTCTGTTTACTTAAGAATACAGCCACATATTGTTTGATAATGCAGGGGAAGACATTTTTGATGGTGAACTTGCGAGGAGAGATCCATATTTCTGTTTTTTAGTTGTTCATCAGGCTCATGGCTGATTATGTTGATACAGCAGGAAGTGGTATCTATGGAATATTTGTGTTTGTTCGTATATTTGTTAAAACTTTCTGAGCACTTTGTTTGTAAGTTTTCTTCACTTGCTAGATCAGTGTTAACAGACACAGACAGACAGTGTTAACATACATTTTATATATATATTTTAGTGACATATTTTTATAATGTTTCTTTGTTTGTTCCGCCTTTAATAAAAAAAATACTATTCCCATTTCCAGTATCCAGTTACGTTTGGCTGATCTTTGTCCATATAAACAGGTCCCCTGTTCATAATTGGCAAATAGTCCACTTTTAGAGCACTCTGTACATTTGTCTGCATGCTGCATGCCGGCTTCCTTGCAATAGGTCAACATATAGGTTCTGAGTGTGTATCTGGGGGTGTGTATTTGTGTTTAAATTGATTCCTAGACTAAAGTGCCTGTTCTGGAGTTTCCAAAGTTGCATATTATTGATCGACGTCAGGACACAGACTGACTAAATGTGGCCTCGGACCCGGCAATCAAACCCATTTGCTGTCAGTTTAACATTCTCTTTTACAAGGGGGCTGTATGATCTTCATGTCCAGATTTAAAACAACTTTCAAACCTTAAAAACACAACAAACAATTCACTGGCCTTAATTGTCTTGTTTCATTAGAATTACACTTTATTTGGACTGATTTTTGGACAAATATTTTGAACCTAGCTTTTGTACTTTTGAACCTTGCCGTTAATATTGGACAGCAGTATTGACCGGATAGAAAGTGAGAGGCTACACATGATTAAGCATGAGTTTGGGCTGCATTTTCAACGATTTTCCATTCTTATGCAACGCTAACCTTTTGGGCACAGAGGGCGGCAGGCACCTCCCTTTCTTGCATTGCTAATAGGTTGGATCAAACCCGGTCTGTTTGTCAGTGACCCCTCTGCCCTGCTCGGTCAGCCTTGGCAGTATAAAGACAAACAGGGTCTAACGCATCTCAGACAGATTTACAGCTGTCAGTTGCAGTAGTAGTAAGTGCCAGAGCCATATCTTCAAATGCAGCGGCTGGTATTAAGAGGAGTGCTGCTGCTGTTTTGTGCAGCAGTATGTGTGTCTGGGATGAGGAGAGAGTACTTCCTAAAGATAGAGGAGGTGTCTTGGAACTATGCTCCAAGTGGGATGAACGTAATCCAAAACCGCACACTGCAGGAGGATGAGTAAGTACATGTAGAATATAATTTACATATTTGTTTTCATGAAAGTGCACATATTATAATCTCTAATTTGTCAACCACACCAATGGCCCGATTTCATGATTTATAGTTGCTATCTAGTACAAAATGATTGTATTAGGTCTACATTCTTCACTAAAAACTAACTATCTTGAAAAAGGGTAACTTAAAAAAAACTTACCACGTTGACAATTGGATGTTTCAGCTTATCAAATGTGTTTTTCAAATTGTTTTTATAGCATTAACTTACTCAACATATAAAGGAACACGTATTCCTTATGTTCAGCAGTTAATTATGTTCTATTTGTAAGTAATGTCTGTTCAAAATACCTTTTACATTTACTTTTTTACCCTGTTAAATACATGCAGCATTCGGAAGGCCTCGCAAAAACCTTCCAAAATATTGGTTACACTGACGCAAGACACACACACACACACACACACACACACACACACACACACACACACACACACACATAAAAACAGCAAAATACAACTCAATATTGAATTTTTCTGACAAATAGGAAATCATAATTATTATAATTATATTAATTATAATATTATTACCGCAGTAATAAACTGTTTAATATCATTACTACATTTATTTAAATTCTCCTGGAATGGCATCTGAGGGGAAAATTGTAACAAATCCACATGGGCAGTGTTTGTGTGTAATACAATTGTACATGCTGACTCACTGCCACTGGCATGATTTACTGGGAACCTTGAATGGATCCGAACCGCTGTTACAAGTAATTTTCAAGCATCTACTTTAGGGTTAGAGTTGGGATTTTTGTGTTTTTTTTCAGTAGCTTTAGCCAAGCACGGGTGTTTGTAATAGTTTAACTGTAACCCACAATAATCCTTGTTTTCTCTCTCTGAAGAGAAGCCTCAGTCTTCCTAAAGAGAGGTCCGCAGCGTATCGGCTCCACCTACAAGAAGGCTGTGTACAAGCAATACAGCGACACCACCTACAGGACGGAGGTGACGAAGCCGGACTGGCTCGGCTACCTGGGGCCCCTGTTGATGGCCGAGGAGGGAGACACGGTCATTGTCCAACTGAAGAACGCGGCCACCAGACCGTACAGCATCCACTCGCATGGACTCAACTACAGCAAGGGCAATGAGGGTGAGGGAGTCATTAACTGATGAGTGAGCTTAACAGAGCGACAGGTGTCTGACTTGTGTGCGCTTGTATCTGTCCCTCCAGGGGCCCTTTACCCAGACAGCACCGGTCCAGAGCTTAAGCGCGACGACTCTGTGGCCCCTGGTACAACAGTGATATACGAGTGGACCCTTCCAGAGAGCCACAGCCCGACATGGGAGGACACCAACTGCTTGACCAGATTCTACCACTCCCACGTTAACACACCAAAAGACATTAACTCGGGACTAATGGGACCCCTCATTATCTGCACGAAAGGTAATGTAACCTTTTTAAACAAGAATGATCTGGTACTGGACAACTATTTCCATCACATTACATTTCAGAGGGAAATGTTATAGTTTCTAACACTTAAATATGGGCCATTTGGCTGCATAATAAGTATTTGTGGACATTAAGCACTTGATCCTAAAATGTCTTCTGCAGGAACTCTAGACCTCCATGTAGATAGCTCAGGAGATCTGTACGCTCTGCTCTTCATGGTGTCAGATGAAAACTTCAGCTGGTACCTGGACGAAAACATCAGGACGTACGTTACGAATCCCGCAAGTGGCCTGAAGGAAGACGAAGATTTCATCGAGAGCAACAAAATGCACGGTGAGTGGTTGCATCCTTGTAAACGTTCAGATACCCACTTACATACACATACAAATACCTTTAACTTGTGGATTGCAGGTATAAATGGTTTTCTGTATGGTAACCTGCCTGGACTGAGCATGTGCCAAGGAAACAAGATCCACTGGCATATGATTGGCTTAGGCAATGAGGTAAATATTGTATTTTGTCCTCATTATTATCATTATTACTATAATAATAATAATAATTGTATTTTGGTATTATCAGTATCATATATGTCATTGTAGTTGCATGTCTCCTATTTTCTAAAAACAGTTTTAATTGAGACAGCTGTCCATTAATCCTTGTTTTCAGAATTATACAATCTGCAATGTGTGTGTGCACGTGTGTGCTCCCTTGAGTGCATGAGGGAACTAATCTTAGAAATGGAATCATTTTTTGGTGCCCACCTCTGCATGCTCGAGAGCCCCTTGTGGTGACTCACACTTTATCTTTATCTATTATTTTTGAGTTGTTGTCTCATTTTCAATAAATTTAGTTCAGTTTAGTTCTCATTTCATGCAGTGTGAGCCCACATCGTGCATAAGCACCTGGTCTTAACCCAGTTTAAATGTACTTCACCAACAGGTGGACATGCATTCGGTTCATTTCCATGGCCAGATCCTGACCGCTCAGAACCACCACACAGACACGATCAGTCTTTTCCCTGCGTCCAGCGTTACGGCTCACATGGTCGCTGACAACCCTGGACACTGGCTGCTGACCTGCACAGTCAATGACCATTTGATGGGTGAGTCTGCTTGCTTCGTTGTGTATCTGTTTTCTAGCCAGGTGTTTCGTCATCCGGCTGGAAAATGAATGAATTCTTCTTTTGTGGTCACTCGGTCAGCTGGAATGCAGGCTATGTTTGAGATCAAGAAGTGTTTCCCCAACGTGCACAAGGCCCGGCCGCACGGGGACCTCAGGTCGTACTTCATTGCTGCTGAAGAGGAAGTCTGGGACTACGCTCCCATACCGCCTACTGATGGGTTGGTTACTCTACAGACACACACACACACACACACACACACGGAAAAAATCCACAGAGGGTGTACGCTCTTTTTATTATAGTTCTATTGTGAGACCGGTTAACAATTCATACTGTGTGTGTTTTTGTATGTTCAGTGAAGCAGATACGTTTGTAACCAGAAGTGCAAACCATATTGGAAGCCGCTATAAGAAGGTCCGCTATGTGGAATACACCGACATTACCTTCACAACAAAGATGCTACGCAGCCCAGAGGAGCAGCACCTTGGAATTCTGGGTAATCAAGACCGGGCAGGAATTGATTCCACTTTGTTTTCAGACGCAGATATTTGCTCCGGAGGCACAAATAAATATTACTACAGCCAAACACTTGTTACTCAAGGAAAAATGTATTGATAGTATGTAACTAAATATTTTATGTGCTCTATTGCGAAGTAAAAAACGCTGGACTTTTTAACTACTAGTTATTTTCATCATGGACTAATCACCAGATTACTGTTCGATGTGTTATCTGACTTTCTTACATTATTACACTAATGCTTGAAATTTGTCGAATTTGCAACATAGTGTGATCTAAATTTGGGCTTGTATGACTTTTTGCACTTATTTGCATCTCCAGGTCCTGTGCTGCGCGCTGAAGAGGGGGACACTATCAAGGTGGTGTTTAAGAACAAAGCCAGCCGGCCTTACAGCATTCAGCCGCACGGTGTTCAATACAGTGTAGAACAAGATGGAACGCTGTATTATAACGAACTGGAAGGTTAATACCACCACATGCTT